GGGGGGGGGGGTTGAAGGAGAATTATCATGACAAGATAACAAGGATAAGAGGTAGAAACGATGGGATGGGTGTTGTGTGCATAAGTGGAACCAATATAGAAAGCAGATTGTCTAATCTTGATCAAGTTACACAAACCTTGGCATGCAAAACTGTAACTGATCAGAGTCGATTCGATATACATAATCAATAAAGGCCACGGAAATTTACAGGATAATTTGCATCTGCCAATTTACGATATAATAAAACGTGAACAGATTGAGGATTACAGGATCCAATGATACAGTGATAGTGATACAGAATACAGGGATACAGATAGAGGAGTACAGGACACAGGGATACAGAGATACTGGATTCAGAAATTCAAAATACAGGATGCCATGAAAAAAACACTGGGATTTAGAAGTATCAGTAGGATAAATTGAAATGAGAATCATAGATTGTGATAAAAGAAAAAGTTAGTTTTAAAACAACACATAATACGGCGGACAAGAGGCAAGGATATAAAAAAAAAACTAGAACAAGAAACAGTGATACTTGAAAATGGGGGAGTGATGCCAGAAGTAAAATGTAAATAGAGGATTCTTCATAACTTTTTTTAAAAAAAGGAACAATGGATAAATTTAGGCATTAACATAATACAATACTTATAGATAACAGGATACCATGCAGTTTACAGGATTATTAGATTCCAGAGATATTATTGAATACAGGAAACCATGCAGTTTACAGGATTATTAGATTCCTGTTATATTATTGAATACCGGATACCATGCAGTTTACAGGATTATTAGATTCCTGATATATTATTGAATACAGGATACAGAACCAGAGATATTATTAAATACAGGATACAGAACCAGAGATATTATTGAATACCGGATACAGAACCAGAGATATTATTGAATACCGGATACAGAACCAGAGATATTATTGAATACCGGATACAGAACCAGAGATATTATTGAATACCGGATACAGAACCAGAGATATTATTGAATACCGGATACAGAACCAGAGATATTATTGAATACCGGATACAGAACCAGAGATATTATTGAATACCGGATACAGAACCAGAGATATTATTGAATACCGGATACAGAACCAGAGATATTATTGAATACCGGATACAGAACCAGAGATATTATTGAATACCGGATACAGAACCAGAGATATTATTGAATACCGGATACAGAACCAGAGATATTATTGAATACCGGATACAGAACCAGAGATATTATTGAATACCGGATACAGAANATCATGCCAATGAGAGTGGATTTAAATTCTAGAGTTAGATTTAGTTCATATAAACTCTTATTTCTGCTAAGTCAGAAATCAAAAACAAAATATCAAAAATACCTTTTGCGGCTCATTAACATTATGTCTAGTGCGCGAATGCCTAGTTCACTAAGCTTAGATTCATGAATGCCTGGATAACAGTATGCCTAGATTCATGAATGCCTAGATAACATTATGCCTAAATTCAAAAATGCCACGATAATATTTGAGTGCATTGAATGTCTAGACATTGTATTTCAACAAGATTAATGAGAGAGAAAAAAACATACAATCTGGAAACAAACTTGGAGATTTGGGTCTCTGGGCTCTCTTTCAACAGGATGCTAAACTTCAAGAGCTAATCTACATGCTATACTCACTCTGCTATGTACCTGCAGTCTGCAGATGAGGTTGTATCTACTTACAACGATGTTATTCTTCCACTAGTGGAACATGGTTTGGACAACTATGATGATTGGATAGACTATGCCGCCGAGTTGGAGGAGTTTGGTAAATACTTCAGCAATACCTGGATTTGTCGGAGAAATGGGCGATCACCATTGTTTATGCCTAAACTTTGGAACCATTTTGAGTCTGTAACGGAGGTCGGACCTTAGACTAACAATATGCTTGAGCCTCATAATAGAACATGGAACAGTTTGGTAGGTCATTCTCCAAATGTCTCAAAATTGTATCAAATGTTTTAAGATTTAAGCCGGCGCTTAATTTAAACCGGGTTTTGGCGGATTTAAACTGCGGCTCAAATTCTTTAAATTCCATCTCAGGATTATCTAATGCTGTTGGTCAGGACATGACAACCAACACTGGAAGAAAGGAGAGGTCCCTGGATGCTAGAGTTAAGTTTGTTATTGATGCTTTTGACAGCATGCCAAGAGCAGATTATGTTTCTACTTTGGCCCAAGATATCCAAACATTTGACCAATAAAATATGTACTAAACCATTTCAACACAATAAAATAAGTAATAAATCATTCGAATTTTCTAGCATCATTTTTATCTGGCTTCAATATTTCTAGACATTCAATTCGCTCTAATGTTATCTAGGCATTATGAACAAGGCATTCATGAATCTAGGCATAATGTTATCTAGGCATAATGTTGTTTAGGCATTCATGAACTAGGCATAGTGAACTAGGCATTCGCGCACAAGGCATAATGTTACTGAGCCCTTTTTCAATAGATTTTTTAAACTCACGGTGTTAAGGTTTGGAGTGGGTCGAGTAGGTTTGAAGGTAAGGCACCAAGCCGGAGAACTACTATTATCCAGTTCTATATCTACTATCTTCAGATCATCTGAGATGATCGGTATCCGTCCCGTCCTGCCTGAGCAGGGTCTAGGACGGAGTTCCATTAAACTAGGTTTCCGAGGACGGCTAGATTCCGGGACGGATTTCTTAGTTGGTTTAGAATTTTTGTTGAGCTGACCCATGTTATTCTTGTTTACGTCTAGCTGGGATATATCGATATTATAAACATACGAGAACATTCTTTAGTGAACTAATATTCAACATCTGGAAGAAGAAAAAATCAAAAAAAAGGATGGACTCCCCAACATATAAATGGCAGAATGAATGGTTGAATAAATCTGTGAAAGGAGTAAATGATCAGGTTGGGAAGGATGAATGGATGAATATATCTATCAAATGAATGTATCTGTTAATGGAACATTCAATACAGTGATGAAAGGATGAATGAATAGATAATGTATCTGTTAATGGAACAACCAATACAGTGATGAAAGGACGAATGAATGGATGAATGTATCTGTTAATGGAACAACCAATAAAGTGATGAAAGGACGAATGAATAGATGAATGTATCTGTTAATGGAACAACCAATACAGAATGAAAGGACGAATGAATGGATGAATGTATCTGTTAATGGAACAACCAATACAGTGATGAAAGGATGAATGTATCTGTTAATGGAGCAACCAATACAGTAATGAAAGGGTGAATGAATGATAATGGAAATGATTTTTCTAGATTTCAATAACAGAAAATTTAACGCTTTATTGACTGTTTGCGTGTGGCTTTAAATAAATCGATTTGTGTTTTTTAGGTTCGTAAAATGGTTGAATAGTTTAATGGTTAAATTATTCAATGGTTTAGAGAATCAATTGGTAATCGGATTAAAATCAAAATGTTTGAAAAAAGGGATGTTGGTTTTTAATTAAAAATGAATGAATTCCTAAATCGAGGGTTTAATAGAAATATAAATGGGCGTATATTCATATTTGCTAAATATTTAAATGGTGAAAGCAATGAGTTTTAAAATAGTCTTCACAAGATTAAATGGTTGAATCGATTATTCCATAATTTAGTTAAGGGTGAAATTTGCATTTTGTGGAGAGAACTCAGATGGATGGAATGATATCAAAATAGTATAACAACTAAAGGTTACTCAGCTATATGAAAAGTTAAGATATGCCTGAATTAATGAAGAACGCATGCAGGAAAGAGTTCAAGTACCTAATCTTGAGATGGTAGATGAATAAATGAATACAAATAAATGAATAGATGAATGATTGAAACCTAATACCCTGCAGTTGAATGCAAAAACTGTCACGAATGTCATTTAATCTTAGGACAAAGAAAATTTGACTGTAAATGTTTAACTGGAACCATGGAATGATTAGGGAGGAAAATATTCCACCCCTGGCCCAGGTCTCTAGTTCTATAGATCTCCGAGTACTAAATATTCCACCCCTGGCCCAGGTCTCTAGTTCTATAGATCTCCGAGTACTAAATATTCCACCCCTGGCCCAGATCTCTAGTTCTATAGATCTCCGAGTACTAAATATTCCACCCCTGGCCCAGGTCTCTAGTTCTATAGATCTCCGAATACTAAGGAAAGTTTGTAAAAGTTTACCAAGGGTCCCCTGTCTAGTCAATATTAAAATCCTGCACTATCAGATATCCATCCGTACTTCAGGATATACCTGGATACTGGACAAACAATCCTAACTGTCAGGAATCTGTCATCTTAAAGCCTTTCCTTCTTATAATTTGGTTCGATATGATTTCGCAGGGGAATTGTTATTTTCTATAAAATTAATCGGTAAAAAAAGGAAGTTTTAATGAGAAATAAGAACTGTTCGGGAGGATAGTTATTAAGGAGAAATAATTAAAATTTCGATAATAATTTTGCTAGGTAAGTAAATGAATTTTACAAAAATGTGTACATAAATGTAATGTACTTTGAGTAATGTTATATACATTACCAAATTAGGATTAATTTGCCAACCTCAGTGAGTCAAAGACCCCGGATAGTTTGAGAAATCATGCAACACCTGAACTCACTCATTAACTAGGCCTTGGCTTTATTGAACCCATACTGGTTTCTTACNTCCAAATCTTGGTTTAACACTTTTCCAACTTTAATTTCATTGTTATTCTCGAGCATGTCAGTGTTTCTAACAAGTTTCTCAATTAGAATTTGAAGCAAATCGGTCAAGAGGTCCTTGAGTTTTGATGGGACATACAAACAGACAAATAAACAGATATTAACATTTTATATAGACACAAAGCACATATGAAAAATAATTTACCCAAAAAATAATTGAAACTTTTTTAATTAGAATTATATTCTTAACATATTAAAAAGCAAAGATTTGAGAATAAGCATACAGCGAAGGTACGTGTAACCACATAAACATTTAATATATTTTTGTTCTGATCTAATGTATATTTATATCTCCTATACATTCTAATTTTGTTACTTTTTGTTAGAAAAGTACAGCAGGTTTTTTTAATGATACAGCATAATGAATAAAGTTTGGTGTACGGGGATATTCATGATAACAGTTGTAATGTTTAGTATTATGTATTTATAATGCTAATTTCTTTTGTATAGTTATTACATTGAATTTTGGCCAACTGTCATGCATGGCTATTTTATCAATTTTTAGTGAAAAAATTGAATGTCACGACATTTCTCCCAATATGAAATTGTTAATAATCTCGTGCTAATATAGATTATACTACTTTGCTGAAGTATAAGGGGGACATGGGGAATCTAAACCTGTATTTGAACCTAGGGATTCCAATCCTAGGTGTTTCTAAACCTGTAATTGAACCTGGAGAATATAAACATGTTTTTAAATTTGAGAATATGAACCTATAATTGAACCTTGGAAAATAATGCCTTTATTTAACAAGAAGAATCTAAGCTGTCACTAAATTCTTTTTTCTTATGGAATAACTTAGATATCCAAGCAGTGTCAATAAATATTAAAACCATGTTAAGGTTATCAAATCAAAAATCTATTTTAAATATTACAAATTAATACCAAAACCCACAATTGTAACTAACCAAAATATGACAAACAATAATTAATAATTAATTCCCTTAAACTATACCACTAACTCAATCACAAGGCAAGTTAATTAATCTAAGGTCAAATAACCAATAACTACAGTATAATAACCAAAAAACTATGACATGATTTTCGTCTTTTTTTAAATGAAATGTTGCGAACAATTTTGTTCCTAACAGAATAATTTATAAAAATTCAATTAGAACATTTTAAAGGCTTGTTTTAGACATAATTATTACATTAGAAATTTCAAAATTTAAAGAAAAAACGAAGACAAGGATTCAAAAGTTTTCTGGTTACTACAGGGTTACCCACAAACGATGAGACTTTAGAGACGACTGTACAGAATTTACTTAGCCTTGTCTCACATTTTTAGTTCCTTGCAACTGTAAACTTGTTTTTCTTTGCCAATTTATAAAGTATGTCATTTAACAACTAAATGCTGGACAACAAACAAAATTCAGCCTTCAGATCGTTATAGCTTAACAGTTTTAGGTGGTCATTAAAGTCTCATCCCTTGTGGGTAACCCTGTACCATATTATTATATAGATTTTATGATTACAGAATATTAGTAGGGTTAGTGAACAATATGAAAAATATTATTACTTGACAGAATACAGAAGTACACACACTTGTGAGCAATGCTAAAATATCACAAAACAATGCAAAAAAGGGAACACACCAATTAAGGACCCCCCCCCCCTTTCCCCATTATCAATATGAAGGACACTTGAAAGGGTATTGAAAAACACTGGTTTGAATGGTATGTTCCCGACAGTCCAGTTAGTCACAAAACTACGTGCACAACTAGAAATAAAACTTACGGATTTAGTCTCGCCGAAATTCTTATTTTCGTTCTAGAAAAAAAAAATATTTCAATAATGAAGTATGATTCATCATCTATTCTTTTAGATTTTAAAGAAAAAAATGCGTTTTAGTTTTAAACTGAGGTGAATTCCCATGTATTGTAGTTTAAAGGGAGAATTTACATATTTAGGGAAGGTAACATGTACCAATTATTGATAGAATGATTCAAACTATATTTAAAGAAAGTTTAAATATAAAAATAACAAAAATTCTCAAAAAGATGTTTCTCACGCTTAAATAAAATCATTGAAATTCGACCAAAATTATTTGTTCTTCGTGTAATTCGTTACAGAATTCACTTTTGTTTTCGGCCATTTTGACGACTTTGAGAGGTCGATCAAAAGGGGGTAAAATATCTAAAAAATTGTTAAATGCCATGTTTGTATTACTGAGTATCAGAGAATAAAAAACATCGATAGAAGCAACATAGGTTTATTCAAAAACACATTTAAAACAAAATAACAAAAAAAGGAATAAAGGATGAGGATAAAAAACTTTTATGACCAAACGTAGTGACCCCACTTTTAATAAAATGTAACATTAAAACATTATTTCCACGCCCTTTAACTCATTAATCTGAACATCTCTCTGTACCTTCTGTATTGATATATATGGTGACCACGGAATTATGGATAAAATAGATTTACCTTTTGTAGTTTGTTTGGGATCACGTTAGCGTTGTCGTATGTGGGAGGAGCAAGATCTCCGTTGAGATCTAAAACCTGTTCCAGTTCTATCTCTTTACCCTTGGTTTCTCCTCGTTCAAACCATTCAACGGTTACACTCCTTGTCTCCACGTTTATCCCGGAGACTACAGCTGAGTGAATCCGTCCTAAACATAGATAAATTAGAATTCAAATATTCAAACATCAAATTTATAACTTAACCTCTTTTCCTGTTGAGCAGGAAATTCAATATCAAAATGTTTCAAACTGCATTTAAAACGATAGAAACATAATTTAATATTTTTTCCCTGCATGAGAAAAAAACTAGCAAATAAAAGATATAAAAATAATATTTTTCAATTAATAATTAAAATATCTGTATGCATGGATGAGAATATAATCAACAAGCTTGTGAACCCAGCTTTACCTGGAAACTGAACTTTATATTTGTAAGTTTTAAACCAAACTAAAAACATGTCAGTGTTTCTAACAAGTTTCTCAATTAGAACTCCCTTCCCCCTCCCTTTTCTTCCCTTCTCCCTCCCTTTTCCTCCCTTCCCCTCCCTTTTCCTCCCTTCCCCCTCCCTTTTCTTACCTTCTCCCTGTCCCTCGCTTGTACGTAATCAATTGTACCACAAGATAGAGCTAAGATATGTAGAACCAAGACCAAACCCAACCGTGCATAATTGAGTTTGATCTGATGTAACCTGTAGATAATAAGGTACTATTTAATCCTTAAAATCCGTCTTCTAATCCTGGATTGAATACTACCTTAAACCTATCCTATTGTCATCCAAACCTGGTTTCTCCGGCAAGCTTCGCTTCTGCCTTATTCTTGGATAATTATCCAGCATCCCAGGAGGGGCGGAGTGTCTGTGTTTAGCATTTCTTCCTTGACTTAATCTGTCATGGTTCTTCGGTCGTCTTCTAACCACCTCATCAGGGTTTTCAAACTCAACCCACAGATAGTTAGACGAGTTTCGTTTAGGAAGCAATGGAGCGTCAACACAGGTTTCTTCTCCGTATAGTTCTAAAGGTGGACTACCGGAGTCAACCTCGGAGCTCCGTTCGTCGGAGAGAGAAAAGAACCCTGGATCGTAATGATCCGAACTAGACGATCTATGATCTGGAAAACATTGGTCTGGTTTGAATATGGACCCACGAACAGGAATACAGGGGAGTTTTCTTCTTACTTTAGTCCCATCGGAGGTAAAGGTAAGACTTCTTTGTAATCTTCTTCTAGAACATTCGACTGATTTCGAGTCTTCCGATATAGAAGAAACATCTTCCAAACTATCATTCAGGTTTCCTGTCGCTTGAAAAGAAGATGATGGAGAGAGAGAAGAACGGAGATGAAGAGGGTCAAGAGAAGGACGTAGGGAGGATAGTATAGGAGAAAGAAGAGAAGGAAGAGACGGGAGCTTTCTCACTCCTCGTCCTCGTTTTAGATCCTCAAGACTGTCATAGCAAGTAGATTCGTTCTCGGTTTCATCCTCTAGATAAACATTGAGATGTTTGATTGTGTAAACAAAAAAACGGAATTTAATGCATAAAAATACACTTCATCCGTACCTGAAGTATTGTCCAAGTGCTGAGCAAACTCGGTATTTTCACTTTACAAAAACCAATTTTATAAAAATAAAAACTTTTAGCAATAAAGAAAAACATTTTGAGATCTATGCAGTATGCACTAGATAAGTAATACTGTAAAACATTTTCTAGAATTCCGACCATGATTGGATTAAGATTATTGGTTTCAATAAATTCCTGGTATCTTCATCTTCAACTTCAGATCTATCACTCCATCCCTCCCTTCTCCAATCCATAGAACTGGTTTCAGAACCATATTCATCGTTCCCAATCCTTGGAACCATCTCCAGCTCACTTCTTCCAATCAACACTCCTGTATTCTCAAAATCTGTAGGAGTGGTTTTATTCTTTAATATCTCGGGATAATGAGGACTGTGTGTGGCATAGAGGGTGGGAGGATTGGTAGTTACCACCTTATCTCCAGATCCTGTTAGAAAAGTTGCAGGTTCAAACTTGGATTTATCAATCAACATTTCTCTGGTTTCAAACAACGGTTCAATTAGTTTACCATTTTCAGGATCTGGATTGTCTATGGTGGAAAACTTATCTTCGTCCGTAGTTGTTAAAAATGTGGATTCAATGTTTGAATGAGCTTGAAAGTTGACTCCGTCTGAGTTTACATCTTGAGGATCTCTAATATCACCTTTCAATGAGCTATTAGAGAAGAAACCTTTCATCTCCTTGTTATCCGAAACTTGATCTGAATCAATCGGATTCAATACTGATTCTTCTCTTTCATATTCAACCATATCCTGGCAAGGAGGTTTCAATATCTCATGCAATCCTTTTCTTCTCAGGTCCTTGGCTTCAATCTCTGTAGGAGAGCATAGGTCATCAATTTCAATTTTAACTCTCTCTTCTTCTCCCTCCTGAACGTCTTTGAGATGCATATTTTTCTGTGGGTCTGCCACCTTCACTTCAATCCTGAATTCATTAACAGATTTCTGCATTTCCTTTTCAGAGTGTCTGGCAGTTACTTCTAAATTCTTGTCATCTTTAACAGTCAATTCAGTTTCCAAATCTTGGTTTAACACTTTTCCAACTTTAATTTCATGGTTATTCTCGAGTTCAAAACTTCTAAACTTATTTAAGCTATCCTGGCGTTCTGACAAATTATTTATTCGCATGACTCTACTCCTTACCGTGCCAAAACTTTCATCCTTTATCTTTTCTTCAGCCTTGTGTGTGGTGTCAAGCAAAAATGAATGATTTGGAGGTTGGGATTCTTCAATTTTTTCAAGTGTTTTGTTCAGCTTGTCACTTTTCTCAGACACCTTAATATTGCCGTAAATTCGGGAAATATCTTCCGCAATCTTCTGATTTTCATCTTTAAAATCATAGTTAGGTTTGTTAATCGGCTCATTCATTGTTTCAACGTTTTTCAAGCCTTGTTCAACTTGAGAATTGTTGGTGTAAGAACGCTTATCTTTTGTAATTTCATGTTCTTTAGCAGCAGAACAGGTTTCTTTGCATACATTTTTATGTTCCACTGGTACCTCAACTACCTTCTCTTCTCTCAAACAATCGTTTTCAGGAATTCTAGCAGTTACAATTTCTTTAATATTCTCATTATCTGCATCTCTTTCTAGATTTTCTATAGGTTGATCTAATACTTCATGTTCTCCGGTAGCAACTTTACAGGGTTGTTCGGATTCAAATATTATAGGTTCTTCCTGGGCTCTCAAGGAATCCTTATCTTCTTCAGTTAGTTTTCTTTTAATATCATGAATAGTGGTATACTTTTTAGGTTTAGAATTAGTTAAGGTTTGAGCTAATTCTGATTTGCTATTGGGAGTTACTGGGCGTATACCATTCCCAACATTACTTTCAGTCCTGAGAACTGAACCCTCTTTTAAACGATTAGATCCATGATATTGAAAAGTAGATTCTGTTGATGAAGGTGGAACTGGATCCACATCATTATCATCCCAGCTCTCTACAGTCGGTTGTAAACTTTCATCTAAACCATTAAACCCACGCCTACTCACTACATCTCCGGAGCCAGGTTTAGGACTGCTGATCCCACTTTGATAAATATTCTCTGGTATTGTTTGGTTCAATTCATATTTCTTGCTTATAGATGTAGCGACAATGTCTGGCATAGGTTGGTGACCTGAATGCGTGGGAGTGTTCTCAGGTTCGTGTTTGCTCAGGGTTCTACTATATGGCACTTGATCACAGCTCAGTATTAATTCTGACAACTCTCCGCCTACTCCCATCATCTCAGAGTTTATCCCAGGTTTATTAGATGGTTCTAGTTCTAGATCTGGGATCTCCTGAACCCAGGATAGATCTAGAGGTGCTAGACCAGACTCCAGGATGGAACTGATCTCAGCTGGGACGGGTATGCTCGTTCTCCTATTCTTCATCTCGGGTGAGATCAAGGTTTCCCTCTTCTCTCGGGTTCGGATGTTCTGCTCCGTGGTAGATTGACAGGTCTGTAGATCTCCAGTATTGCTGCCTGATCTATCAGATAACACGGATTTAGAACCTTCAGCTATTTCATGGTCTAAGAGAATGTATATTTTAGAAAAGATTTGACATTTATATATTTACGTGTCATGAAATAATGTAATTAAACTTTTGTAAAATCTCAGTGTTATGTAATAGTTGCAGTTAACATTAAACAATCCATTTCTTAAGAGATTGGACAGTGTACATGTTATTTCAAGTAGTTTTCTTCTTTTCTATTTAAACAATTTACTTATTCAACACCGAATAATGATATTTGTCAAAAAACTGTTAATAATATGCCATTATTTTTTTGCTTTAGTTCAAAGAAATGAGACACAACTAAACTTAATTTTGCGAGTTTTCTTAACTATTTTCTACAATAAACGTCATGCTTAGTTTAATCTACCATCGGCAATATAAAGAATTCCTGGCATTTAAATCTGCTTCAGAAAAAAAGAAATTGCAATTTTTTGTAAAAGAAGACAGCATAAAAAGCCACTTATACAATCCCTTTTTGATAAATCCGTCAGTCAAAACTAAATTCAATAATAAAAAAATTTAAGAAAAAACAATTTAAAAAGAAAAATGGCGGCTTAAATAGCAACATTCGAAAGCTAAAATTTTACTAGAAAAGGGGCGCGTAGCACCCTGGAGCCTATTTTACAACTAATTAAAAGTGTCTCTTTAAACTTAAAATATTCTTCCTTTGACTCTTTCAAATGAGAATGATGGAGGAGGGACTATTCTAGGAGAATTCAATCCGTCCTGTCTAGATATTCTTGGAGAATCCACTCCGTCCTGTCCAGATATTCTTGGAGAATCCAATCCGTCCTGTCCAGATATTCTTGGAGAATTCAACCCGTCCTGTCCAGATATTCTTGGAGAATCCACTCCGTCCTGTCCAGATATTCTTGGAGAAATAAACCCAACATTTCTAGATGTTCTTGGGGAACTCGATCCGTCCTTGCCTGATATTGTCGGAGATATTAACCCGTCCTTGCTGGATATCTTTAAATAATTCAATCCGTCCTTGCAGGATATTCTAGGAGAACTCCACTCGTCCTTGCAGGATATTCTTGGAGAATTTAACACATCCTTGCTTGATGCACTTGGAGAACTCAATCCGTCCTTGCTTGATATTCTTGGAGAACTCAATCCGTCTTTGCTTGATATTCTTGGAGAACTCAATCCGTCCTTGCTTGATATTCTTAAACTCAACCCGTCCTTGCTGGATATTCTTGGAGAATTAGATAAGTCTTTGTCAGTTAATTCATCAGATTTGGGCCCATCTTCACTAAATAATTTTGTAGATTTTAATCCATCCTCAAGAGATAATTTTGCAGACTTTAATCCATCCTCAAGAAATAATTTTGTAGATTTTAATCCATCCTCACAAGATAATTTTGTAGATTTTAATCCATCCTCACGAGATGGAATGTTCGAATTAACCCCATTGTGACCAGATAATTTTAATGTGTCCAATCTGTGAGTAGTTTCTAATTTTAGATGATTCGACTTTCCTTGATTAGATAATGCTGAAGGGTTTGAATCCTCGGCATCCGATAAACTTAATGCATTGAACCGGTCTGAGCTGGAAATAGGCAAAAAATGTAAATCATCATTTTCGGAAGGACTTGGTTGCAATTTTAACCGGTCATGACCGGATACTGACCGATAATTCAATTCAGCCTGTCCGGATACTGACGCATGATTAATTTCTTCCTGACCGGGCAATGTTGGATGAGATTTCAAACTCGCCCTAGGATCAATTTCTCTGCAAATTTTTGTCTTATCACTCAGCTTTACCGGAACTAAATCCTCTTGGGCGAGTTTCTTGGCATATGTTTGAGGATTAATGTTAGGATTATTTTCTAGTTGTTTTGTATTGTAAGAAACTAGAAGAGCCGGGATGGATTGATGGGAGGAAGATACATCACTGATATTATTGGAGGACCGTTCTAGGTTTCCCTCCAGGCTTCCAGATAAAGAATATCCTTTGGATTTTCTCCATTTTCTTTTCAAGGATTTTGCAGATTTTTCCTCCTTCTCCTTAGAGGATTCCTGATCACTGGTCTCAAGGACTTGAACCTTGGATTTACACTGTCCCATTCTAAATACTCTAAGGATAAGGAGTAAATAATGATATCTAAACTATGGTTCTACTCTCCTTCCTCCTCTCTACAATACTAACAGTGCACAGGCAAGATTGTGAGCGTGCAGTGGCGCAGCGCGCATCCACCCATATGTCCAGACCCGGGAGAAAGTCAACCCATTGTTGTGCGCAATGAACAATACGCGCATACCATCATATATTGTAAATTATGCAAATGTAGATATAATTTACATGCAATCAACTCGTTAAGTTTCGATAAAAATGCTTGCAAAAAAAACATTAATTGACAGTAACCTTTGACCATGGATCTATGTGAAAACAATATTCTTGAAAGTTGACACAATGCAGCCAATGTTGGCAACCTGGTTTAACCCTGATAAAGAACAAATACCAATATTAAAAACTAGAAATTTATTATGCTCCAGGCGAAGAGGATAAAGGGACTGTCGGCGTAATTCCAAGAACCCCTTTAAAGTTGTGCTACAGTACCCTTTAACTGTTAGTCTGAGGAAAGATGATAAGGATATCCTTGTTTTCTACAAAATTGTAGTTTTTCTAAAAAAATGACGTGTGGATTTACATTACAAAGAAAAAGAAGGAAATTCACCAGATTTAACACTTCAAGATACAGGGTGTCACTCATCTTATTAGATTGCTTATAGCTCTAAATTGTGAATTTCAGCATCAATCAAAAAATTTTAAAAAATAATTAATTTTTAAAACATCTATATGGCTAATATTAAAAATGTATGCAGAAAATACTATGTTTTTCGCGTATTATGTGCTTATTTCGGCGTTAAAGCTTGGAGACAATCCAAGATGATATGGTACGCTCTGTAGAAACCCGACCCTATCTTCATCCTTGTTGCTTAGGCTTACAGTGTACCGCATTAATTTAATGGGAGGGGTTCACTTCAAATTGCGGTGACAGTCTCTTTGATTCCAAGATCTTTAATTAAAAACACTTGACTCTAAAACTCCCCTCCTTTCCGCTTCTATTTTCCTCCTCATCTATTCCCAAGCAGTATACAGTATTGAAACCCAGAGCTCTAGTAGATTGTTAAATTAACGGGGTAGTTAAATTTTATTTCTTAACGAGAGAGAAATTGAACCATTCATACAAAAACTGCTAGGCTTAGTAACTGTTGTAAACTTGAGCTGATTTATGATCAAGTAATTTAATGCAAATATACAGGTATTGAATTTCATGACAGGGGTGGGATTGGACAAATGGGATTGGAGGAGTGATGAGGGATTGGAGGAGTGGGATTAGAGAAGTGGGATTAGAGAAGTACAAGGGGATAGAAGTAGTTTTATCCTTTGCTGGTAACCCTGTATGAGAAGGATTTGACAAGATGGGATTGGTCAACCAGTGAGGATAAGATCTTTAAATAGGATTGAAAGAAAAATTAAACTATTTTAGATGATTGGATATATTAAGAGGATTAAATAAAGAACTGGAATGTAGTTGAATGAATTAGAACTACAGCAGTAAAGATGGATTGGATGTATTGAGAGGATTATATAAAGAACTGGACTGTAAGATGAATGGATTAGAACTGCAGCAGTAAAGATGGACTGGATGTATTAAGAGGATTATATAAAGAACTGGATTGTAGGATGAATGGATTAGAACTGCAGCAGTAAAGATGGATTGGATGTATTAAGAGGATTATATATAGAACTGGACTGTAGGATGAATGGATTAGAACTACAGTAGTAAAGAAGGATTGGATGTGTTAAGAGGATTATATAAAGAACTGGATTGTAGGATGAATGGATTAGAACTACAGTAGTAAAGATGGATTGGATGTGTTAAAAGGATTATATAATAAACTGGATTGTATGATGAATGGATTAGAACTACAGTAGTAAAGAAGGATTGGATGTGTTAAGAGAATTATAGAAAGAACTGGATTGTAGGATGAATGGATTAGAACTACAGTAGTAAAGAAGGATTGGATGTGTTAAGAGAATTATAGAAAGAACTGGATTGTAGGATGAATGGATTAGAACTGCAGCAGTAAAGATCTCTGCAGTCTACTCCTCCAGCAGCTAAACATACATTATTCTCAGCCTAGAGACCAGACCAGACACACTGCAGAGAGAACCAAGAATAAACACTAGAATATTAGGGTCCGACTAGACATTGGAAGATATCAACCAGATATTATAATTGGAAAAATTGAAACAGGGTTTGAAGAAAAATAAATTTCTTGTTTTTATATTCATGATGTAATTATTAAATATTCTCCAATTTAGATCTATTGTTCGATCTTTACTTCATTAATATATTGTAATGTGAGACCATTTACCAACTAGAGAAAATGCAATGTATTTCTGACCCCAAGAAAAGTACTTTTTACATATATCCCCTCTCCCCCCCTCCCTTCCCACTGTTAATTTAATGTCGAGAATACGAATTTAATTTCAGAAGCACGTTATTTAAAAAGCACATCACACAGTATACAGTAATTCTTTTTCTAAGCAATCAAACATTTCCGTTTATCAAAAACTTGTAACCGCAGGTTTTCCAGAAAGCGACTCGCTTAATAATACTTTGAAGTACTGATAAAAGGAATCGAGTCTTTGACACAAATTCAAATTGTCATATCTCTATATCTTTGCACCCTGATAGTGTATACCTTTAAGATTTCAAACTTAGATTATTTGATCTAAAAGAATTCATAATTTGAAATACCAAATACATCGGGTTGCAAAGATTAGGTTAGATTATAAAATCAGAGTTTGTGGCACACATTTTATGAGAAATTTCTAGATGATTATTACAAATATACATATATTCACCTTTTTTATTTATTTCCCTTTCTTTTAAACATACGTATCTATAAATTTCATTATACAGAGAAATTTTGTTATGTTTCACATTTATGCTTAGGGCAGGGCGTCCGTAATATTATGAGGAGAAAATGATGAAAATGAATTTCTGTGAAAAGATAAAAACCTAGCTGTAACAGATCATCATATCAGCAAGATGGTGTAGAAATATCAATTCACGACCTACACCATTTACATCAAGCTCAATTCGCATTTGACAATTTAGATTTGAATAAGCTGACACATTTTAGGGAAAGTTTTTGTCCAAATAAAAATAGTTTGAAATATCATTTTATTTGAATCATTATTTCCGAAAATAGCACCCTATCGACCCCCCTTTTTTTCAACAGTTTGCGCCCCTGCACTTTTCAAGGTACATCCTGGCCAGAACACCATTCAGGGATATACTGGACTTACTTTAGAAAAAACTAGATGTAAAAATAATGATCTGTAAGGAAAATATACCCCTTTGGTGCTGAGTGACCAACTCCTTTTATAAATCGAGATCAGGACATTAACTAATAAATATAAACATACAGTGCACTTCAATCCCTACCTGAGCCTTTCCGTCCCGTTCTATCCTTCCTTTTCTCTTTCCTGAGTAATCTTAGTTTCAAAATTTAAGATAAATCATTTTTCTTATTAGATATGGACAACTTATCTGTATGATTCAGAAAAACGTCCTGAATTAAAACAAAAAAAATTCAAAAATAAGTTTACGGGGACATAATTAAGAGAAATTTTGTGAAAGATTTGCTCCTCAGACTGGAGTTTATTTCATTTTTCTCCTGCTTTCTCAGCTGACTCCACCCTGGCAGAGGCTTTGCTACTTTCCGTTGGTCGTGTGAAGGAGATATTAGATTGTCAGGACGTGTTCGGGAGCTCTTGGAGCTTCTTGAACCCAACCTGGACTGGAGGAGCTGATGACAAGAACGATCTCGGTTTCTGCTTGGTTGATCATGATCATGGAAGTCTATTTGGAAGGTTTCACAGCCAGGTTTCTTAATCACATTCTGAATGAGGAATTCAGAACTTAAATCTCTTCGTATTTGTTCTGGAGATCCGTCCCGATCCTTGCTTGGATCGGGATCCATTATATAGGACGAGGAGGAGAAAGGTCTAGGTTCGGGATCGCTCTCCTCCTCCTCAAAATCATCACTGTACTCCTCGACAACCTGTTCAACCGGCTCGCACAGATCATTCTATATTATCCCCGTGCTCTTATCTTTCAGTTGAAGGAGAAAGAACTCTACTCATTTTAACCTCCCCTCATGATAATTTTCCATTTTATACCAATTCTATTAATTCAATAGAGATACAAATTGGATGATATTGAAAGAGATGTTTGAAGAAAATGATGACCAGTTTGGAGTAAAATACGACGGAAAAGGCACAAATAACTAATGAATTGAATGACTAAAAGCAGAGGAAAAATAGATAATTCGGATTTTCAACAAATAAGAAGAACAAAATATAAGAGCACGGTTAATCAGCTGACCCGAAGTTGAGCAAGGGTTTTGCTCCGGGTTACACTGTGAACTGTGGGTTCAGCTCCGGATGCAGCACAATTTACGTCATGAAAGGAGTGTCTTCTCTTCAATATATCTGAACTAAGTCTTTTCCAATCCTTTCCATTACATTGTCCCATGTTCACCTTGACAAAATCTCTGGAAAAAACCCGATTTTTTAATTTTTTTTTTTGACAGGCTCCCTGCTTTTGTTTATCAAACTGACTCAGAGAATAGAAATCGCGTGGGAGGTTTAGGTTTAGGTAGGCTTACTCCAGTTCTCACTACTCAGGGCTCAAAATACTTAATCACTATCTCTGCATTAACATCAGATCATTCACACACAAAAACTTTCTAACTTTGAAGAATCAATGTTATTTTAAATGTATTTCAGAAACTGTTTTCGATATAATTAGAATAATCTATATCTGAGCAAGAAACTTTTAAATTTGACAGAATTCATCTCATTCTCTCGTGGAGGGGAGATTAGCTCAACTTTCCTCATTGGTCACAAGAGAGATTTAAACAGTATAAGATTTGTTCTGTTCAAACAATATTAGATTTGTTCTGTTCAATCAATATTTGATTTATTATAACATTAGGATCAATTTTCACTAATGAAAGATCAAGAAGAGAATGAGATAAACCAATGCTGCCCTTTAAAAGTTCCTGGCTCAAATTTCTTTACTAGCCAAGGACCTAGATTGCCGAATCAAAAATAGAAACAAACCCTCTTATATCTGTTCATTTCAGGGCTTATCTAGAATTAAAACCAAAGATATCGATCTCATTGATTTAATTATCCATATTTAATCTATAAGTAATACACACCTAGTAAGTCCAATGAAATAAGCTAGAAAGCGGCAGAATTTAACAAATCAATGTTACTACAAGGAGAGTTAACTAACCCCCAGGATTAATATAAAAACATGTATATGCATGTATCAGTTAGATTTGTAGATATCTATTTTATTGGAGTATTTTTGTTGAAACATAAGAAAAAAAACTTTTATATTTTTTGTTTAAATGTTACACTTTTCAACACTCAAACTTTTCTTAAGACTTTTTTTTATAAAATACTATTTAATCCTTTTGTTAGATAATTATCATTTTACGCAGGTGTATTGAAAATCACTTTATCAAGACTTTCATTGTCAGGCAGAGTTTCTACACGCAAAATATTCACAAAGCCCTGAATATGCCTGGATTGCATGGATTAAACAACTGCATTATTGAGAATTAAAGAATACCTAGAGAAGGCCTGAGTTTAGGCCTCATCTACCTGTACCTGCCTCCAAACCTTCCTTAACTTCAACTGTGATGTAAATAATCAATGTTTTTAATAAACTATTAACATCATTTAATCAATATTTTAAGGTATTTTCATTTTATTAAAAAAAAACTAAAAAACATTTAACGTCATGTAACGTGAACGTGGTAGAAAACAGATTTTTCATTTTCATAAAAATTTTGGATTGAGTCAAAATAAAAAAAATCATTTTTTAGTAATTTAAAAAAACACGAATATATTTTACTACAAAATCTTTTGTTGTAAAGTTCTCAAATTATAAATAAGTTAGAATAGTTAGAAGAATTGTTGAAAAGAAATATAAGAGTTTGTTAGAAAACAAATAGATTTAGCCTCAAAATGAATTTAGTATGAAAGCTTGATAAACTGCAATGTTCTTGTGATATTTGTTAACAAAGCAAGCTTTATAAGAAACAAATATAAAAAGTCAAAATAATATTCGTACTTTACTTCAATGAACAAAAGGGAAAACAACTCAGCCAACTTGAGCAGATAAATTTTGTACGAATTAATAAAAAAATCTAATTTATACAAACATTAAAATTTCACGAAGGACGCATCTCATATATTTAGGTTTTTAATTGTTTCCCACAAAGCTGGGAAGATTTGATACTCCTGGCGCGCCAAGTCTAACTACGCGTATAAGGTTCATAATAGATAGATAAATACCAACTCAAATAAAAAAATACAAAGTCTCTTTGTATAATGCAAGCAAATTATTTTAAAAACACAAATTTAAGGAAGAAATCAAATATCCAATTTTGCCTTGCTTATGAAAGAATTAAAATAAAAACACAGGGAGAACAAAATATACAGAAATTAATACAGAAATAAAGAACAAAAGATCAGATTTAAAGAGAGAACTGGAAAAAACAAGAATAAATGAAGAACAGGAATACAGGGAGAACAATACATGGAGAATATGAATACAGGGAGAACAAGAATACATGAAGAACAGGAATACAGGGAGCACAATACATGAAGAACAGTAATACATGGAGAACAATACATGGAGAATAGGAATACAGGGAGAACAAGAATACATGAAGAACAGGAATACAGGGAGCACAATACATGGAGAACAGTAATACATGAAGAACAATGCATGGAGAATAGGAATACAGGGAGAACAAGAATACATGGAGAACAGGAATACATGAAGAACAGGAATACAGAGAATACAGGAATACAGGGAAAACGATACATGGAGAACAGGAATACAGAGAATACAGAAACACAGGGAGAACAAGAAAACATGGAGAACAGGAATACAGAAAAAAACAAGAATAAGAGAGAAAAGGAATACAGGGAGAACAAGAATACACGGAGAACAGAAATTCAGGGAGAACAGGAATACAGAGAATACAGTAATACAGGGAGAACAATAATACAGAGAAAAAAGGAATACAGGGAGAACAAGAATACACGGAGAACAGGAATACACGGAGAACAGGAATACAGTAATACAGGGAGAACAGGAATACAGAGAATATAGTAATACAAGGAGAACAGGAATACATGGAGAACAAGAATACATGGAACACAGGAATACAGAGAGAACAAGAATACATGGAGAACAAGAATACATGAAGAACAAGAATAAAGCGAGAACAAGAATAAAGCGAGAACAAGAATAAAGGGAGAACTGGAATACAGTAACAGGAATACAGAGAATACAGTAATACAGGGAGAACAAGAATACACGGAGAACAGGATTACATGGAAAACAATAATACCTGGCGAACAGGAATACATGAATACGGTAATACAGGGAGATCAGGAATACAGGGAGAACAGAAATACAGGGAGAACAGAAATACAGAGAATACAGTAATGCAGGGAGAACAAGAATACAGGGAGAACAAGAATACAGGGAAAACAAGAATACACGGAGAACAGAAATACAGGGAGATCAGGAATACAGAGAATACAGTAATACAGGGAGAACAAATACATAGAGAACAGGAATACAGAGAATACAGTAATACAGGGAGAACAAGAATACATGGAGAACAGGAATACATGGAGAACAGGAATACATGGAGAACAGGAATACAGGGAGAACAGGAATACAGAGAGAACAGGAATACAAGGAGAACAGGAATACAGGGAGAACAAGAATACAGGGAGAACAAGAATACAGGGAGAACAAGAAGACACGGAGAACAGGAATACAGGGAGATCAGGAATACAGAGAATACAGTAATACAGGGAGAACAAATACATAAAGAACAGGAATACAAAGAGAACAAGAATACATGGAGAAGAGGAATACAGGAAAAAAAAGAATACACGGAGAAAAGGAATACAGGGAATACAGAAATAACAGGAAAACAAGGAGAACAGGAAAACAGGATGAACAGAAATAAAGGGAGAACAAAGAGAACAGATAGAACAGGAATAAGGGAGAACAGGGAGAAAAGGGAGAACAGGGAGAACAGGAATACAGGAAAAACAGAAAGAACAGGGAGAATTGGTAGAACTGGAAGAACAGAGAGAACAGTGAGAACAATGAGAATAGTAATAACAGGGAGAACAGGGAAAACGGGGAAAACAGGGAGAACGGAGAGAACAGGGAGAACAGGGAGAACTCGGAGAACAGGGAGGACAGGAAGAACAGGGAGAACAGGGAGAACAGGGAGAACAGGGAGAACAGGGAGAACAGGGAGAAATGGGAGAAATGGGAGAACAATAAAATTAGGAAAAGATGGAGAAAGCGTATTTTCAGAATTATGGTTTTGAATAAAATGTTGATGGATTTTTCATCCGATATTGTAAGGTACTTGAGGTATGATTAATATAGGGATACAATATTTGATGGTTTTATCATATGAGAGTCAGAAAGGATTATATTTTGATATTCGTCGTCACCGATTTGTGACGAAACAAAAAGAGAACTTTTCATAACCTAGGCTTTTAGGACGCTTCGCGCCACCTCTGAAAGTCGCCATTTTAAATATTTCCCAAATTTTCACGGATTTTCTGTCTAAATTGGTTTCACAAATAATAAATGTCTACTTTTTTTACGGGAAAAATTTTTCAACTTTGACCAACCGTAAACCTTCCCTGGGGGGTTTCGTTATTTTATGAAAGTTAATTTCAGTCTCTCCCTTTAAACATCTTTCGATACTTCTCTATCTTTCTTTGTTATTTTAACTCAAGACTTTTTATTCTCTATTTCATCAATTAGCGTGAGTTGGCAACCCATATCAATTTAGAGGGGGGGCCTGGGGGGGGGTCCAAAAATCGTTCTCTAGGAATATACCTATCTGTCCTGTCTTTTCACATTTTTTCCGTTATTTCTCTTTATTTTTTTAACCTTCATTTTTTACAATCTTTTTAATTCTTTTTTAACTTTCTCTTTTTATTTTGTATCCTATCAAACCATATATTTACTTTCTTTGAATTTCTTTATTTTAGAACAATGGACTTTGTTCCTCGCACATACAGTGCAAAATCAAAACATTAACAAACTAAAATGAAAATCTTACCGTCGGTTCTTTTGATGTCGACATTCACCCCCATCCTGATCCCTCCCATCACGTTCTCCGCGTCCTCGGTCATCTTCATCAGGACAAATTCACAGTCACAACAGTTATCCTGCAATCTCACTTAGTTCTTTCTATATTTTAAACTGGTCTGTTCACAACTAGTCGATAACTCAACTGGTTCACAAAAACCCTCGCATCGAGAATCTGAAAAATTCAAATTTAATAAATTGGTAAATTCCTGTGACAGAGAGAAGAAAAACTTGAAATAAAATGTATAATTAAGTAATTTGACACTGATACTGAAAATTAAAATAATTTGCTCATCGGAATTTATTCATCGAGTAGTTGGATCCGAGTGGTTCAGTGAGTAATTTTCAACCATCTGTGTTGTATCGACTAGACTCTCCTTGAGTACCTAGATACAGCTGAGTTCTCGCCACCCTACCTTACAACTTCGCATCTAGGAAATACAGTTAAAAAAGGCGGCAATAATTAAACAAGGTTTTTAAGATGACAAAGAAGGATTTCAGTATGATTTTATAGTAATTACAAGATTACAAAATTAAACAAAGAGGTTTAAAGTGATATTTTACTGCACCCCCCCCCCCTACCCCTACAGTAACTATCCAGTTTTAAGTTTCAGTACTTCGAGCGGCCGTTCTCTATAGAAAGTTATGTAGTTCACGTACTTTGGGGGACGATATGTTGGTTGCGGTGGATTCACATTTGAACTACTCCCGTTTGAACTTTTGTTCGTTTGAACTATTGTTTATTTGAACTACTGAAATGACGTATCCTGTTATAGTTCAAATCAACACATTACTTGCTCATTTGAACTATTTTTCTACCAATTCAGTTTTTAAATTTTTTTATAATTATATGAAGTTAAAGGGACCATACAATTAATTAGATAACATATACACAGATGTTTCAAATAAACATAAAAATAGTTCAAATAATCAAAAAATAGTTCAAATGAACATAAAAATAGTTCAAATGAACATAAAAATAGTTCAAATGAACAAAAAATAGTTCAAATGAAATAGTTCAAATGACANAAAAAGGGGTCTGTCCTGATGAGTCCTATAGAAAACGATTTTGACCCCCCTATCAATTTTGTACATGACCATTTTTTTCATCAAGTTTATTAATATTTATTTACTATGATTTTAGGGTTAGGTTAGATTAAGCTCATTTTTGGGCCGAGCGCTGCGGCTAGGACGGGCTTATGGGCCGAGCGCTGCGGCCAGGAAAGACCTCTATAATTCAACAATTTTTAATAAAATTAGTGTATATTTATTGTTAGGTTAGGTTAAGCTCATTTCTGGGCCGAGCGCTGCGGCCAGGGGGCCGAGCGCTGCGGCCACATGTCTGGGCCGAGCACTGCGGCTAGCACAGGCTATGGGGCCGAGCGCTACGGCCACATGACCAATACTAATTTGCTGTAAACTAAAAAAATAATGGTCATACAAAATTGATAGGTTCTATTTTTATGTCTAATTTGAACTATATTTTTATGTCCATTTCAACTATTTTTTTGTTCATTTGAACTATTTTTTTGTTCATTTGAACTATTTTTATGTCCATTTGAACTATTTTTATGTTCATTTGAACTATTTTTATGTCCATTTGAACTATTTTTATGTCCATTTGAACTATTTTTTTCATTTGAACTATTTTTTGTTCATTTGAACTATTTTTTGTTCATTTGAACTATTTTACGTACATTTAAACTATTTTTATGTCCGTTTGAACTATTTTAATGTTCGTTTAAACTATTTTCTTATGTATTTCATTTAAAATATCAATAGTTCAAACGATTCAAATGATTGTTCATTTCAACTATATACTCACGTGGTACCACGTGCAGTAGTTCAAACGAACAATAGTTCAAATGAACAATAGTTCAAACGGGAGTAGCTCAAATGGGATAGCATCGTTGGTTGCTAGATATCTCATGCTAAATTCTTATCTGATAATGGAGAATTTCTCCGTACGCTTAACGACCATAACAGGAGACGCCAAGTTCTCGACCATATAGTTTATGGAATGAACGGCCTCTGAAAACTAACAGGCCCCTTGAAAAAGAAGCCTGTACATTTGATAAAACGATTTTTATTCCTTAATAAGCGGGAAAATAAGCAGAAACCGTCTTGAAGCCTGTCACAACCTTTATCCGACTACATAATATACATATTCTAAATAACATTTATTTAATCACAGCGAGGTTAAAAACTATATTAATCATTACATTTGATATCAGATCACACCTAGATCACACCTATATGAAATAATCTATGTGTATAAATCTGTGGATTGTGGAACTACATAAAAAAACATTTTACAGGATGGACGGATGACACGTAAATGACATTGTTACTGATCATTTGTTTTTTTAATGGTAACTATTTTACCGAGTGAGCCAAATGACATTAGATTTTCCATTGTGCACTTAAATATTAGAATTAAGTGTAGGGTGTCCTACAAAACATGATAGTTAATTTGCAGCACTCATTTGTCAACCTAATTTTACGAATACGATTCTTGAAACGTTAATCATAAAATTTCCCCAATCTCAAAATTACCCAAAATATCGTGAGAAACCTTGTAAATTGAATTGATAAATTTAACTAAATTGATATCTAATATCAAATGGCTCATACTAAGCGTAAGAACTACTTAATGTTATTACTGGTTAGATTTAAGGCATTAGACCGGACCAGGCATATTTCACTGGAATTATCTCTCCGTCCTATCCAGCTAGGAAATATCTCCAAACCCTAGGTTCCATTTCTCAAACGAGGCGAGACATTCAGGACTCAAACTTTTTCGAACCCTCTCACACGACTTTTCGAAATCCTGAAAAAAAAATTAAAAGAAAAGAAAATATTATCCTATTAAAATTAGAAAGTGGCTTCATTTGAGATTTATATCTTACTAAGTAGATCAGATATAAAGTTTTATTTAGGGATTTATCTTTTTCGGAACAAGAAAATTTGGAACTAAAACTAACCTTAATATTTATAGATCTCATCTCCTCGGGTTTAATTTTAACCAGCTCTGCCGTTGAAATCTCCCTAAGAGGTGCCATAGCTGCGTCCCGAGCCAGGTTCGTTATATCACTGCAGGTGTACCCATCAGTCAGCAGAGCAACTTTATCCAGGTCCTTTCTAGACAGTGGAGATCCGTGCTTGGAGATCAGAGATGATACAAGAGCAATCCGTGCGTTTTTATCCGGCATTTGAACGTAAACTCGCTTCGTGAACCTAGAGGAAACAATAAGTTTATGATTTACTTAAATCGTTTGAAAAAGAGCTAAAATTGCGTAGAAGGGGAGGGGACTTCACGTAGAAGGGGAGGGGACTTCACGTAGAAGGGGAGGGGACTTCACGTAGAAGGCGAGGGGACTTCACGTAGAAGGGGAGGGGACTTAGGAGAGAAGGCGAGGAGGTTTATCAGGACCTAGAATTACCTACGGAGAGCTGCATCGTCCAGCTCTTGAGGACGATTTGTTGCCGCTACAACAACTATTTTTTCCTCGCAACCTAAGCATTGAGATAATATTAGATTTAGAGATTCGAATTAGATATTTATTAATATTAGAGATTTCATATTTTCAGTACCTGTCAGCATTCCTTCAAACTGAAGAAGAAATTCAGTTTTAATTCTTCTCATGGCTTCATGTTCTCCAGTCCTTCGTTCAGAAAGAAGAGAATCTATCTCGTCTATACAAAAAAAAATTTCGTAGTTAAATAATAGGCTTTTTTCATCTTTAAAAATAATTAATATCCTTCCGTCCTACGCCTAAAAGTAAACTAATTCCATTCTCCTTCCTTCACAATGAACCCTCACCCTTATTCTTTCGTCGTAGACTAAGAAAATCTATTGAAAAGTTATATTTTTATTCTCCTGTCCTATATACCCCAAAAAAATTCAATCTCCGTCCTACACTCTGTGTTAAGATTATTCTTGTTCTCCGTCCTATAATCATTTTATCTTAACAATCTTATCTTTTAAAAAAATATTCTTGTTATCCAGCCTAACCTCAAAGAATCTATCTTGTCTTAACAAACTTTTCTTACTTATAATCTTCTCCGAGAATCTTAAAAACACCCTTTTTCTCCATCCTTCACTCAAAGATTTAATGTCATCTTAAAAACTAATCTTATTCTCCGTCCTTTACTTAAGAACCGATTGTATCTTTAAAAAAAGACATTCTTAATAAAAATTTAAAAAATATTCAAAACTATTTTATTTGAACCAACTTTCTAAACTCAAAGAATCTATTTGATCTAAAACTACTACTTTGTAAGTTTACCGATGAAGATGATAACAGGTTGAATAGCTCTAGCAACACTAAACAGAGTTCGAACCAACTTCTCTCCCTCTCCAACCCATTTACTGGTCAGACTACTGGAGCTGATATTTACAAGGTTACACCTAATATAGGATTTCAAGTCATAAAAATTATTTCTTTCCTGATTTTTTTTTAAATAATTGTTAAAGTTAGGATAACTTGATATATTTGTCAAAATTCTAAATATCAAGCAATCACTGGTTTGTGATTTAAAAGCCGTCCCAGTTTCGAAGACTAATACCGCCAACGGAGTTCCGTTGGCGGTATTGGTCTCACACAAATCTAAAAAAAATAACTTACTGCGCCTCTGTAGCCAAGGCTCTAGCTAGTAATGTTTTTCCATTCCCAGGCGGTCCAAACAGTAACAATCCTAAAATTCAAGTTCACTTTATCTTTCTTTCAATCTTCAAAAAGAACAACACAAAAATAAAAAAGATGACAGAAAATTTTGTAATTTTATTTTTCTAACCTCTGGCCGGAGATCTTAGTCCTGTAAACAGCTCTGGTCGAAGAGACGGGAGAACAACCATCTCATGCAACGCAGATTTGGCCTAAACATTAACAAAATAAAACTTAAAAACGAATCAAGGAGGTAAAAAATAGAATTTGGTTTTGTTTAATTTTAAGTCTTTAAACATCTTAATTCCGACTTGGGATTAGGTTGAGTAGAAATGTATCTCCGGTACTTTACCTTTTCTTGCCCCGACACATCAGCAAACTTTACTCCGGTTGAGGATTTAGGCACAACCTCGTCCAGGATCATCTCCACCAACTTCTGATCCAGGCTCTTCAACCCGGTACACTTACTCTTCAATTCATCCTTCCAGCTCCTACCGTCATCTGAACAGAATTGAAATCAGAACTTTTCTTATAAAAATCTGTAGTTGGTTAACGACCTCCTTGAAGGACCTTTTTAATTATATTTTGTGGATTAAAGATCATATTTAGCCTCTAGACAAATGTTTAAAGCAGACATAAAAACTTGTGTGTTGAAATAATTGATCTTGAACGCCTGATCTCGATATCCATTGTCATCGCTTTTAAATTTTAGGATAAATGTTTGATCCCTCAATTCAAGTTATCCCTGCAGGGTATAAACATCTCGGGATATCGAAGAGGAATTAGATTAATACTCTTAGATCTGCAATAAGATAGAGAACAATGCTTGATCCTGAGATTCACAATACACAAGTTCTGACTTCTGAGTTCGAATTTAAAGAATTTTAGTCGCGACTTAAATTTAAGCCGCGGCTCAAATATTGTTGGTTCCACTTAAAATTGTATTCAATTTTTCAAGATTTAAGCCGAGCACAATTGAAACCGGTTTTTGGCAGATTTATGCCTTCGCTCAAATTCATTAAATTCGGACACAGAACACTTTATTGTTAGTAGTTTCTTACCATTGCTTTTAGTCCTTCGAGGCTTGTTAACAGCGTTCGAACCGTTGGCACTTATAGATTTCATTCTCAGCTCCGTAGCTCGGTTGTTCCTGGGAACTCGAGATCCAGCAGTTGAAGATGATTTGATCCTAGGAGTAATTAAACTGGTTGGTTTAGAGACAACAGGAGTGCTCCGGGTAGGTTTAGGAACTGCAGCAGGATGGGTTCGGTTTCTTCTCTCCTCGTCCTCGTTTGCTCTGATACTGAGTGAGTGTAGATGAAGACTAGTGTTTAGATAGTTTAATCTCTCCTCTGCAGTTGCCAGGTTTTCTCTCATCTTCTCTTTCAGTTTCTGAGCTCGAACCAGGGACTCATCATGAAAGTTCGTCTATAAAAATCAAATATTATGGCGAAGGCTATAGTCTATAAATTAAGTGTTCGGAGGAATAACCGTCAAATTAAGCGTAAATAAATTTAAATTTTAAAAACTAAATTAAAAAAAGTTTTATCTTAATTTAGAAAACTTGAATTATCGAGAGGTTAAAAGTCCTATTTTTCACCCAAGCTTGAAAAATTAGATGTAAAAAATGTAAAAAAATCTTTTCTTTTTAACAAATCACCATTCTAACTATCAAGAACCAATTATGAATATCAAGTCTTATTTAGTACCGGGATGTAGAGATTGACTCCAAGCTTTAGAGCTTCAATTCCCTTCTCGTAGAGCGGTATTGCCGCGGATTTGTTCTCCAGTGTGGTCTCGGTCTCGTCTATCTTCAAGGCCTGACTAATGAACAGGAAACTATCCTTGTGCAATTCCTTCTGCTTCGCAACATTAGGATGTGTAGGATTCGGTCCAAGGTTTCTAAACAAAATATTAAGTTTAAGTCCAGGGTTACCCACAAAGGATGAGACTCCAGGGACGACTGTACAGAATTCATACGCTCTCTTTCCTTCAAATCATGATTCGCTGCAACTGTAAACTTGTTTATTTCTTTGCTAAATCATTTTATAAGCTATTAAAAGCCAAGGCAGAGGACTTAATTAAACCCTGGCATCGTCATATTCAAGTCTCATCCTTTGTGGGTAACCCTGTATTTTAAAATCAAGATCCATAATACTCGACATAGAATTCAAAGCAGTTTTTAGCCCTTACTGTGCTTTAATTGGGACCGGAATCTGAAGAAAATAAGATGAAAATCTAGGATTAGTTTTGATTTGCTTAAACTGCCTTATCTCACGACTTGACAGTAAAACCATAATAAAACAGGATACAAGGCGTCTTTGATTTATATTTATAATATTCGATTAGAATTTTTTAATATAAAACCTGTTCAAACACTAAATATTGTGCAGTCATTCATTACGCCGCAATTATTATTATTATTATTATCATCAATTGTTTCCCTACCTCGCCATTTCCTCTATTGAGGTGTAGGAGATACTGGAGAACAAAGAGCTGGATGAGTCAACACAGAATGGAACCCCAGTCCTTGATAATGAGTTCCCCATTCAATCCACCAGGTTCCAACTTTCTATCCACTACTCCAGGATGATGAACTGATCCTGACTCAGTGACCATTATACTTTCATCTCTGAAATACATACAAGGTCAAACGTATTTTTGACGGTATTGAGTTTCAAACACGGATTTTTCTGGTTCACAATACAAAAAAAAGTTTTTTGATATCACTAACAATGTTAACAGACAGTATTTAAAAAATCTAGTAGTAGTAGTAATGATAATAGTTAAATAAACACTGGAGAGAAATTAATAAACAATTCATTCATAGAATAAACGATTAATAATTTAAGGAAATGCTACGTGTTGTGCCTTCTCCTCAGAATATTCAGGTACTTCCCTCTAAAATTAAAAAAATCATATCATTTTAACAGGCGTAGGTTTAACTGTTATTCAGGGTTTCAGAGACAAATATTTGTTCAGTCTTATTTAACAGTTCCTAGTTAGCTGTACGAATTCTACTTTGTCTTTACAACACCTCTTAGCATAAACAAGATTATATCAATTCAGAAACCCGAAGCCAAACTTTAGAATGAGTTTAAGGAGTCAATCGAGTCTCGTACTTGGTGTGGGACTTGCTAAACATTCTTTTCATTTTATACCTTAATTTGTGTTCCAACTTATTTCTGTTCTGTCCTTTACATTTCTAATACCTTACAAAAGTGTTGTTTAATGCAAGGATATTTGCATGAAAGACATACTACATATAAGAAAGGTAAACAATAATGTATTTAAAGAAGAATGGGCGGTATTTCACCATTACCTTGTCATTTCCTTTGACTCCTCCTGTCCCAGCTGGTAAGCCAGGTTCTGTAGTTTTCTAACTTCGTTTAGTATATCGGGAACAGACAGGGTTCCAAGCTGCATTAATAGTTCCATATCATCCTTAGTCAACCCTTGTAACCATTCTCCAGGCTAAGAATAGTGAAAAATTAGATGTTTTAGAAGAAGACATATAAGAAAGCAAATCTTAACAAGGGGAGAAAGGGAGTTTCGTTACTGGAAGATGTGAACATGTATTTCTTCGGTTTTTTTTAAGTTTTATTGGAAATACAGAGTAGGATTTGATAGGATAGAGGAGTAAAGAAAAAGTAGGGATGGATGGAGGAGTAAAGGAAAATAAGACACGGATATAGGAGTAAAGGAAGAGTAGGGATGGATAGATGAGTAAAGAATGAGAAGAGACGGATAGAGAAGTAAAGGAAGAATAGGGGCGGGTCGAGCAGAAAAGGAAGTATGGTAGGATAGAGAATTAAAGGAAGAATAGGGATTGATAAATGAGTAAAGAATGAGAGAGACGGATAGAGAAGTAAAGGAAGAATAGGGGCGGGTCGAGCAGAAAAGGAAGTATGGTAGGATAGAGAAGTAAAGGAAGAGAAGGGACGGGTAGAGCAGTATAGGAAGTATGATAGGATAGAGAAGTAAAGGAATGTTAAGGATAGATAGAGAATTAAAGGGTAGGGTAGGGATAGATAGAGAGGGGAGTAAAGGAAGTATGAATGTATGGATTTTATACTAGAGAAAGTATATGATGAGTAGGGCTAAATATAAAAGTGAATATGGAAACAGGTGTAGAGACAGAACACGGATAGAATAGAAAGTGTAAGGATAGATAAAAAATAATATATCTGGAGAGAGTTAGAGGAAGATTGAGATAGAAATTATTTGGATAGAAGTAAAATGTTTGGTCTGAACCTGACTAGGTGAGGATTGATTGGTTGTTGGAGTAGCTGGAATGAACTGGTTTACTCCAGGTATCTGCTCCGGCCATAGATCTGGAGAGGATCTATCAAGTTTTTCCAAAGCTCTTAAACTGAGTTCTAAATCCTCGAGGTCGGATTCAGCCTCCACCTGGAGCGAACTGTTTAAAATAGGATGGTTACTACTGGACTGGTTGTGATCTGCTCCGTTCTCAGCTCCGAGATCCGATAATAAATCTCCGACCAGAGACATTATGAATCACTGATCCTTCTCTGAAAAGTCTTGTATTGAAAAATTCTCAATTGACGAGAGCAAGTCCATGAAATGAAATTTAATAAAATATCCGCACCATATATGTAAAACCTGTCTGAAATGTATGTTTTTGTTTGTCCTTCAGTTCATATTTATTCAAATTTGTAGGTTACAGTTAGGTTCGGTCTAGTCTAGCTACCTGAAACTACATAATTACTCACACACAGGTTTACTCTCTCATGGATCCTAATCCACTGAATCCTCAATTCATCTTCAGATCAATAAATTCTTCGATAATTAAATATTGTTAACAGAAGATTCCCCCCCCCCACATACCCCAGTCTTCCTATCCTACCTGTACTTCTTATCTATAAATATACTTTGCTCGTCTGTTTGTATCAACTAAACGTCAAAACTACTAAAATTATCGGACCTAAACTTTGTTTAGCTTTTCTCATAACCCCAGGTAAGGATTTTGGATGGTCGAACTTAAAAATGTAGAAAAAATGTGAACATTCATTATTTTTGAATACCAATTTATAAAGAAAAATCCTTGACATTTTAGTCATACAATTACGAAGAAAAATGTGGATTTATAAAGCAAGAGTAAAAAGCTAAAATTGTTAATGTGAAAGGGACGCGAAGCACCCTTGTAACCAATATTTTAATATTATTCCTATGTTCTGAATGAAATATGCCATGTTGGACAAAGCAGGGCCGGTGGATATTAAATATATTGCTTATTGAAATCATAGACAGAGGAAATAACAAGTTTAACATCTAGTTTTTCCATAGAGTGAGCAGAAGGGGTCATCAAAAATCTTATTGATCTACAAATAAATGTGTAAAGAGCAAAAAGTTTGTTTTATTAAGTTAACTCGGACCAGTGGATCCGGATTCAAGGATCCAAAATTTAGCGGATCTACCGGATCCGGATCCTTAGCGCTGAATTTAACAGGATTTTATCTGATGTCATTTTATGATATTCTAACCTTAGATAAAAATAAGATTTTTTTAATATTTAATGTTTTCAGAATATAAATAAAACAAATTAATTTTAAAAGTTGATGATGTATCATTTTATTAAGTAATATCTGAACAAAAGATTGAAACCAATTGCAAGCAAATAAAATAAAACAAATGGTTTTATTTATAATTAACAATAAAGCTGACTGTATTAAAAGAATTGATAGTATCTATTATAAGTTTAAATGAATCACAGCGACGATGTGACGCTTTAAATTCTTCCCCCACATAATCCCACACGATTACAAATTCTTAGTATTTTAACCACATCATTAACTGATGCAAGGAAATCTAGTAAAATCTTGTAATCGTGTTTTAACACAAGTTTCCTGATCTGTAAATGATGAGGTTCAAGATAGGTTAGCTCAGCTTAGTTGGCTAGCTAGGCTAGTTCAGTAAGAATATCTAATTAACATAGTTCAACCAGCTCAAACAAATATAATTAAATAAACTAGTTTTCAAAAGACTGGAATTTTCTAGTTTAACTAGCTCCAGTAGCTGATCTCATTCAACTAGCTCTGTATTGAGCTTTACATGCAGATTTGGTACGCTACAGCGGTTTAACTGGAGTAGCTTAACTAACTCCAGTAGCTCAACTTAATTCCCGTTTTCTCTACAGTAGCTGAACTGAACTGTAGGTTTAACTCCAGTAGTTGAACTGAACTGTAGGGTCATCTCTAGTAGCAGAACTGAACTGTATGTTTAACTCAAGTTTCTGAACTTAAACATGTAGGTTCAGTTTACTCCAGGAACTGGTGTACTGTATATCTGCAGGTTTAACGGTGTGTAGTGTATGTGCTCCTGCTCCTCTGTATTTACGAACAGGATTGCAGCTAGTTTGCTGGGTTCATAGATTCTTGCTTGCAGATTACATTAAAACTCTGAAATAGATAAAAATGTATTCATGCAACTATTTCATTTCAACCCATTTGTTTATTTATACTTGGAACAAAAATGGCGAACGTTATAAAAATGTGCTCTCTAGTATTTTAGAACAATTATCAAACCAGAAATAAAATCCGAAATTATAAGTCTATTATCGTTTATATACTACAGTGAATCCCAGATATATGATAGACCGTCAGAAGTTTTTTGATAATTCTAACAAAACTTCTTTTTATTTTTAATTCAAGGTAAATTAATAGCCCTGAAATATGAATACAATTAATATATTAATATTAAACTCTTTTTTTTCTGCGGGATTTGATCTTAAATATGTAATACGACATTATTAAAAACTCTTGCTTTGTATTCATGTATCTGGGATTCACTGTGCTTAAAATAGTTTTTCTAAAAATTGATTGAAGATAAAAAAGACTTTTTTTCTTCAATTTTTCAGATTGGGCTTAATTAGGAATGTGGGTTCTGTTAAAACGGGCCGTTGAATTTAGCAATTTTAGAGCTGAGAATATTATTTTTTTATCACTATTGTGAATACTACCAGTTTAGGAGTCTTGGATAGATAAGAGAGATATGTTACAGGTCTGTACGATTCCAAAGTATTTTTTAAGTTTTTACCTCCAATTTTCTGTGCTTCTGAGTTTTTGTTTTGCCTGAACCCCGGGTAGTGCTGTCTAAGCTGTGTTGCTCTGTGCTGACTGAAGCCTGGAGGAGGTGTAGCTGTGCTTCCTCCCCACCCACCCAGCTGACCACCTTGTCCCATATTATGCCCGTTACGGCCTCCTAGGCCTAGAGAATTGAATCCAGGTAGAAGGCTTGACTGAGAGAAGGGTTGGTGCTGCTCACTAGTCAACTGCTCCAGGTTTGCAGTTATCCAGTTTGGCGGAGATTCAGCCCGACCGAACCCGAGTTCACCACGTAGACTCCCAGCTAGTAGATCACGTGACATATCTCTCTCTGGATGAGAGAGTTGACCGGTAACTATAGCAGGGTCAAGAGCAGTCCAATCGTGACCTAATCCAGAGCTATTTATCTCTCCCCAGTCTGAAAGAATAAAATTTGAATATTTTCTTTAATTAAATTAAAAATTTGTTGATGTACTTGAAAAATGTCCTTACTAGAGAAAGCACACTTACTTGAGTTCTGTTGAATTCTCTCGTGACCAAAGTTATGAAAATTCCCTTGCAGGCCGAATGACTGTTGTTGTTGCTGCTGTTGTTGTTGCTGCTGCTGTTGTTGCTGTTGAGCAGAATTATTCCCGCCAAAACTGACATTTACGTTTGGAAGAAGTGCTCTCAAACCGTCCTGATAAAGAATAAAGATTTAGTAAACTAAACAGAGGGAGAAGGTAAATTTAAGTGACATCACGAATAAGACTTTTTGACCTCGTAGCTTCAATCGTTTTGATTTTAAGAACAATTGCGAGAACAGCAAATTTATCCTGTTAAATATTAGAAGTTAAAAACATTTTTTCAATAAGTGGAGTTATGTCTTTAATAAGTGGAGTTATGTCTTCAATAAGTGGAGTTATGTCTTCAATAAGTGGAGTTAGGTCTTCAATAAGTGGAGTTATGTCTGCAATAAGTGGAGCTATGTATTCAATAAACGAAGATTTGCCTTCAATAAGTGGAGTTATGTCTTCAATAAGTGCAGTTAGGTCTTCAATAAGTGAATTAATGTCTTCAATAAGTGGAGTTATGTCTTCAATAAGTGGATTAATGTCTTCAATAAGTGGAGTTTTGTCTTAAATAAGTGGAGTTATGTTTTCAATAAGTGGAGTTAGTCTTCAATAAGTGGAGTTATGTATTCAACCAGTGGAGTTAGTCTTCAACCAGTGGAGTTAGTCTTCAATAAGTGGAGTTATGTCTTCAATAAGTGGAGTTATGTCTTCAATAAGTGGAGTTATGTCTTCAATAAGTGGAGTTATGTCTACCAGTGGAGTTAGTCTTCAATAAGTGGAGTTATGTCTTCAATAAGTGGAGTCTTCAATAAGTGGAGTTATGTCTTCAATAAGTGGAGTTATGTCTTCAATAAGTGGAGTTATGTCTTCAATAAGTGGAGTTATGTCTCCAATAAGTGGAGTCATGTCTCCAATAAGTGGAGTTATGTCTCCAATAAGTTGAGTTATGTTTTCAATCTGATGTGTAAATTACTTCAGTTTGCCGTGTACCTGATAAGATAAAAAAATAACGCGGTGGAAAAGTCTTGAAAGTATTTTTTAAATTCAAACCTGCCAGTCCTTGTTTCCGAACCCATCTCCGAGAGAACTGTGAAGTGGTTGTTTATGATCGAACAACATCCTACTGTGCTCGAGCATAGAGCTTGGTTTCCCGAGCTGGTTGAACATCAGGTCCGACTGACCGGTAAGCTGAGGACCGAACCCTGGAGCTGGAAGTCCACCACGTCCTCCCAACTGACTCTGTCCTCGGGTGAACAAAGAATCCACTCCCCCAGCCCCGGAGAGGAGACGGTTCAGGGAGTGGTCTGACATAAAATTGTACGGGGTTTGCTGCTGGGTTAGGGAGGGATTATGAAATCCTGGGGGCGGGGCCCGAGCTCGGCTGGGCGGGGCAGCACTTGGCCAATCCGGTTCGGGGGTGGGAACCTAAATCAATCTATAATATGAACAGCTCTATAAACAAAATAAGGCTAAAATATTCGAATGAATTAAATATTGATGAAAAGAAAGCCGTGCCAATTATCGGAAATTTTCCACAAACAAGTAGAAGTTGAATTCACGCGATAAGTATTTTGAGATTCTTTCTTTGTGAGAATATCAGGGAAATATTTTTTGCTTAAAATCACCCCACCCCCTCCCTCTTTGACAATGACTTTGTTTAGCAGGATTTAAGAAAAATTGCTAAATCGGGAAAAATATATGAATTTTTTAATCCAAAAAAGTTGTGTCCAGGGGTATATATTTCCTTGAAAAAGTTCTTCTTTCTCGCAGAATTTGAGAATGTTTTACAGGGTTTTATTCATTGAATTGGGGAGAATTTTAGGGGTGAAATAAATAAATTATTGGGTGTTCAGGACGAAAAAGGGTGAAATAACTTGCCTTTTGACGTTTAATTTTTCATTTTTCCCCTAATCTTGAAAAATCATCGCCCAGGCCTCCCCAGGGGGAGTAATTCTTTAAAAAATATACACACACACCCCTGATCTTTGAAAAATGTATACCCATGAAGAATGTTAAATAATGTCTGAAACTAGATTGAGAAAGAAAATAACTAAAATCTCCTGAAGATACCTGATTATTCTGGGCTTCAGCTGCTTTACTCTCACTCTCTAGAAGATCGGCCAATCCCTTTTGTGTCTCGTGGAACGGATCAAATCCTAGATAAATATTCAGGATTGGATGTTGGTCACATCATAGTCGGGAAAATTTGTCTTTTAAACCAATTTGCTATTAATGTAGAATGTAGATAGTATTCTCTAAACCGGCATAAGAACAGTTTTCTAAATAATTTTGTAAAACCTTCATTAGGTTATTCTAAAAATGTTCCTGTTTGATGAGATAAACAAAATATAAATTATCAACTGTGATAATAATATTCACTAAACCGACATAAAAATCATAAATTTTAACAATTATTCTTTTTAAAAATCGAGTTTTTTTGTTTTCTTGTTTCTGGCAAGAAAACGGTCATCAACGTAATAGTTTCCAAGAAATTGGAAATACTGATTTTAGGTTTGATTAAAAATATAGAATAGAGGGGTGTACACTATTCAGTTTACAGTATACATCCCTGAACGAACCCCAGCCCTGGATTAAGAAACTTCCCATGATAAGGAAACGAGAAGAATTTAAAAGATTTAAAACAAATATATTTAAATTCTCACCTAAATCATCTTCTTCTCCATAATTCAAGTCGTCCTCGAACCAGCCTATAAAAAATTATCACTTAAATATTTCCAAAAAACGCAAAACTAAATTTTATTGTTAATAACGCTTTAAAAGTGTCAAAATTGTGGATCAAGTAAAATTAAGAAATTGATTCAGAAAATTTGAGTTTATTTTTTATATTAAAATTCTCCGGTTTCGAGGAAAAATATCTTATTTTTTTATTTGATAAAGCCAGCAAAAATTCTATTTTCATCGGTGATTTTAATTTCCCAGGAATAAATTGGGAATATGAAACTTCGGACAGGAAAGGTGCAAATTTCCTCCAATGCACTAAAGACAATTATTTCGAGCAATTAATTGACTTCAAAACACATATTCGTGGAAATACACTTGATTTACTATTCTCAAACCAGCCAGACAAAATTATAAACATTGAACCGTTGGGAAATCTAGGAAATAGTGACCATTCTATAATAATGTGTGAACTTGAATATAATTCAAAATTTAACGATTCTACAGAAAAAATATGGAATTGGAAAAAAGCTGAATATGATAGACTGGCAGACTTTCTTCATAATGTCGACTGGGAACATGAACTAACTGGAACTCCAACGGATGAAGCATGGACTTTTCTCAAGGATAAAATTTTAACAGGTATGGACAATTTTGTACCAAAAATTCCCCGACGTACAAAGAATTCCCCCAGATGGATGACCTCTATTGTTAAAAGACTTGTTAGAAGGAAGCAGAGACTATACAATATATTTATGGAAACAAGGCGACAGGAAGATGAGATTAGTTTTAAAAAGTTGCAAAAAGAGTGTAAAAAAGCAGTTAGACAAGCAAAAAGAAAATTCGAACAGAAGATAGCTGTAAATGGTAATAAAAGGCCTTTTGTTGCATACATCAAAAGCAAGACAAAGTCTAGAGCCGGAGTAGGTCCACTCAAGGTTGGTAATAGGACAATCAGTGATGATAAAGACATGGCTACGGAGTTAAATAAAGCATTTTGCAGTATATTCACAAAAGAGGTTAACCAAAATCGTCCTACTTGCCAAATTTTTCAAGATTCTTCAATCATAAGCGACATCTATTTTACTGAGAATATGGTTAGGGAGAAAATTAATAAACTTAAATCAACATCAGCTCCGGGCCCAGACAAAATTCCAGCAAGATTTTTAAAGGAATATGTAGACCTTATTTCTTATCCACTTTCGATATTGTTTGATAGCTCTATGAGATCTGGTATTGTACCACAAGACTGGCGACTGGCAAATGTAACACCAATCTTTAAGAAAGGATCAAAAAGTAAACCTGAAAATTATCGACCCGTTTCATTAACATCAATTTGCTGCAAAATTATGGAATCAATCATCAGAGACCAGCTTGTAAACCACCTTAAACTTAATAACCTGATAAAGCAATCACAGCATGGCTTCATGAAGAATAAGAGCTGCACTACCAACCTTTTAGAATTTTTGGACAGGGTAACCACACTGATTGATCAAGGAGATAGTGTAGATGTCATCTACTTAGACTTCAGTAAAGCCTTCGACAAGGTGCCTAAAAATCGTCTGCTAGACAAGATCAAGGCCCACAACATTAGAGGTAATGTTCATAAATGGATCTCTGAATGGTTGAGTGGCAGATTGCAGCGTACTGTACTAAATGGATCATTCTCTGAGTGGTGTGAAGTTTTGTCAGGGGTACCCCAGGGGTCGGTGCTGGGGCCTTTAGCATTTATTATTTTTATTAATGACCTGGATGGAGAAACCTCTCTCATCTCAATAATGAACAAGTTTGCTGACGACACCAAGTTGGGTCACAAGGCTAATATAGAAGCTGACAAAGAGGTACTTCAAAAAGCTCTCGATGATCTCTGTGTGTGGTCGGACAGGTGGGGCATGGAGTTTAATGTTAATAAGTGCAAGGTCTTACACTTGGGTAAGAAAAATAATGAGTTTGAATATTATATGAATGGATCCTTACTGGCATCTGTAGATCAAGAAAGGGATATTGGTGTGATAGTGGAGAAAAGTTTAAAACCTTCCCTACAATGTGCTGAAGCAGCAAAGAAAGCAATGGTTGTGTTGGGGCAAATTACCAGAGCATTCCAATACAGGGATAGATATATATTCTTGAAACTTTATGTTCAGTTTGTACGCTGCCACTTAGAATTTGCATCTCCAGTCTGGTCACCCTGGCACCTTGGCGACATTGAGACTCTGGAGAAGGTCCAAAGGAGAGCAGTTAATTACATCACAGGCCTCAAGGGAGCAACATATGAAGACAAACTTAAAGAGTTAGGTATACTATCCCTGGCTAGCAGAAGAAGCAGAGCAGATCTTATTCAGGTTTTCAAAATTCTGAAAGGAATTGATGATGTGGACAGCACAACATGGTTTACATTGGTTGGGCAGGAGCCACAAAGAATAACCAGAAACACAGCATACCATGGTAACCTTGTAGCAACCAGGTCTAAAATTGACATAAGATCCAACTTTTTTACTAACAGAGTTGTAGCTAAGTGGAATGGACTCCCAATAGAGGTCAAGGACTCTAGAACTTTGACAATTTTCAAATCAAAACTTGATGGACTGCTCAACTAAAACTTCACTTGTGTATTTGAGTATTGTATGGAGTATGCTGAGAACCAATGAGAACCAGGACGATCTGAACAATACTCTGGGGGACTGGAACAGACATTCCTACAATACTCCTACTTGGAGTCCTTGGAATCACATTACAAGTAAGTATTTTCCATGAAGGTAAAATCCCCAATAACAAAACTATTTGTTAAGAAATGTTAATAATGATAATATTTCAATGAAATCTAGAAATTGCATTAGTTCAATACCTGGTTCTTCGGTAAGGTTTCCTGTTAAATGTGGCGCATCAGCAGGTTCTGGAGAATCTGCAGGTTGTATAGGGTCTGGAGGAGGAGTTAGAGCTGGAACTAGATCATCTGGGGGTAGAATACCACTCTCCTCGTCACTCGATTCACTACTAAAAAGGATTCACAGTTCGAACCTTCGAAACAAACCCAACTCCTCGAAAACTCGACATTTGTGTCCAGCAAAAGAAATGATTTTATGTAATAAACAGTCCCTAGAAAATAGGAAAAAACTCGTATTTTAACCCTTGGGAAAAAATTAATAATTTTTAATTTAAATGAAAATAATCATCAATCTCATCACCTTTTTGATTTCGACGATTTATCGTCTTCTTTGCTACTGGAGCTGATGAATCTAGACTTGAAGGTTCCTGGAATATTATTCCCAAGATCTGGCCAGGCAGGGTCTCCACCACCACCTCCACCCCCTCCTCCCATACCACCTCGCAGTCCTCCGTACATATCTAAAAACAAACAAAAATCTTTAAGCAAGTGATACAGGAACTGCAAAAATGAGTTTTGATTTTCTACTACGATCACCGCCCCCCCCCCCCTCATACACTTAAGTTAAATTAAGTGTCTAAGAACTTTTCCGACACTCATTTTTAAGAAATACCATCCTAAAATCATCTATAATTCAAAAACCTCAAAATAGAGGCATGGGTAGATTTTCCAAAATAACATTTATCTCTGTATTTGTTTGAATATCAGTTTTTTAATAGATATTTTGACAAACCTCTTTCCCTGTCTTGTTGCAGAGTAGTTGTTGGTGAGGGTGGACTCTCTCCTACCGGAGTACTTGACAGTCCAGCAATCATGTCATCATGAAGCTGTTTTTCATAATCAGTGTGCTTCCCTTGCTGCATTTCTTCTTTAGTAAAACTAGCGGCATCATCCCCTGAAATAATAAATAATATTATTGACTTATTATCCAACGTTTTTACCCTTAAACTTTCTATATAAGCAACGATTGGTATTTATCCGAGAATATTTTATCGAGGCATTTTTCGAATCCAACTTGTAAAGATAATAAGTTGAAACCCAGATGGATCGACATTTAACAATAGACATGCTTCTGTGAAGAGTTCAAATTGTTTAAGGAATGACTTATAAAATCAGCAGTGCTTAGGATCCGGATCCGGATCCAAGGGGTAAAATATCAACCAAAAACTGCAAAAAAAAAACTTTTTTACTCCTAAAACCAAAATCTGAAGTTTTGAAAAAAAGAGAGATTATAAAATTTCCTCATTTCTGAATGGTTCATTAAGTTTTAGGATAAAAATATGCAAAAAAAAAAAACAGTAAATCTTAAAGAAGTGACCTGGATTCGGATCCGGATCCATTTTTTTCCAATGCGGATCCAGGATCAAGGATCCGGATCCGCATCAAAATTAAATGGATCCTAACAGGATGACAATCCGTTCCAGACTAATTTAAATCTTGTAATTAACACTTCGAGAAACGGTCCTGGGACAGAATCTTCAATCTTCTACTCGTTTTATATCTTATATTTTTATTGTTTGATTTTTGGACAAATTAATTGATTTTAAATGCAGAAAAAAAATTTAATGTGGTTTTTATCCATAAAAAAAAAACATCATTCTCCTACATTGTGTTTAAATCCCACGCAGGAGGTTGTGATGTTCCTTGCAAATTTTTAGTAACCAGATAACTATTTATAACCCTACTGGTTGAAGGGAGGCGGGGTATTAAGTATTCGAGCCAAAAACTTTTCTTTTTCGAGAGGGTTCGAGACTTTTTTGATGAGATTTTTAACCCTTGCTACGCTTTGGTTAAAAATTACGAGCCCCTTCCACCAGTAGGGTTTTAGAAAATTTTATGCCCTAGAAAGAAAGAAATTTGAATTGAAATGTGAACACTGTCAAATTAAATAAATATACAAAAATGGCACGTCAATTATATAACATCTAATATATAAAGTTTAAACTTTTAAAAAGTACATATTTAAAAAAATCCCAAATATTAATGCTGGAAGATGATCATTCAAAAGAATGCGGGAACTTCATGGCAAAAAAATGCGCAAATATTGAAAGGTGTACTCAGCTGGGGTGATATATTACTTTAAAACCCATAAGAAAATAGTAAAAATTTTACCACAGATCAGCTGGGAATATATGGGTTTCAGGATATGTTCACCATAGATTAAAAAAAGGCCACCCAGGGCATAAAACAAATATTTGTAATTTTAAATTTTAGATTTTATCAATTATTCCCTCCTTTAACAATTTCTTCCACTTTTTGGTGTCGTTTTAGAAGAAATGAGAAACCAAGAAGAATAGAAAGATTTAAAAGTCTTAAGAATTTAAAAGATGGCAAAGAAAAATCAGAGGAAAGTGGAGAAAATATTCGAAACTTGATCTACTCACTATGTACAAAAATTAGTTCATCCTTGCTTAGTTTACCAAAGCAATTGAAACTAACCTAATTCGTGAAGATACATGCAGTCGTTCTTAGGACACGCTTGGTTCTTCATGAAGTGAGAACAGTATTTAGTAGTACCAAGAGATGCTTTAAGGGTCCTCCCATCAATATAAATATTATTGACGGCCTGAATAGCCCTCAAGGCATCCTCGGATTTGTAGTATGTCACATACGCACTCGCACTAGGGCCCTAAATGTATTGACAATATAGAAATCAAAATCAAGTAAAAAAAAATAACAAAAGAAACGGGGATCTTAAATCTATGATTCATGCGGGAGATATTTAAAATAAAGATTTTATTTATTATTTTATAGAGAAGATATTACCTGAATTTGAGAGCCCGCATACTGAGTGCTATGATTAATAACTACTTTGTGAATTTTCCCAAATTTCCCGAAATAGTCTTGTTTCTTGAGTATTTCCGGTTCCGCTAGCCGGGGGGAAAGACCAACGACAAAGACCAAATTTTTCTGCACAACCCGGACATTCGCCAAGTGCTTCCGGTTCTCCGAAATCTTTAGCTTTTTAGCCTGATCCTTTTGACGCTTTTCTGCCTTAATCTTGGCAATTTCCTCGCTTGTCAGAGGTTTGAAGTCGGCAGGGTTCTCCGAGTATGCCTGTCTACAAGCAGGACACAATCCGTTTCCTTCTGTTCTTAGTTTATTCCAACAGAATCTACAAATCTAAACAAAAACAGAATTAAATTAAGAATTCAAACAATATTTTAACAAGTATGAGTTAAGCAGTTTAAACATAAATGCAAAGAATAGGATCCGGATCCGTGGATCCGCATATTTATGCGGATCCGAATCCAGGAAGCCAAAATCTTGCGGATCCAACGGATCCGGATCCTAAGCACTGGAACTATAAACATAAATGTAATAAATAGGATACGTGAAGGAGTAGGGTTTAAACATAAATGCATCTATTAGGGTACGTGAAGGAGTAGGGCTTAAACCTAAATGCAATTAGTAGAATACGTGAAGGAGTAGGGTTTAAACAGAAATGCAATGAGTAGGATACGTAAAGGAGAAGAGTTTAAAGTTTTAAACATTAATACAATGAGTAGGATTCGCGTCTTAGAAGGGTTTAAACCTAAATGCAATGAGAAGGATACGTAGTAATGGGGTAGGGTTTAACCCTAAATACAATGAGTGGGATACGTAAAGAAGTAGGGTAAATGCAATGTGTATAATACTTGAAGGGGTAGGGTTTAAGCATGGATGTATCGAGAAGGATAAGTCTGGGTAAAAGAGTTTGTTTTAAACGCTACTATTAAACGTTTTTGAAAGTAGGAACAACTTTTGATCCTACTACGGAATGTGAAGTAAATTACTTAGGTTTATTTATAACAACTGGCACAATAATACCCTTGAACAAATCGAGTTTGCCAAATTTTTCTATTTTCAAAATATTTTGTTTTCTTGGGCTCATCGGTTTACCTGGTATCCACATACACAAGGATAGAAATTAATATCGTCTAATTCCAGCAGTTCCATGCACAGAGGGCACTCAGGGGACTCATCCCCAGACAGGTTTAACACAGACATTGCAATCTAGATTAAATCACGGATTAAATAACGGATAAGATTAAACTAAGTCGTTTCAATCTTGCCTTTAACCATTTTACTCTAGATATGTCTATTACAGAGCTTCAAAAAACGCATAAGGGTTTTTTTCTGTAAAATTATATAAATGGGCCGGGTTTACATTTTAACTGAAATCTTTCTTAAGTATTAGGGTGAAGTGAGACTCTGAAGGATAGGGGTGGGGTTTCAAACCAATTTATACTCCTGGATCGAAATCATTGTAGAGATAGTCATTTTTCACAAAACAGGAACTAATAGAACACTATTTTCTACCCCCCCCCCCCCTCTACCAGAATCCCAGTCGCATGCGTATGATTCTCAAACAAACTGATTTAACTTTACAGTTTAACCCAAATAGGTTCAAATCTAGAAAATTAATTTGACCTCAAAACATTGAAACTACGCCAGACAAATTTTCACAAACATACACGATACGACCAAACATAATTACGCCTCGATAAATTTACTTTCTATTTCATCGTCTACTAGCGGCTAACCTCCATAAATGTGGTCTGAAAACAATAAATAAACTACGACGAACGGGGCAAACATCTCCGATTGAATATTCGTTTAAACATTAGTTGTAAAACCCGAAATATGTTTAAAGAAAACATTTAAAAGTTTGACAGGTTGCTACATGCAAGATGGCGTCAACAGTATGAGAATGCCGCGGCCAGGATTCTTGTTGTACTTTTTCTTGTCTGCTGGCAGGACTGGGAACCAATTTTGAATAATGTATAAGGTTTTTTCAATAAGTAGGTGGATCCGCATTTGAAGGTGGTGTATTTTTCATCCTGACCTGCGCCAAATCCGCAATACTTCACATCCGACCTACTAGCACGTGGTTTTACAGCTGCTATATGGACTTGTGTCCGCAGCGTCCGGCCCCCTAGCCTGTCCTAGCCGCGGCGCTCGACTCCTAGCCTGTCCTAGTCGTAGCGCTCGGCCCAGAAATTGTCTTAACCTAACCTAACCAGGGGCGTATTCAGGAATTTGTCCAGGGGGGGGGCTTAAATTTTTTTCTTTTCAGAGGGGGCTCGAAGCACCCGATGGGGCATGAAAACCCCCTGAAATCATATAGATTTCTGGTCCAGGGGGGTTAGCCCCAATAGCCCCCCCCCTGAAAACGCCTCTGAACCTAACCCTCAAATACTACAAAAATAATCAGCTGACGTATAGGTCCGATATTGTCGTAGGTCGGATAGTTAGTTTAAGTCGAAGAAGTTCAGTATGAGGGGATGCTGCGTATGATGTAACAATTAATACATTGGAACTACTGCCGTTTGACTTTTATTGATCATTTGAACTATTGATCGTTTGAACTATAATGACGTCATTTCCTGTAGTTGAATTACAACACATTATATTTACTCATTTGAACTATGCAGTTTAAAATTATATTAATTATATAATGAAAAAATAGAAACACTCATCACAAAATAGTTTACATGATCAGAAAATATTTCATGGACATAATAACAATTCAAATGACCAAAAAATAGTTCAAATGATGAATTTAATGGTTCAAATGAGAAAAAAAAACCAGTTCAAATGAGAAATTACAATTAATTGTTCAAATTAATTCCAACAAATATCTTTCAAATGAGCAAAAAAATATTTCAAATAAGTAAAACAATAGTTCAAATGATCAAATAAAATAAGCAAAAAAGTAGTTTAAATGCAGAGCAAAAATTTATTTTCAAATGAATCAAAAAAGATCTATAGTTCAAATTAACAACTATTATTTAGCGATCATGTTTGAACTACAGGGTGTCCCACGAAACATGACAATAGCAAGACGACTTGAAAGTCGTCTTTGGTATTTGAATTTATTTGTGACATTTAGTCTTCTATCTACTTTAACATGTATGATTCTTGAAACAACTATCACATAATTCTCCTAGCCCTGGCATTTCCAAAAAGTGGTCTACGTTTTTTGTGCTTTCAATATTACTGGAGATATAAAGAGTTTGGTTCAGATTTCAATTTTGTTAAATAAAAGCAAAATTGTCGAAATCTGAACGAAATTCTTCATATCTCGGGCAATATTGGAAGTACAAAAAAGGCAGACCACATTTTGGAAATGGCAGGACTAGAGGAATTTTGTGATTATTATCTCTAGAAATTTACTTCTAAAATTAGGTTGAAAAATAAACGCAGCAAATTATATCAAAAATCAAGACGACATTCAAGTCGTCCTGCATACTGTCATGTTTCGTGTATATATTTTTGTTCTTTTGAACTATTGTCTGCTCATTTTCAAATATTTTTCTTTGTTCATCAGAACTTTTAGTTGGCTCATTTGAACTGTTTTTTTTTACTCATATGAACTATACTTTGGCTCGAATTTGAACTATGTATATATGTTTTGGAACCTGCCCTCTTCTATCAATTTTGTGGAGATGTCATGTTTGATGTGGGGGGGGGGCTGCCTTCATTTTTTTGTTCAAATCTTCAAATTATTTTGTTGCACGCTTAATTAGTGATCGAAATTCCTAAAATCAAATCAAATTGAATTTAAATAACTCTAACGACAAGCTTCACAAATAGAAAATATTTCAACTTTGGCTTTATATGCACTGCATCTAATGAAAGCTAGGAACCCAGGGAATACAGAATCAGCAAGAAATCCAGTGTTTGACAATGAACTCAATTATACGACCTCGAAAACTAACAAAATGTTCTATATGGCCTTGAAAATGGTTTAAAATGGAAAAAACTAATGCAATTGGAATTTATACAAGTAGATCTATTAAGCATAAGTTTTCTCAGAAAGATCTAGTTGAAAAAAGTTAGGATAATCTTTTTTTTCAATGATTTTACTTACTTATATTTTCAAATCCCACCAATCTTGCTTCTGAGGCATTTCAAAAGTATTAATTTCGTTTAAGCGCGCACACCATGTATATGGTTATAGATTTAAATCAGGATTCTAAAAATCTATGAATTAACTTACAAGATTAACGTGATATTCTACATATGAACAGGCCGGAGGCCCCTATCTACAAGTTTTTGCAGGGGGGGCACAGAGGTTAAATAGGGGGGCTCCCCCCACCCAATTACGGACATACGCCCCTATAAGTGTTAAACAACCATTTCGTCAAATATCAGATATCACAGTTCATCCGATCAACTACACCATTTATGTCTGTTTGTATATCTTTGTGTGTGAATAAATTTTTATAAGATAATAATATATACTTTATTTTTAAATATACTCTGAATGATACTAAGGAATATAAATTTTGACATCAAATACAGATCTAAAAAGTCTCCAAACTGGCATCGGTAATAAATATTCACTATTTTACTGTTTCAACAATTTAACAAACAAAGAAAGCTAATCCAAACTATAGGTCTCAAACAATGGAAGTAATGATTTATGAATAGATGAGCATGAATCCAGATTTCTCTGCTTTATACAGGAAGTGTCCAGCCCTGTAGAGAATATCCTCTAGCGCAATATAGTTGTAGAGTAGAGTATTTATCATACCCCTGGTTTCTCCAGCCATCTTTACATCCCAGGCAGCTAGAGCTTTACCTCGGTCTAGGCTCTGATGAGGGACTGCAACACTTAACAGTTTAGGATCCATTCCGAACTGTTCTCTGAAAATTAATAAGTAATTAAATGCTTATTTCATAGAATAATCGTTTTGGTCCGTTTTTTTTACTTTTAAAGTTTGCTTTGTAATATTTTAATCCTAAAAAGAAAAAAACAGGAAAACGAACCAAAAAAACGATTGTTCTGACACGTTTTTTTGCACTTGTTTTCTCTCAGGGTAAAAATTTGGCAAAGTTAAGAAAAGCAAATAGTTAGAAAAAAAACAGTTTTGAAGTTTGTAAAACTTTTCAGATTTTTGTGGAACCTTACAAAAGTAACAAAAAAACTCAAAAACTAACAGTAAACGAAACAATTTCTTTCTATTGTGCTCACATCTGATTTTGTTTTGATGCTTACATTTTTTCAACCCGATGTTGTTGATCTTTTATATTTAGAACATATAAATGAATCATGTTAGATCAAGTTTGAAATATCAAAGGTTTAAACCATCAGGTTGAAAAGATAAGGGTTTAAAATTTTTTACTTTGTGGCAAGAGTTTCTTTACAGAAACATACATCTTCACATATAAAGTTTGCCGCTCGGAAGTAATATGTTCCGACCGCAGCGCTCGGCCCAGAAATAGTCCTAGTCTAACCCAAGTTAAAATATTGGGCAGGTTATTTACCCGAATGACAGTTTTGTACTACAAGAAATTGAAGGTGGGGTGTAGTGGACGAATCATATTTTATAGGATTGAGCAAATAATTTTTCTTTAAAAAACCTGGTCATATGATAAGTAACCCAGGAATCTTGAACTTCCACAGCCCAGGTAGACATACTGTTTATAACCTTCAGAACGGTCAGCAGCTGAGCAGAGGGAGTGTCCCACGACTGTGTTGGATTATTTTGGATTGTATCCTCTTTATCCAAAGTTGCCAGCATGTAGGAGACACGGATCTTCAAATGTGAAAGATCATCTTGAAATCTTTGCACAACAGGCACTGCATCTGCAAACATCTCAGATACCCAAGGGTTAGCATGGAGTCTTCCGTTCGTATCAAATTGGAGACTGGACTGACGAACCAATTCCCATTCTGGCTTGAATTTAGCTTTTTGTAACACGTTATCAATAGCTGACCTGCGTGCAGTAATCTTCTTAAGAAGATGATCTACAGTTTCCTCTGAAAAAATAAATCATTATAGTTTTTAAGAATCAGGTTGTAATAGCTAAATAAACTTTACAATTTAATTTTACTGTTTTAGAGTTTACCTAGTTTAATAAAGATATCCTTAACCTTGTCTTCTGCATGCTTAGTAGATGCCCCAATCTTATCTTCCGTAGAACTTTCGGATTTCATCCCTTTTTCCGATTTTGACATGACTGTGTAGGTTTGCAAGAAGAAAATAAATTACGCGGATTTTCAGTTTTTATTTTGCGGTTTTTGTATCTTGCAGTATAATAATAAGTAGATTTTTTATGAAAATTAAATCAATGAAATAAATGACTAAGTTCAAAAACAAATTAGAATTTATTAACAATTAACAATAATATATAATTTAACAAAAATACATTAAATACTGTAATCACAGATTACAAAGCTAGGACAAGAGAGACGATCATTTAGGTCTGAAACTTTTATGTAACTTAAACGTTTGTGGAAATTTTTTTGTCAACTAAAATTAATTTATTCTCGTAAAACAATGTCTTCCTTTCTAGTTCAATCTTTGATATCTGTGAAGACAATATCACAAATATTTCCTATAAGGAATACGAAGGTAATTTAGCTTTAAGCATAATGCCCGACATTAATGACTAGACTAAAAAAGGTAATTGTTACAATGCAGCATTAAAAACAGAGTATATAGAATGAAACATGATTTTAAAACTTTAATACGTGAGATACAGTGGTAGGCGAATACATCAATACAATGAAGAATTGAAGACAACTTTCGATTTTAATTTTAATTTATATCATGCTGTTAAACAGCGTAGATTCACCTAAACATAGAAGTCAAGAGAAGCTGTCAATTAAAAAAAGCTTTTCTATGAACATAATTCTTGGCAGTGCTTGAATAAATTAATGCTGCTTAAAATCTTAACAGCTATTTGTAAATAGCAAACTGTATTAAATTATGTTTTATGTAACAATTATTGATTCAGCTTGACTGATTATAATCGAGCCTGAAGCAGAGCTATTTCCTCTCGTAGCTTCATGATGCTCTCCGTAAGCTCTCTAACTCTGGCATCAACATCCATTTCAAAACTGTCTCTTAGATTAACAGAAGATTTCTTTTTCATATCAGGTCTAGGAGTAAAGTTTTCAAATTTTGTGAATCCAGAATTATCTTTTTCATACTTCCAGGTTGATGTTTCTATACTGTTTTGGAATTCATTCTTTGATTCATCTGATCTTCTTGATCCTATTTCTTCCCTAGAGTTTATTCTTTCCGTTGAGTATTCCTTCCTCTTTCCCTTTCTTCTCTTGAATCTACCCAACCTTCTTCCTGTTCTTGTAGGAAGAATCATCATCATTGATGTTGTTGCTTCTGTGGTCCTAAAAGTTGTTGTGGTGGTTGTCTCTTGTGTTAGATCAGATGACGGGGTTTCTGTGTTTGGATTCTTTAAAACTCTTCTCCTTCGTTTTCTGGCAGGATTCTTAATTAAAAGTTTCTTTCTTTGAAGTCTTTTGGTTTCTGCATCAACATGCTTCTGAGTTGTAGTTTCTGGAGTTAGGTTGGTTTCTAGAGTAGGAGCTCTCACTACGGAGAATCCATCCTCTATGGGTTGTTGAAGGTTTTCTCCGGGAGTTATTTTGATTCCTTGTTCTTCATGTAGCCTAGAAACATAATTACTATTACAATAAATCAAGAAAATCAATGAAACCCTAGAAACATAATAACTATAATAAATCAAGAAAATCAATAAGATAAAAAATACCTAGTGGCTTGAACTGGAGAGAAAACATGGTTATCTGCAGATTCCAGCTTTATATCCAGGTCCCTACTAGTAGTAAGTTGATCCCTATTTACTCCAAATTGCTCTGGATTCGTCTCCTTGTTTACAAGTAAGGCTCTAGGATTGAAGATAAAAAGTTCCTGAAAAGTTGGATTCTGTTTTTTGAACTCAGGGGTTCTAAACTCCTCGGGAGCAATAGGACGAAAAGTTGTTGCTACAGGTTCAATGGCAGGGTTGGGAGATGATGAGATTTGGATTGGTTGAAACAAGTTTTTATTTTGGTTATGGTTTGACGATAGAGGTAGAAGAATAGGGTTGATTGAATGAGATGGGTTTGGTGACTCGAGAAGTTGGATTGGTAGAACGGGTTGAGAAGATTGGGTTGGAGTTAAAGGATGGATGGGATGAATTGGATGGGAAGATTGGTCTGAATGGAGATATGGGGTTGGATGAATTGCTTCTGGGGTTGGATGGACGAACGGAATTTGATCAATTTGATGTATTGGGTGTGATGGTGGTGTTGAATGATCCTGGATTAGAGAAGGAGTTGGATGGTTTTGAGGAGATGGATGGGTTGGGTGGACTAGATGAGAAGGTTGGGTTGGGTGGACTGGATGAGAAGTATGGGTTGTATGGACTAGATGAGAAGGATGGGTTGGCTGGACTGGATGAGAAGGATGGGTTGGGTGGACTAAATGAGAAGGATGGCTTGGCTGGACTGGATGAGAAGGATGGGTTGGGTGGACTAAATGAGAAGGTTCGGTTGGGTGGACTGGATGGGAAGGTTGGGATGGCATCACTTCTTGATTGGTTGGAGGATCTGGGAAGAAGTTTATAATGTTCAATTTAGGTTTCGGTTCCGGAGTTTTAACTTCTTGAGCTACCGTAAAATCGAAGATAGGTTGCGGAGTAATAATTCTCTCATGAATTTCTCCTGAAATATTATTTATTTGTAAAAATAATTTGAAAGTTAACATTTTTTTCCAGCGGTCGTTTCTTGCGTAGAAATTATTTACAAATTGTATGAATTTATAATTCATTTACAGTTTTAAATAACTTGTTATGCTAGTTTAATGCCATGTAACTCTTTAAAGCAGAATGAATGACACAACTTCATAGAAGTTTGTTCTTTTAGTACTAAAGTATTGGAAATCTGTTCCTTATGTTCTGAAGTATGACAATAAAAAGACGATTTAGTTTAATATTGAAAATGCACTCTAATTAACAAAAAAACATCTTTAAACAGATACCTTAAATCTAAACTAAATATTCTTTCCCTTATGTTTTATGTTGGGCATATCCGACTCAAGCGTATTATAGTTTAAATTCTTTAGAATGTCATGCTTCTTGTAGCCAGCAATTTTATTTTATTTTATCGAATTAAAAACCAACCTGTAGAATGATGGGGGGATGGTTGAAAGATAGGAACTGGAGAAAGATGTTGAGAGTGTTTCAGAAACACAGAGTGTGTTGGAGAGAAGGCCAGGAACGGAGTTGAGGTCGGAGAAACAGCTAGGAACGGTTTAGGTGTATAGGAGAAGATATGAGGAGTAGGAGAAGCTCTGTGATACAAGGGAGGATGAGTTGCTACTCCAGGTTGGTTCCCAATCTAGGATCAGATATCATTAATTCATGTTTTCAATCATCTGAAGAATGTTGTTGGTTCCCTCAGACCAATAACACCCGACTAATTATCCTACACCTGGGAACTATTTCAAGAATATCCTGACCACGGAATTTATTGTACTTCCTCTAACACCTGTTTTAATAACATCACAATCTATATATATACTTTGCTTGTCTGTTTGTCTGTTTATTTGTATCCAATAAACGTCAAAACGGCTATACGGGACTTCGCATGACCCCAGGGTAGGTTTGTGGATGATAAAAATTTCAGAAAATAGCCTACAACAAAATTTGATTTTCATTAAATTTTGAAAATCCAAGATTTTTTANTTTCCCGTCGTTAAAGTTGTTAACAGCCTAGTTTAAATATAAAATAAATAGTTTACCCAAGATCAAAGATCTGGAATATTAGTTTAAATATAAAATAAATAGTTTACCCAAGATCTAAGATCTGGAAGATTAGTTTAAATATGAAATAAATAGTTTACTCAAGATCTAAGATCTGGAAGCTTATTTTAAATATGAAATAAATAGTTTAACCAAGATCTAAGATTTGGAAGATTAGTCTAAATATAAAATAAATAGTTTACCCAAGATCTGGAAGCTTAGTGTAAATATAAAAGAAATATCTACTCAAGATCTAAGATCTGGAAGCTAGCTTAAATATAAAATAAATAGTTTACCCAAGATCAAAGATCTGGAATATTAGTTTAAATATAAAATAAATAGTTTACCCAAGATCTAAGATCTGGAAGATTAGTTTAAATATAAAATAAATAGTTTACCCAAGATCTAAGATCTGGAAGATTAGTTTAAATATAAAATAAATAGTTTACCCAAGATCTAAGATCTGGAAGATTAGTATAAATATAAAATTAATTGTTTACCCAAGATCTAAGATCTGGAAGATTAGTTTAAAAATAAAATAAATAGTTTACCCAAGATCTAAGATCTGGAAGAGATGAAATGTGTGGATGCTTCTTTCTCTCTTCACTCAGATGGTTTAAGGAGGCAGATGTATCATCTAATTACAAATCAAAAAATAATATTTTAAAAATGAATGGTTTTTAATTCCACAAATGATGATACTGGTGTGACAACCTGGCACTTTATATATTCAAAGATTAGAAATAATGACGCTTATACTGTACACTCGTCTTTAAAGCCTCATCCTTTATAACTATAGGTAACCCTGTAGTGTACTGTATATGCATTTGGTATTTATAGTTGTAATAATTTTTAGAACGTTTTATATTTTTAACCAACCGCAAAGTAATGATTTTGCGTATTTAAGCTTGTAAAATACATTTAAAAAATCAGGGCTTAACGGAGGTTTAGCTATAAGGGATGAACATTAAAACAGAGGCACCACCCCCCTTCCCCACACCAAAATAGAGACCTCTATGGATAAACATAACTAGTCTTTAATTTAAATACAGTTATCATCATAATTATCAAAACAATGAAGACGACTTTCGACTTCTATTTTGACTTCTACAAAGTAATTCAAACAGCATGGATACACACTTACACATAAACATGGAATTTAAGAGAAGCTTTCAATTATACAGCTTCTCTTTGCTTACTTGTAAACTTGTAATTTGAAATAAAACCTCTTGTGAGAATTCGTAAATTAAATAGAAAAGTCGTCTTCATTGTATTGATGTTAACGCCGACCTCTGTAGTACGACAATTATGTTAATCTCAAATCGATTAATTCACGTGAAAAACGTTCTTGGTTTTGTACCTGTGGTTGGTCCATTGTAAGGAAAGGGAGAAGGAGCAAATACTTGACTAAAGGGTGTAACTGGTCCTAACTGGATTGGTTTCATGTGTATAGGATAGTCCACCAGGAGGGGCCAGTTGTACTTGAACCCTGGAAGATATCTGTTTGGTGAGGTTTGAACAGATCTTAGGATTGGCAGCTGTCTGACGTGCTCAGGATTAAGAGTAGGATGGAGAACACGAGGTTTCAGAGTTGTAGACACTTTTGTTGTTGCTACTGTTTCAACAGTTGTAGTGGCGAGTGGCAATCCTGTTGATAACGTTGAAATTGTTGTTGATTTTGTCTGCAGAAGATCTGGGGTTGAAGATGAAACGGTATGCCGCCTTGAAGGAGGGTTTGGTGTAGGATGTGCTTTGGAACTTGATGTTGGTTTAAGGTAAGATATCTGGGATCTGTACATCTCAGGACCAGGAGTAATAGTTCTTGGAATTCTGGGATAATCATTCGGTTCAGAATTAACGATTACTTTTGAGGATTTACTTTCGGATAAATCAATTATAAGATTACCACTGCTACTTGTAAAATCAGGTATTGAATCCGGATTACTGAATGTGAAATTAGGTATAGATTCAGAACTACTACTTTTAAAATCAGGTATAGATTCAGGACTGCTACTTGTGAAATTAAGTATAGATTCAGAACTGCTACTTGTGTAATCAGGTATAGGTTCAGGACTGCTACTTGTGAAATCAGGTATAGGTTCAGGACTGCTACTTGTGAAATCAGGTATAGATTCAGAACTGCTTCTTGTGTAATCAGGTATAGATTCAGAACTGCTACTTGTGTAATCAGGAATAGGTTCAGAACTGCTACTTGTGTAATCAGGTATAGGTTCAGGACTGCTACTTGTGTAATCAGGTATAGGTTCAGAACTCCTACTTGTGTAATCAGGTATTGGATTAGGACTGCTAGTCGTAAAATCAGGATCAGGACTGGGATGATCAGGAATATGATTAAGATTCTCTATTGTAAAATCAGGAACAGGATTACGAACTCTAGTTGTATACTCAGAGACAGGATGACGTCCTTTGGTTGGTACATCATAAACATAATGACGACCTCTAGTTGTTTGCTCAGAAAGGGGTTGACGACCTCTAGCGTTATAATCAGGAACAAGACCAGGACGGCTAGTTGTATAATCAGGACTACTAGTTGTGTAATAAGGACTACTAGTTGCATAATCAGGACTACTAGTTGTATAATAAGGACTGATAATCGTATAATCAGGACTACTAGTTGCATAATTAGAACTGATAGTCGTATAATCAGGACTGCTAGTTGCATAATCAGTAAGAGGATGACGACCTCTGGTTGAATAATCAGGTTGTATAGAATTTACATTTGAGGGGAAATTCGGGAAAATTATTCCTGCTGACTCGACTGTTGGCTGGAAACCTGAAATTAAAAAAAATCAATGGAATGTAGTCAAGTTACTCTTCATTAATAGCTAGTAGCATGCCGTATTCACTACGGTACCCTTTAAAGCTTTGGCTGATCAAGTATGAGTAAGATATCTATGTTTATGTCTCAAAAAAAAATCAATATTTTCAACTGTGCATTCTTTCCATGCATTTTTGATGAAATAAATGTTTACAGAGTACCATTATCAACCATGCGCCTCTTTGAATGAAAACTTTTAATTGGAATTTATAATTAAAACTTTAATGAATACTTCACCTCTTGATTGTAAGTAAATTCCTTCTTCATTTTCTTCCTCTGAGTTCTTCTTTATTGTGAAAAATTGGAAGTTTCCTTTCCCGTCGTTAAAGTTGTTAACAGCCTGCATGTCAATGGACACGTGTTTATGAGGTTGCAACACGTGTTGAAGATGAGTAATTGCTGTACCATGATTAGACTCGGTCCAAATCTATAATAAGGGATGATTCTTAATGTTATAAAATGATTATTTTTTACAAACCATTTTATAAACAAAGATATTATTGTCGTTTCAAGGGAATAATCATTTAGAATTATAAATTGTTATTTAATGTTTTCACACATATTTCCCACCAATCGTATAAGTAAGTGGGGAGATTAAGGCAATATTTGATTTATTTTAATGTTAAGACAGAGTCTAATAGTTTTATGTTTGCGCAAAAATAAACATTTAAGTGGTATTTATTATCAAGCATGATATTTTGTACAATGAATGTCGTCTTTCTTGCCACTAAAAAAGCCACTAAGGATTAATAAATAAGATCCCTAAAAATGTGCTCTTAACAGTAAACAATTTCAGAAATATTTACGATTTAATATTTGTCCTTAGATCTATAAATAATTAAAAAAAGAACCAAGATTCCGATCATTCCGATTAGTTTTTGTTTACACTGTACAGTGAAAACAAGAAAACTCTAGAATAGGAAGACGACTTTTAGACTCAAGTTATGACTTCTCAGTGTGAACAGACCCTTTTAACTAAATAAGTGATTTTAAAGTTTCTAGTATAATTATTTGCTTTGTATCAACATGAATTACACTGTCTTAACCTATTCCATAGTTTACTGATTATCACTGTATCTAAGTCTTAACATTTTAATAAACACCAACCTTTGATCCAGGGTTTCCGTTGTTTATCTCCTTTTTGAACCTTACATCAGTATTATATATCTCGTTTGTGTCCAATAGGAACAAAGAAGGAGTTGGCAAAGTGGAAGGAGAAGGAGTGAATGGAGAAGGGGTAGAAGGAGAAGAAGGAGTGGAAAGAGAAGAAGTAGAAGGGGAGGGAGTAGAAGGAAAAGGAGTAGATGGAGAAGGAGTAGAAGAAGAAGGAGTAGATAGAGAAGGAGTAGAAGGAGAAGAAGGAGAAGTAGTAGAGGGAGAAGGAATGGAAGGAGGAGAACTAGACGGGGAAGGGGTTGATAGAGCTGCTGGAGATAAAGTGGATGAAGAAGGATTAAATGGTGAAGCACTTGAAGGAGTGAAAGGTTCATGCTGGATTAGAGAAGGATTGGAAGGATTATACAGATTTGAATAACCAGGAGGGAAAATAGCGGGAGAGTAGGATGGAGAATACGGATAAAGCTGAGAATACGGAGAGAACTGTGAATGATGTTGAGGAAGAGAGGATGAAGGAGAATAAAGAGAAGGATCAGGATAACCTAGGTTTCCTCTCTGGTTGTAAAATATATACGGACCACCTACAGCGTGTGAAAATCAATTGAAAATTTTTAGATACAAAACTAAGAAATTTTGCAGTTCATGCTCGGAGTAATTAATCAGCAAAACTCTAGCGATAATCAGACAAGTTAATCAATGGCAAAATAAATTTAGAAGACTATTAAATCTCAGAAATTGGTTTCTTGATATGTAGGTTTATATAAAGTTACTGCATTGCACTTTATAAACTAAAATTTCGTTGTTTTAAAGAGTTAGGCATCTTAATATCGTTTAATGAGCTGGATTTTAACTGACACATAACTGCAAACAAGCTATTCATCACAATCGTGTTTAGGTCTAATTATGATAATATTGAACTGATAATCTTCAACTATGATTTCCTTGAAGATATTGGAGGTAGGATGGAGAATATTGTTGGCTGAGATCCAAACCATTGTCGGGATACACACTTCTAGAAGAAAAATGATTGATTGTTTGGATTAATGGTTTAAAAAAAACAGAATGTTCTGATATTTGAGAAATATGCGAGGTACCAATGTTTGACCAGACATGTTTAAATATCTCAGGCAGAGTTTTATCAAGGTGGGGGGGGGGCTATTGGGCTAAAACCCCCCTTGGAGAAGCAAAAACTATGATTTTCAGATGGGTATTCTGACCCAAACAATGACTGAGCCCCCCTTGAATTAAAAAATGTAACCCCCCCCCCTCCTTCACGAATGCCTATATAAGTTTTGATATCTACTTGTTTCAGTTTAAACTTCTCGGATTTATTTTTTCGTCAATTTTCGTATTATTTTTTAAATCTTTTCAAACTGAAGAGAAAAATTGAAAAAGTTAACAAAAAAACTAATTATGTTTAGGGTTATCCACAAAGGATAAGACTTCAATGACCTTAAACTAATAATTCTAACGATCCTAAGGCTTTAGTTGGTCTGTGTAGTCTTAAGTAGAGTCTCTTATAGGGTGCTAAATGATTTGGCAAAGAAAGCAACAAGTTGTTTGTTATAGATAAGGACAACCAATGTGAGAAAAATCCGCACAGTCATCCTTGAAATATCGTCCTTTGTTGGCAAGCCTGTATTTATCAATGTAAAGAAACCCTGTATTTATCAATGTAAAGAAGTATTTATCAATGTAAAGAACCCTGTATATATCAATGTAAAGAACCCTGTATATATCAATGTAAAGAAACCCTGTATATATCAATGTAAAGAAACCCTGTATTTATCAATGTAGTAAAGAACCCTGTATATATCAATGTAAAGAAACCCTGTATATATCAATGTAAAGAAACCCTGTATTTATCAATGTAAAGAACCCTGTATATATCAATGTAAAGAAACCCTGTATATATCAATGTAAAGAAACCCTGTATTTATCAATGTAAAGAAACCCTTATATATCAATGTATAAACTATTTTGCATATGATGAATTCGCACCCTGATCTCTAATCGTTCTTCTTAAATCTATTTAATTGAAATATTTTGTTATTATTATTAACATTAGGTGGAAAAAATAATCAAAACAGCCAAGAGCTATTTTCCACCTAATTGCTTTATACTTGTACTGTTAATATAATCATCAATTTTGTGATTGTAAACTCTATCTGTATACAGATACATTTATTTCAGCAATAAACTTTATCTTATCTTATCTACCCTGAATTTATCAATGTAAAAAAAAACCCTGTATTTATCAATGTAAAGAAAAATCTTATTTTAACCCACAGGTATAACGACAGGAAACTGTGTATCCTCCCATCTCTTAAATATCAGGACAATATTTTGTTTAAATTAATTTTCTTTTCCAAAAATATCAGGGAATTGAGTCATTTACACAAACTTTGATTTTCTAATCTCTATATCTTTGCAACATCATCAAGTTGCAAAGATATAGGGTTGAGAAAGTTTGAATTTTGTGGCCAAATCTGAATTCCCTTGTCTAAGATTTCATATTTATTGGTTACACAGTTTAAAAATTAAACCGTCTGAGTGAGTAATTTGCCCCGTAGATATTGTTTAAAGGTAAATTCAGTTTAAATTTACAAGGAATTATATTTACAAGGTTGCCAAAAAAAGGACTAAAATGAACACCTAAAACTATTTGAATAAAATGTTTACAGTTGAAATAAACCATGTATTTGAGTATAAGATTAAAGGAGCTTAAAATTTATCTTCTTCTAATTTTTTTTTATTGTAGAGTTAGTATTTAACAAAAATATAACATATACAATTAGAAAACATGTATACTACTGAAAATTAAACTCTATCTGTATACAGATACATTTATTTTAGCAATAAACGTTATCTTATCTTATCTTATCTACTATACTCTGGCTTTTCGCTTTACCAGCCTAACCCCTAAATCTGTTCAATTTGATAATGTAAACCTTTGATATTCCAAATTACAAGTATTTAATCTAACAGAATTCATATTTTTATATATAAGAGATCTAGAACACCAAGTTGCAAAGATATAAGGCCTCGAAAATTAAAGTTTGTGACAAGGGTTTAATTCAACTGTAGTTTTTATTATTACTTGTGAAGGTTTGGGTCTCTACCTTGGATGAATAATACTCCGGGTAGAAGGAAGCATAGGAAGAGAACGGACGGATACTTTAGCAAGATCATCTCCGACAGATTCACTGGAATTAAGAAAGCTTTCAGCTTTCGTCTCCAGATAGGAGGAATGGTTTTGAATTGGAAGGAACGCTGGGTTGTTAAGCTCTAGGTGTATTTTAGAATTGTCAACCTTTTCATGGAACGGGACATGGTTTAGTGTTGGTAGGAACGGTTTATGACTCTTTACAGGAAGGAACGATTTTTGGTCTTCGTCAGAAGGAATTGTTGTTTTGTTCTTTTCTCCAGGTATTGCCAGAGTAAGGACGGGGAGAAAAGAATTTTCCTCGGGGTTTGATTCATCCTTGTGCTCCGGAAGTCCTGGTTTTGTTGATGTTTGATCCTGAGTTAATGGTGGAATTAGGACGGGTAGATGAGAAGGAGAGTATACACGTCCTAGGGTTGGATTCAGCAGTAGCGGAACCACCAGGAGCTGAAACTAAACATAAACAAGAATTAATTTAATCATAAATCTTGATTCCCTTGGTCAAATATACTTTGATGAGCTTTGTGAAAACCACAAATGTTTGTCTAAGATTGAAGATTCGATTGCAACCGGTACATCTGGCTCCTTCATATCTTACTCCCAGGGTATATGAAAAGTCTAGTTCACGGAGTCCGGAAGAGGTTGGTTGCTCAGGTTTGGACTGCGGTGAACCGTAGTTTAAATATCCTACACTCTCCGATATCATTAATCAAACACATGTCCGCCTGGACACTATAATCAGGAGGATAAATTACGAACCATCTTCTCATTATCTTGGTTTAAATATTGATATTTAATACATCTGTCACCAGGTTTAAAACAGATTGATCTTAATGAATTACTTCAAAATATCCCATATTGAACCAATACTGTGTGTATTGTGTACTTAAAGGACTGGTCTTAACATTTAATTGTTGTATAATTTAACTTGTCTTTTCTTCAGTTCTCACTAGAATACTGTGTGTATTGTGTACTTAAAGGACACCGGTCTTAACATTTAATTCTTATATAATTTAACTTGTCTTTTCTTCAGTTCTCACTAGAATACTGTGTGTATTGTGTACTTAAAGGACATTTTAACATTTAATTCTTATATGATTAAACTTGTCTTTTCTTCAGTTCTCACTGTGGAATAGGAAAACGACTGTAAAGATTTAATTTTAAATATTCTAATAAAAATAACCAAAGGAATTATGCTTCAGTGTTTTTTTTAATAAAAAAACTTCTAACATTTCTAAACTGTATTCTGTTAGGTTTGTTTTTATTGAATTCTGCAACATTTCTAAATGCTAAAAGAGCAAAGTTTTTTTTTGCACATTCTTTCTCTCATGGTCAAAATTTGGCATTGGGAAAGAAAAGCTAAAATAAACAATTTTAAAAATTTGTTAAACTTCTCAGATTTTTGTGGAACATTTTAACATTTTAAAAATCCTTCAAAAACAAGTTATTTCACTAACTGTGCCGTGTAGAAATCCTTAAAAAGTTGGCTTTAAAACTCCTGGTAAACCTTTTTGCTTTTTAATTACACTTTAAAGAAAATGATTCTTTGCAACAAGCTTTGATTTTTAAATTCCTATATCTTTGCAACCCAGTGTCGTAGACCTCAGATATTTCAAACTAATAATTCTGTCAGATCAAATAATCTAAATTTAAAATATCAAGAGTTTACACCATCAGGTTGCACAGGTATAGGGGTTATGAAATTTGAATTTGTGGCAAAGACTCAACTCCTTTATTATGAAGGAGGAGTGAGCTCTTTAGCTGAAAAGTTTTTAAAAATTCACTTTTCAAACCGAATATCATTGGAAACATACATTTTTTGGATTTTTATTAATTTTTTATTAAAGATTGGTGTTCACATGGTTGAAAATTAAAAGAAATTTTTTTGATATTATAAAATAATCAAAATTAGCAATAACATTCAAAGTATACTTTAATATTATAAAACCTTGTAATCCGATTTAATGTAGCAAAGGTCAAATTCAAAAATAAATAAAAAACTAAAACTTTATCATATATTTTATGATTTCATGATTTTATAAAACTGGTAAATAGGGTTAAAACGTTTTCAGTTAAAAAATAGGGGCAGAAAAATAAAACCTTTTATTCAAAATAATAAAATAAAACCTATTTATTCAAAATAATAAAATAAAACCTTTTTGTTAAAAATAATAAAATAAAACCAATTTATTCAAAATAATAAAATAAAACCTATTTATTCAAAATAATAAAATAAAACCTATTTATTCAAAATAATAAAATAAAACCTAAACCCTTTGACTGAGTTGCCTCAAATTTTGATTGGGGAACCCGATAGGACCAGGGGAATTTTAAGGAGGTCTCCCTTTTATAGGGAAAATAGTGAAAATTGTATTTTACGGCAAAGCGAAGGTACTTCTTAGCATTAATAACATATCTTTTTTTCACAGTTTTGACCAATAGGGAATTATTTAGACAACAGAGGTTTAGTTTCATATTTTTTTCTTCTAAAAATCCGCGTAATTTTTATTTTATCAAGAAGGTTTTAAATAAAATTATCATTGAAGTCCGAAGAAATATTAAAGAATCTAACTTATGATAAAAAATTTAAAAAATACTCAATTCATCCCTTTTAGGATAAAATACTGACCGAGGAAATAAAAATGCTTAAAAAATGAGATAAATAAATAGTGTTGACGCTGGACAGGAAGTATAGTTTCCCAGGCTAGCACGATAGATCCCACACAGTTAATTATAATCACTAACATCCCACAATTTAACGTTAGTGTTAACAGTTGGGATTTATTTAACATATCTATTCAACTCCTCCACTTCCTCTCCTTCCACCTCCACTTCCTCTCCTTCCACCCCCCCCTGTACCTTTTCCCTTCTCTCTCCCCCCCCATCCTGTCTTTCTTTCTCCCTCACTAACTCTACCCATATTGAACATCTTCACTTAAAGGGACTGAAGCGTGATTTCAAGTGATTCGCAACGGTACCCTTTAAAGGCTACGTCTGATCAAGAATAAAAAACTGATTAGTTTCAATTCTGGTTTCTACACAAAAGTTACTCGCACATTTCTGCTGCAGGAGAACACGTAAGAATTGTCAGAATTAAAAATGTTTAAACCTAGAAAAACGACAATATCTTCCACATAATTAATCAGATAATGGTTTCAAGGTTACTGTTGTGAATCAGGCGTTGCCATCTTTACATTGCACTTCAGACCTAGATGTGCACTCTCTCACACAAAAAACAGTATGTTACCAATTACTCCTTTTAAACTTAACAAGAAACAAGCGCATTGCATTTTTAACTTCTATATGCCTAGGACTACAAAAAAAGTATGGGCAAGTTTGTACGGTATAACCAAAGTCCAAGGCGTGGCGACATTTGAAAGTCAAGGCTTTCTAAAAAGTGATGACTAACTTTCAGAGTTGTCTAAATCTTAGTGATGGAGGGTCACTGGAAATTACGCTTACAGTCACTTTAATCCTTTTTCAAACGATTTTCCGCACAAATTTAACGATTCGCCCCCCCCCTTCTTCCCTTTACCTCCCTATATTCCGATTTTTAAACTTCTTTATGGATCATTCTATCCTGAACCATGTTTCTTAATTGCCAATCATACTTTTTGTTTGTCATCTCTAGACAAGGGAAATTTTAGAATTTAGTATACAGGTGTACAGGAGGTATTGGAGAAGTAATCTTGGATATCTTTGTAAAGGATATTAATACAGGTGTATTGGAGAAGTAATCTTGGATATCTTTGTAAAGGATTCCGTTTTTAAACATTAAAGGTTTTGGATTTTTAAGAGGCTCCACGAGAATCTGAGATGATTATTCTATTTCAAAATTGTACTCTCAATAAGTTTGTTTTTGATTGATATTTTTGGCCAGAGAAAAGATTGTGGAGGATGAACGTTCTCTGAAGGGAAAAATACGGATGGAGGATGAAGGTTGAAGGGAGGGATATTAATGGAGGATAAAGGTTGAAGAATGGAATATGAATGGAGGATAAAAGTTGAAGAATGGAATATGAATTGAGGATAAATGTTGAAGGAAGGGATATAAATGGAGGATGAAGGTTGAAGGAAAGTATATGAATGGATTTTGAAGGGGGAAAACATGGATATGAAAGGAGGATAAAGGTTGAAGAATGGAATATGAATGCAGGATGAAGGTTGATGGCACTAATATAAATGGAGGATGGATGGAAGAGAGAATTTAACTCCAGCAATACAAAAAATTAATGAATATATGTCACTTCTATCTGTCACAAACATTAAAGGTTTGTATTTACCCAGCTCATGTCTCCGGGTGCTGAGAGGAACTGAGGATAAGTTTCCCACACCTTACTCCGGAGACGCGTCTGCAGTTTATATCTCGGTTCAATTTACTCTGGATACTGCGCGTATTCCTTCTCAAAGGAAGATAAAAATAAAGAAGATTCCGTCATCATACACTTCTTGTTTGCGCCAATCGGCACCGAAAATGTTTTCAATATAAACCTTTTAATAATTTGTGTCAATAATATTGCATTTACAATCTATAAGTAAAAAATAAGTTTAAGTTCAAGGAATACAATGCATGAAATTTTACACGCAATTAGAGCATCTCAGATTCTGCTATCAGAATTTATCTTTTTGTAATGATAATTCCAAAATTTCCAATAGGAAATCGAGAAAAAAATTGTAGTCATTTCTCTCTGACTTCCAACAGGAAACAAATAAAAAAGTTGGTTTCCAACAGGAAACGAATAAAATAAGTTGGTTTCCACCGGGAAACAAATAAAATAAGTTGGTTTCCAAAATAAGGTTGTTTCTACCAGGAAACATAAAAACAAAGTTTGTTTCACCAGGAAACAAATAAAATAAAGTTTGTTTCCACCAGGAAACAAATAAAATAAGTTGGTTTCCAACAGGAAACGAATAAAATAAGTTGGTTTCCAAAAAAAAGGTTTTTTCTACCAGGAAACATAAAAACAAAATTTGTTTCAACCAGGAAACAAATAAAATTAGTTGGTTTCCACCAGGAAACGAATAAAATAAGTTGGTTTCCACCAAGAAACGAATAAAATAAATTGGTTTCCACCAGGAAACGAATAAAATAAGTTGGTTTCCACCAGGAACCGAATAAAATAAGTTGGTTTCCATCAGGAACCGAATAAAATTAGTTGGTTTCCACCGGGAAACGAATAAAATAAGTTGGTTTCCACCAGGAACCGAATAAAATAAGTTGGTTTCCACCAGAACACACATCAAATAAAAATTACCCATGAAAATGGATTGTTACATTATTACAGTGTAAACCACGTAGTAGACAATATTTGTATTGCAAACTGAAAACAAATAATTGTTCGGAATTAGCTGCAGGTATCATCAGAACTTAACTTTTTAGCGACATATTTTAAGAAAGAAAGTAAGGAAAAAGTTAAAATATTATTATTTGAAACGATTGTCATAGTTTTTCCAATAATTTACTATTTCTTAAATCAACATTTTGTCGTAGACCTCTGATATTAAAAGCTATGAATTCTATTAGATCAAATAGTTAAACTTTGAATTATAAAGGTTTACACCATCAGGTTTAAAGGATATTAGGATTAGAAAATAGATTTAGAATAATCAGTTCATTCAAATAATAGAATTTACTGTATGTACTCTTAGAATATGGTTAGGTTAAAACAGAACCAGGTTTATACATAATTAATATCATGTCTGGGATATAATTGATAAGAAGAAGTAAACATTAATACAATCAATCACACATCTGTTGAATTTTTCATCTCTGTATTTAAATGTGTAAATATGCGTCTATTCAAATAGCCACAAGGCTGGTCGTTCATTTTTTAATAATAATTACTTTCAACTCAATTTAATTTGTTTTCTTTGGTGCATGTTGACCCCAAACCTAATAATTAAATAGAGCGCAGCTAGATCTTTTCCGAGACAGAAGAATCTTTGGATTGGGAAATATACCTTTAACATGATGTTTTTAGGAAAAAGGATTCTATAGATGAAGCTTAAGATGACAGCTTAAATATTATTTGGAATAGTGTAAAAAAGTTTTTTTTTGTTTCTTGCAAGAATATTGTTAAAGGAATTGAGTCTTTGCCACAAACTCTGATTGTCTAATTCCTATATCTTTGAAACCCAATGTCATAGACTTAACATATTTCAAACTATGAATTCTGTAAGATCAAACAGTCTAAGTTTTAAATATCATAGGTTTTCATCATCAGATTGCATAGTTATTGGGATTAGAAGTTTGCGTTTGTGGCAAAGACTCAATTCCATTGTCACATTGAAGTCCACAGAAATGATGAAAGGATTAATTGTAAAATATTTTTAATTAAATAACACAAATAAAACAGCTCTAAACCTTTGTGCTTTTCAGAATAAACTTATCACAAATAATGTGGTTTATTAATAATGTTTGGTAAATATTTCGATAAATTTTATTAAAAATCAGAAATCGTTTATTTGAATTGAATGAAATATATTGTATCATGGTTTATTCATCAGAACTGGACTTCTTCGTCTTTTGTAGAACAATCATAATATAATCTGTATCAGGAGCAACTAGAACCTGGAACAATCATAATATAATCTGTATCAGGAGCAACTAGAACCTGGAACAATCTTAATATAATTTGTATCAGGAACAACTAGAACCTGGAACAATCATAATATAATCTGTATCAGGAGCAACTAGAACCTGGAACAATCATAATATAATCTGAGCTGAAAACTTTAGACTTGTGGATATCGAGATTAATGCGTGATTCTCTCTTTTTCATAATATCGAGACTAATCTAATCTTGTACTTGTATCCTGAAAAGTGTATAAAATTCAACCAATCAGAGTCGCGTATACGAAGCCGATAAATCTAAAATTTTGCGTGCCATTAAGATTATATACAGAAATGGGAAGAACTCTCTCATTTAGAAAAACCGGTTTTTGATTTTTCTCTACTATATCCAAGAAAGAACAGTTTAAGAAGAAAATAAAAAGTGCGTCCATCGGATACTCAGATTAAGTAACCGGGATTAAGGATAAAGTTTTCAGCTCTGTATCAGAAGCAACTAGAAACTGGAACAAAATATTATTATTTTCAATTACATCAGAACTGGACACTTGTAGGTGAGCGGAACGAGTTGAACCTTTTTTTTTCTAATGAAGTTAGCCCATGGTTTATTAGTCAACCTTTTGATATGCCCACGCGAGTAGGGCACCAGTTTAACTTTATCCTTTTTATTTAAAAGTTTTCGGTTGAGTTCTTTTATTATGTATTTATTAATTTCCAACCTCATGCTTCTTTGATGCAATCCTGACAAAGGTCAGATGATTGGTTGGATCTAGATCACGAACCAAGCACTTCGCTCTCTCCGCCAGCTGGGATATCTCCGCCGAATACTATATATTAATCTTTAGCTGGGATATCTCCGACGAATATTATAATTTAATCTTTAGCTTGGATATCTCCGCTGAATATTACAATTTAATTTTTAGCTGGGATATCTCCGCCAAATACTATATATTAATCTTTAGCTAGGATATCTCCGCCGAATAATATATATTCAATCTTTAGCTGGGATATCTCCGCCGAATATTATAATTTAATCTGTAGCTAGGACATCTCCACCAATACTATATATTTAATCTTAAGCTAGGATATCTCCGCCAAATCTATATATATACTATGCTTGTCTGTCTGTTTGTTTGCATCCAAGAAACGTCAAAACGGTAGAACCGATCAGGCACAAATTTTGTGCGGGACCTTATATGACCCAGGGAAGTTTTGTGAATGATCAAAATTTCAAAAATTAGCCTCTAACAAAATTCGATTTTCATTAAATTTAAAAAATCCACGAAATTTTTTATAAAATCCGCGAACTTTTTTTGTGTTTGTTTTACAATGTATACAAAGAGAAAATGTTCAATTGAAATAGAAGATGTGCACAAAGCGCCCTAAAAGCCTAGTACTATATTTCTTGGTTGGATTTCACTGTCTAGTTACCTGAACAGTTGAAGCACTGTTTAGTGTCTAGTTACCTGAACAATGATGAACTGTCTAGTGTCTAGCTGTACCTGAACAGTAGATGTACTGTCTAGTGTTTTATAGCTACCTGAACAGTAGATGTTCTGTCTAGTGTATACCTACCTGAACAATAGATGTACTGTCTAGTGTCTAGCTACCTGAACAGTAGATGTACTGTCTAGTGTCAAGCTACCTGAGCAGTAGATGTACTGTCTAGTGTCTAGCTACCTGAACAGTAGATGTACTGTCTATTGTCTAGCTACCTGAACAGTAGATGTACTGTCTATTGTCTAGCTACCTGAACAGTAGATGTACTGTCTATTGTCTAGCTACCTGAACAGTAGATGTACTGTCTAGTGTCTAGCTACCTGAACAGTAGATGTACTGTCTAGTGTCTAGCTACTTGAAAAGTAGATGTACTGTCTAGTGTATAGCTACCTGAACAGTAGATGTACTATCTAGTGTCTAGCTACCTGAACAGTAGCTGTACTGTCTAGTTTTTAGCTACCTGAACAGTAGATGTACTGTCTAGTGTCTAGCTACCTGAACAGTAGATGTACTGTCTAGTGTCAAGCTACCTGAGCAGTTCTAGTGTCTAGCTACCTGAACAGTAGATGTACTGTCTAGTGTATACCTACCTGAACAGTAGATGTACTGTCTAGTGTAGATTTTATAGGGATTCCTTCATTGTTGATTACCACCACGCCCTCCACCTGGAGAAAAATAAAATAGTACAGTGGTGATCAGAAAACAGTAGAATAATAGATTTTTTCTTAATTGTGATATTTTGCACAGGGTTTTGTAATTTGTAACTGATTTATTTCTAAAAATGTTCCCTGAATATCTTCAGAAATGTACCAGATCTAATATTTGCAAATTTTAAAATCAGTAACGAAATTTCGTCAGAAAGAACGAAGACGACAATAATTTTATAGTTTCTGGTACCCGGGCACTATATGCATAACGATAAAGAAATTTTAAACAGGGTCGCCCTTATAGAATTGAGACTTCGAATACGTTTGTGTTTGTGTTTATAGTCTTTATTATAATGTTTTTTTTATACTTTACCACGTTAAATGCAGGGGGACTGGAAAGAATGAGACTTACATGGTACCATTGAAATAATAAAAAGCATTCTAGTGATTCTATTTATGATTTGTTAAATAAATGAAGTAGTTTAGATTTACGGGGAAACCATGAATGTAAAAAATAAGATTGAATAAATTCCAATCTGCATATCTAGAATTGATTACATCCTTTGTTGGTAACCCTCTATATATGTTCTTATTAAACACTTTGTTCAATCATTATAAATTTTAATAACGAGAACATATTGCAGTTCACAGATTAATTCTTTAAATTGTTGTATAAAATAGTTCAAGGTCGTCCTTAAGGTTTCAAACTTTGGCGCGCAGCCAATGTATATTTTAAGATTAGTAAATTCATGATTAAACTAAGTTTTAAAATGTCGTCTGCTATCTGAGAAATGGTTGATGATTTGGAAAAAATAGATTGTATTACATCCGTCCAACGTTACATCCGTTCTACGATAATTCGGACCTGCCCGCACTTGTTTTTTCAGCAGCAATTCTACTGCTGTTAGTCATTCGACCTACAAAATCTGTGCATCCGACGTACAAAAGTTGTGCATCCGATCTACTAAATTTGTGCATCCTACCTACAAAAGTTTCATCAGACCTACTAAAGTTGTGCATCCGACCTACTAAAGTTGTGCATCCGACCTACAAAATCTGCATCTGATCTACAAAAAGTGTGCATCTGACCTACTTATAATTGCAACCGGAACAATGATCCTTCTGGTAGCAATGTCAACTACATAATGAAAATATCTGCAGTTCCTGCATCGCGTCGGTCGGATTTACAAAATAGAATGTACATCAGACCTAAAGCTGTCGTAGGTCCGATGTTGCATAGGTCCGAAGTATCGTAGGACGGAAGTACTGTTGGACGGAAATGCTGTAGGTGAGAAGTAACATTATCAAGAAATATTCTTAATTCTATTTTCAAGATCTCAAACGTGAATTATTGAATTCAAACGTTCACGATAAAAACCACGGTTTCATGATAATAAAGATGGTTTAGGATAATAAACATGGTTTCATGTTAATAAACATGTTTTCATTATAATAAACATGGTTACATGATAATAAACATGGTTTCATGATAATAAACATGGTTTAGGATAATAAACATGGTTTCATGTTAATAAACATGTTTTCATGATAATAAACATGGTTTCATGATAATAAACATGGTTTCAGGATAATAAACATAGTTTTAGGATAATAAACATGGTTACATGATAATAAACATGGTTTCATGATAATACACATGGTTTCATGATAATAAACATGGTTTCATGATAATAAACATGATTTCAGGATAATAAACATAGTTTCATGATAATAAACATAGTTTCATGATAATAAACATGGTTTCATGATAATAAACATGGTTTCATGATATAATAAACATGGTTTCAGGATAATAAACATGGTTTCAGGATAATAAACATGGTTTCAGGATAATAAACATGGTTTCGTAATAAAAAACATGGTTTCATACACATATGATCATTAACATTTTTTTAAAATCTTTAACATATTTTAGTATCTTAGATTCTAAGCGTGGTATTATATTTTGATTCAAAATATGATTTCTTTTTTCGAATTTATTAATCCTAATAGAACATTTTTATCATAAGAATGTTTTACATTTTGTTTCTCTAATTCAGATTAGTGTGTCTGGTATTCCTTCATTATCTTTTACAAGATGACATTTTTAACTTATGGAGGGAAAGTACAAAAAGAAACCGAAGTGCTAAGGATTATTATTTTTTTCATCATTATTAAGAAAAACTTTAATAATAAAAAATCTTCTCTCTACGTAAAAAAATAAGAAAAAAAATGTTTAAACCAAAGATTTTAGAATGTAGAGAACATCCAGCCGTTAATTCCTTCTATGAACCGGAACAGGGCTGATAAGGTTTAATGTTCAGATCTTCAGTTAGATAAAGATTCTGCGTCCAGGAGATATTACGTGAAAGTAAATTGATAAATTCAAGATATCCAGTTCATGATTGATATTCGCAAATATCGTTTTATTCCGAACCCGAAACCACCCAGATGATTGTGGGCATAGATTGATTAATTTGGTTTGGTTAGTAAACTGGAAGGATTTAAAGTATCCTTAGTTTAAGTTCAAGAATGGAAAGTTTTTGTTACTCCGGGTCTAGTTCAACATACGGACAGTTAGGTGGTGGTTCACGAATTCTTCTGTGCGGAGAGAAATCCCAGACCATTCGGTAGATAATACTAGGATACGCTCCGTTCCTTCCTTCGTCCACAAACCAGTTGGTGATTATACGGTGAATCAGACGGTGAATCGAATCCATCAACATATTGTTGTACCCAAAAGCACTTTTATGCTTGTTAGGACATTATAGCACGCATATAGTACCCAAGTTCAGTCAAATAATGCGGGAAAACATAGTTTGAATTGGCGACAAAATACTAGGAACAAGAACACAAACAATATCAAGGAATATTCATTTTCTTCTCATTAATTACTAGAGTATTATAAGAGGCTCTATTTATCTCCGGTTTCAAATAAATTCATGGATCTCTTTACTTTTGATACACCAACAAGACATTTTTGATTTTCAACACCAAACATGTAAAACAAAAAAAAATTATCAAATACAACCATTTAACTCCCCTCTTCAGTCCAACCTAATTTTAAGTTTTAAACAAAACGACGGAATACAATTTTCATATCAATAATTATAGGAACTGTTAGAGGATTATATAATTTTTATAGAGTGTTCATATAGATGACAATGTCTGATTCACAATGGTACCCTTGAAACCTATATCTTATCAATAATGTGGAAGATATTGTCGTTTTTCAAGAATTCAAAGCGTTTAATTCGGAAAATTCTTATGTTTTCTTCAGCAGTAGAAGTTCGTAAGTCACTTTTGTTGAGAAACCACAATTGTACAGAATCAGTTTTCAAACTCATAAACATGAATATTCAATTCACACTCCAGGCAAAGCGTTTGACGGTACTGTTGTGAATTGTTCATTCCCATCTTTGCATGGAGGGTAACTTGAAATTACGCTTACAGTCCCTTTAATAATATGTCAAATATCTGAAAATATGCAGTTTTATTCCCCCCCCCTTCTTCCCTAGTCCCCATCCACGCATAATAAGTTTGTGATGCAAATTAAGTTAAGATATATAATTCTAACGTTTTTTTTGGAGGGTTTAAACACCATGATAAAATTGTGATAAATTCTTGTCATTTATGAAAATAAACTCATTTCTTAACAACGTATTGCAAAGAGCAGATTGTAACCTTGTATGAATTAGTTGGAAATTATAGGATTATGTAAACAGAATAATCATAGGTTTCAAATTCAACTACAGGGTGTCCCAATAAACATGGAAATTTAGTGACGACTTTTATATCTTCTTTAACCCATGCGGCATTTTTTCAAGAACACAATTATTGCAGAATTCCAGTTTAAATATCTAATATCGAAAACGCCTGGTCATGAGATTCTCAAAATGTGGCATACCATTTTTGTATCTTCAAAATTTGTACAAATTTCAATTTATTTAATCAATCAAAATTGTCTTAATATCTAACATTTTCGTCAATTTTAAGATACAAGAAAGGAAAAACACTTTATGGAAAAATCTTCAGACGTACAGCCTCGTTTTTTTTTTACTTTCTTTGCCATGCTTAAAATATCAGAAATCAAAGACGACCTTCAAGTCATCTCCCAATTCCCATGTTTATTGCAGACACCCTGTAGGTTCCAACTAGGTTCCGACCTACTAGAATATTTGTTTATTTGCCTATGGCGTCATACAATCAACAACAGCTGTAATTTTACATAATATATGATTACACATGGACATTTAACCCTTGGATTTTATGCATCAGATTCACCCTGGAGATACAAGCAGATACAAGCATATAAAATGTCTATAAAATGTCTATAAAATGTCTATAAAATGTCTATAAAATGTCTATAAAATTTCTATAAAATGTCTATAAAATTTCTATAAAACTTCTATATAATGTCTATAAAATGTCTATAAAATGTCCAAATGAAAAACCTTATCGATGAAAATGTCCGTTTAACCCTCCATTGTAAAATTCATGAATACGCCCAAGTATCCAAGTTTATAGGATTAACTTTTAATACCCAAGTACACGGTAAAATATAGCTCTTGCTGTTTATTCAAAAGTTTAAACATGCAATTTAGATAAATTCTTTTTTCATATATAAGATTAATTGGAACCCCTGCTATTCAGGGTTAAATTTAACCCTCCCCGCATATTCAGGGTTAAATTTAACCCTGAACATGCGGGGATAATTGATCCTAGTTACGCAGGATTAAATCCAACCTAACCCAGCACTGCAACAAGACATAAGGAGAAGGTCAAGTGTTTGCGCTTCTTATCAATAAAAGGTGTTATGATTAAAAACATATTATATTTCTATTTTACTGAACATTTACATTAGTTTAACGTACCAGGGTTTTAACTTACCATTTATCTCACCCAGAGTCTAAAACTAAATAATAAAGGTAAAGCTTAAAAGTTCAGAAAAATAATGAGTTGCAACTTAAATATTGACCTTTCTAAATTCAATTTCTTCACAAAACTGCAGCGGAAAATAACAACAAATGTATTTCGTATTAGATAAGTAAGATGTATTTATTTATTCCAGATGACGGGAAAACATTTATAAACTTAAATCGACATATTAAATCATTTTCATGAATTGAAATATCGCAAAATTGAATGCAGGTATTTTCAGGTTTAAAATCTAACTCGCCGAAATCGACGAGTTAAATATTTAAGCTGTAGCTTAAAATTCAGGTTTAAATTAAGTCAGAAGTAGCATTTAAGCTGAAACTTAACATTTAAGTCGTAACTTTTCGTTCTCTAGTTTTGGACTCTGGGTTACTTCTAACCTTACACTGGATTAAATCTAACCTATACCCAGGGTTAAATCTAACCTTAATCTGGGTTACTTCTAACCTATACCCAGGCTTAAATCTAACCTTACTCTGGGTTACTTCTAACCTATACCTAGGTTACTTCTAACCTATACCCAGGGTTTAAATCTAACCTATACCAAGTGTTTAATCTAATTTAACCCAGGGGTTAAATCTAACCTAACCTAACCTATACCAAGGCTTAAATCTAACCTTACTCTGGGTTACTTCTAACCTATACCTAGGGTTAAATCTAATTTAACCCAGGGGTTAAATGCAATGATGGCCCGTCATACGCTAATAATTAATCTGTGCTACACCGGATACACGTTTTTACAATTATATCAAACCATTTAACCCATTTTATATATAATTTGACTCGGATTTAAATATAACGTTTTTTATTTTGTATCCTATATAAGTTGTTTTTCCCACAAACTTTATTATAAATAAAATTATTATGATAGAAGGGGATACTTTTTGCGCATTTATTAAAATAGTTATTTCTCAAGTATATAATTCATTTTATCTATTCACCTATTAATCTAGTAACTGGTTAAATTTTTTAATCTATTCATTTGTCTATTTTTTAACCAATTTGCTTAAACATTTAGTCCATTCTTTGATCCATGAATAAATCAAATTATAGTTTTAACTTTATTTACGGATCCGTTCATTGATTCCTACATTAATTTTTTATTTTATTTAAAGATCTGTTCATTGATTCATTCATTGATTAATTCAACTAAAAATATCTATATATAGACAGATATATATATATATATATAGTTGAATTAATAAATGAATGAATCAATGAATAGATCTTTAAATAAAATAAAAATATATATATATCATGAATTTTTTGATTTGTTCGTTTCTTGATAAATGCAATTTTAGCGTTTCATTCATTATAATTTATTAATCTGTTCATTCATGAATTAGATTTGGTTTTGAAAAGACCCTGAACGGAATAATATACTGTTGAAAGAAGAAGGTTGTGAAACCTCCAGCTGTTATATAAATTTATTCAGTTTATTTGTCAAGAAAATATTATGCTTATTATTCAACTCTTTCATTAATAAAAAAAAACAATTCATTGCATTGTAAACAAGAAATAATTTTATATTGAGTCAGGCTAACCATTTGCGTTAAAAAAATAGTTTTTAATTTTTTTTTATTTTCCAATGTTCAATGCATTTTATATATTAAACACATATGTTTGCATTATTTTTTTAACTTAAAATGCTAAAACGTTTTTTTTCTAAGTAAGACTTTTTCCAATTCCACTAAATATTATTGTTTTATATCATTAACATGTCTGTATCCGTAACATAATTTTTAAGTTAGTCTAAATTCACTCAGAAAGACGTTTGATTTCGATGTCCTTTACATTTTTTGTAATTAAAAAAACCAAATATATAATTTTACATACAATTTTACGATTAAAGAAATAGTTTCCTAGAATTGAAAACCCCGGTCCCTAAAATCAGAGTTAAATGGTGAATCGAAAAGGTCCCTCCAACGTCAATAATATAAAACAAGAAAACCCTTCTTGAATTTTACCCACTGCGCTACTTTTTACAATCTTTAACATTTCAAGGAAAGGAAGTAAATTTGCCACAAACTCAAATTTTCTAATCCCTATATCTTTGCCAACTGATGATACAGACTTTGATATTTCAAACTTACATAATCTACAGAATTCATAGTTTGTATACTCAAAGTTTTACGACATAGGGTTGGAAAGATATGTTGAAGATTGTAAAAAGTATACCCCAGTAAATAACACTCAACAAGAGTTTTTTTGTTTCATATTATTGACGTTGGGGGGACTTTTGCTTGGTCATTAAACTATGATTTTAGGGACCGGGTTTTTTTGTTTTGTTTTTACATAAATGTTACCAATCATAGAATCAAAACTCAGACTTAGTGTAAAATGTTTCCCGAAAGTTACCAATCGTGCTTTTTAATTTATAACAGGAAAAAGTTTTTTAATTTAGCTTAGTTTAAACTTTCTTACTTCAACTTTTGTTGTCATAGTTTTTTATGAAGTTTTTCAGTGTCTATTGTTTAGTCTAGACCTTTTTCTTATTATACTTTAACATAATTCGTTACTGTAATTTAAATAATTAAAATTCTTGGCACATTCAGATCAAGGTGCAGGCGCCTTTGCAAAAGTATCATAGCTTCCTCTTCAAAGGGTTTTCTATGCTTTTCATATAGTAATGATGCGGATATTTTTTAAATACACTCTGAGGTCGGGGAGAGATCACAAAAACATGAATAATTGTTTTTAACAAATTAAACACTTTATAGATTATATATCAACAGTTTCGCATCCAAGTTCAGAGCTCTGGGGATATTTGTTATATTTGATGAATTATTATGTTGATTATATATACGGAAAATAAATATGAAAATATGTAAATGAATATGAATATATGAAAATTAATATAAATATATGTAAATGAATATGAATATATGTAAATGAATTTGAATATATGAAAATGAATATGAATATATGTAAATAAATATGAATATATGAAAATGAATATGAATATATGAAAATGAATATAAATATATGAAAATGAATAGCTCAAATACGAATAACTCATGTGCATGCATACTTTGTAATATTAAAGATCAAATCTCTGTTTTGGTTCAAACATTAAATCCTTTAGCTCCTCACACAATCAAACCATAGAAACTTAATCCCCAACCTTCACCTTCCATATTTATTTATAAATTGAACAGATTAGCTTCATGACTGTTTCTTCAGTTTCTCCTGGACTAAATTACACTTAATCTTATCACGTTTTAATTCTCAATCTGATATTTCAACATTGAATTCACCACATTGTGTACACTAAACTCACAGGAAAGTTTTAGAAAAAAGAAAAGAATGAATATTTTAAATGACCAGGATGAAGATGAAAACGTCCCTCATATTCTTTGCTCCTCTTCTCTTCGCCGTAAGTTTAGGAGACAAGGACAAAGATGAAACAAAACCTGAAGAACTATTTGAAAATTTTGAAGATAACATCGCTATGGAGAGCGAAAGAAAATATTCGTCGGTTAATTTTGCCGATTTTTCCAACGATCCTGAATTTTCAAAGTTTCTTTCAATTGTGGGACTTAATGCAAAATCCTCCATATTTGGTGAAAAGATGATTCCCTCTTCAAGTGTGAAAAAAGATGAAATTAAAAAAGAAAATGAAGAGAAACCTAAAACCACGGAGAAAGATTATAAAATGGCGGAGAAAAGTCCGGATCAGCTGTTGCAGATAAATCCAAATTTATTAAAAGATCTGTTCTCCAGCGGAAAAGAGGTCGAGGATGTACAGCAGGAGCTCTCAAGCCTTCTCTTTAGAGACTCGTCATCCATCAAACCTCAGGTTTTTTTTTCTTCTTTTATTATTGACATTAAAAATTGGAAAAAAAAATATTTTTAAATTTCAGGAAACCGAAAATGGGACAAATCCTGCAGAGTCAAGGATTATCAAAGATGACAGTGATGAGTATATTGATTATACGGATGATGATGATTATGATATGTACAGCTATGAAGACCTTGCAGAAAGCAGATCATATGACGAGGATATGCCTGTTGCCTCAAAGCTTCGACAGAGACGACCTGGAAAACGAAGACGACCCTACCGAGGAAGATTTGGTCCTGGAGTAAGAGGAAAGTTTCCAGGACGCAATCCTGAAATATATAATATCCCTGGACGAATACAAACAGTGCCGGATAGGAAGTTTTCTCCTCCTCCTCAGAGATTAGATGATAGTGAGTACAGTGCATCCTTCAACCTCAACCCTGTGATAGAACGAGGTTCAGATTGTGATTTCTACACAGACTCTCTCTGCCTCAGTGTAAACTCCTACCCTGATCAGGAGATCATCTCCCTACTCGGAGCTAACCGTAGGATTAGTGATGATATGATTGCAGATGTAATCGAGCAGTCAGCTGATGATTTAATTGACGGGGTTTCCTCTAACCAGGAGAGTACATATACAATATCTCATTACTACGGGAACAGAAGAGAAGATTCTGCGCATAATCATAGAGATTTTGCCGAGGAGGGAGGATTCCTCTGCCCCTCCGAGATCAAGTACGCTAAACCTAAACGTGGAAAGACTGCTCAAGGTGACTGGAAGGATATAGTTAATGTGAATGATTACACCCAAACCCTGAGGATGGAGAAGTGTCTCCAACCTGGTGGAACCTGCAGTTATGTATCCCATCATTATAAATCTCAGTGCAGTCAGGTTTATAATTATCATCGACTCTTGTCCTGGAACAAGGAAAGAGGATTACATATGGATATTTACAAGGTTCCAACCTGTTGCTCTTGTCATATTATGGGATACAGTTACGTGTATCCTCCGCTTAACAACAAGGTTCAAGAGCTACCAAAATCTCCGGCTGTGTTCCGACCTGGATCCTTCTCTTCTCAGTCCCGTCCCAAACCTTCTATATCTCGTCCTGGGCCTCTGGACAATCTCATTCCAGACTTTAATCCTCAGCAGGAGCTAGAGCAGTTTATGCAAACTATAGGATCAGATATCAAGGATTTCAGCACCTTTGGGAAAACTTCTCGACCAGTGAGAAATCAACCAAATCAACAGTTCCAGGGAAGACCTGGGATTAAAAGACCAGTTGTCGGAGGATTTACTCCGAGTTTGGGTCCAGACCTCCGACCTCCGTTCAGGAAAAGAATATCAGACCGAAGGTTTGAGGATGTAAACAAGGATCGTAGGTTTGAGGACTTAAACCAGAGCAACAGACCAGATATGGTGGACTCAGGATCACAAGACAGTCCAGTCCAAAGTGTGCACAGGAAAAGACGCATTGATAAACTGGACCGGAGAGGGGATGGATTCTCCGATACCGGAGAACCCTCTGATATATCCGATCCTGGACACAAGCTTGAATCCATCCCACTGGAGACGGATACTGATAACACCAATGTTGTGAACTATGGATACCATCCAATCATTGACTTTTTTAACCCTCTCCACAACTAGTGGTTTATGTACACTGTACAGTGTACAGTTTACAGTGTACAGTGTACACTGTACAGCTTATAATCCTCTAGCTTCATATCGTGCAATAATTTGTAAAGATTATATAAAGTAAAAATAAATTTGTTTAAAAGTTGAAGAAGGCAGAATTCAAGCTGACGTGTGTAAACCCTGCAATAAATTAAAATATGTTTGACGCAAGGTCGCGTATGGTTTCCGAATCTACTAATTTGAATGCGTATTATGTAAATGCAACCAACGGAAATTTCCTGTCACAAAAACATTGATGATAGCTTAAAAATTAAGATCGAATTTAAATTTTGTACATCAAGGATCAATTCGTTAGATATCAAAATTCTTTCTTGTTTTTATATTTCTTTTGATAAATACATATATTTGCAGGATATAAAATAGAACTAAAAAGGCCTTCTCATATTTATAGATATGTGATGCAAACTACCCCTGTACTAGTCTATACGATACTTTTTGTATTCTTGTATGAAACCAATAAGTTTTCAAACATTAGCTCAGACAAAAATTGAGCCGTCACATCATTTTGGATTTAGGATCTTCAGGATTTCTACTGGAAGAATTTTTATTTCTAGTAATTTTAAATTGTTTAAAAACAGTTCTCACTGATTCGAGCTTAGCTTTAGAATTTTTATATTAACATAATTTTTAGTTTAAAGCTTTTTCAAAACATTTAAACTGCTTCTTGACTGTGCCGATTGTACTCTTATCTTGTTTTCAATATTGAAGATAACTTAAGATTTGAAAAGTTAAGAACTTTTTTTTCGTGAACCCACACATTTGAACTGTAACCTACCTTGCTGTTCGCTCCAATCCTTTTGAGTATTTGATCCACCTGGGTTGTAATAGATACGGTTCCAGCTCTCTCCGGTTCTCCCATCCTCTCGGACGGTTCCAACCTGAATGCGGAGTTCTCTGCTCAACATTTCATGACAACTTGTTCAAACTTTTCCAAACCAACCTATCCTTTAGTCTTAAGTAAAAACTTTGTTAATTCATACTTTGTCTATCAGACAAATTATATCCAACGAATTATTTGTAAATCTTGTAAGCTTCTCAATAATGTCAGCAGGTCCAAGGTGTTAACAATTTCTCTCTCCTTTTAATTTTCACGACCCGAACAAAAAACTAAATTTAACTAATTTGAATATAAAACGGTGTAAAAGTATAGAAAATATTTTCTTAATGAATTATTGGAATTATTGGTTTAAATTACTTTCGCCAAGTTGCTTCAATATTGTAATAATTACACAAAACTTTTGTCAAAGGGAAAGTATTTAATTCTTACTTTAACTTTAAACTATTTTGAATGTTTAGTTTTCGGACATTAACAGTTATATCACGAAATATTTATAATTATTCAACTTTAATAATAATTTGCATTAAAAGGGAGAACCAAAAGTGGCAAAAAAGAGGGAAAAGACTTGTTTAAAGTCGAATTTAATTTTTTTTTAATACTTACTTGAAAAGACTTACTGCAACCTGTGATATTTCAAACTATCATTATTTGATCTAAAATAATTCATACTTTGAAATATCTAAGGTCTCCAACATTGAAATGCAAAAGATATGGGGATAAGAAAATTAGAGTTTGTAACAAAAACTCAATTTCTTTGCCTAATTATATCTAGTAGAACTTTTAGTTTGAAATAACAAAGGTTTGCGACATCAAGATTTAAAGATATAATGATTAAAAAGTGTTTAGTTTTTCAATGAAAAATATTTACTGGAACCGATAGAATAAAAAGAATTATCAAAAAAAGTAAGTGGCTAAAGTGAGAAAGATGATAAGAATTAATGCAAAGCAGAATACTTACGAAAAAAGAATAAGATTGAAAATAAAAATATTAATATTAGCAAAATATAATTATTAGACTTTTAGAGCGCTTCGCGAACCCTTTCAAGTCACTACTTTTTATCGTACTTCGCAATAAACAAATATTTTCGCAGATTTTTCTGTTGTAACTGGTGAATTTTTATAAATAAGAAATGTCGACATTTTTTCTATAGGCAACATTTTTCAAATTTGATCGCCTTTCTTGAACCGGGTCATGCAAAACAATTGGACCCGATTGTTCAGCCGTTTTGACGTTTATTGGATACAAACAGACGAACAAAGAAATTTTTCAATAGATATATAATATACTAGCTAAAGGGCTCGTGCAAAAAAATCGAACTTTTTAGCCTATGTCAACCCCAGGCTACTAACCATGAGTGTCCACAAAAAATTTCAGCCCATTCGGTCCAGCCGTATTGCCGGCCAGAGGGAACATATATATTAATGTCTTGTTTTATCATATAGAAGATATATATATAATCGCTTCTCTGTCTGATTTAAACAAGAAATCTGCGAACATTTTTAGTTCCGATATATACGATATATCCGATATATCCGATATATCCGATATATCGGATATATCCGATATATCCGATATAATCACAGAAAAATGGCGACTTGAAAAATTGTTACTAGGCACGAATCACCTTTTATGGCCAACTCTTTAAAATACTGTATTCCCACGATACTTTTTATAGGTTTAATTCATATATTTGTTAGATTAATGATCTACAAGGACATAAACGTTTTTCGAACAATTGATATATATTATTTCATTTCAGAATTCCAAATTTTTTTGTGGTTAATTTTCTATCTTCATGGTCTCTGTGTATCGTTCTTACAAACATTTATTTCTGTAAATATTTATTAATTGTTTTGTGAAATTGTAAAAAGATCATCTAAAAGTTTTGTTGAATATTGTAGAATATTTTTTATTTATATAAACCATCATTTAAATAGTTCCAGGTCGTCATTTAATTTCTGCCTGATTTGAAATATTTTAGTTTTCTTGATTGCTGTAGAACAATAATCCAGGGTTTATGATCTGCCATAAAATCCAAAGTAAATATCTATTGTAGAGAGATAGAAACAAGATTTATATATTTCTCCGACATATTGGCGGTTTTAGAAAACCTGCAAAATTCGCAAACTCAATTTTTCCCGACCTGTTCATAGATTTGTAAATACATAGACTTGGCAGTTTTCCCGACCTATCCATAGATTTATAAATACATAGACTTGGCAGTTTTCCCGACATATTCATAGATTTATAAATACATAGACTTGGTAGTTTTCCAAATCTATCCATAGATTTATAAATACATAGATTTGGCAGGTTTCCTAACACATTCATGGATTTATTAATACATAGACTAGGCAGTTTTCCTAACCTACCCATTGATTTATAAATACATAGAATCCGACGCTACTGCTTTGCGGATTTTATAATCCTCTTTCGGGGATTTCATCCCCTAACAACTACTCAGTTTTTCCAACATATCCATAGCTTTATATATACACAGACTTGGCAGTTTTCCTAACTTATTCATGGATTTATTAATACATAGACTTGGCAGTTTTCCAAATCTATCCGACGATTTACAAATACATAGGCTAGGCACTATTTCTAACCTATCCATAGTATTATGAATACATAGACTTGGCAGTTTTTTAACCTGTCCATAGATTTATAAATACAAAGGCTTGGCAGTTATCCCAACCTATCCATAGATTTAAAAATACAAAGACTTGGTAGTTTTCCCGACCTATCCATGGATTTGCAAATACATAGACTTGGCAGTTTTCCCGACCTGTCCATAGATTTATAAATACAAAGACTTGGCAGTTATCCCGACCTATCTATAGATTTATAAATAAAAAGACTTGGCAGTTTTCCAGACCTATCTATAGATTTATAAATGCATAGATTAGGTAGTTTTCCCGACCTATCCATGGGTTTATTGCAACTCCCCCGCCCACCCCCAAACTAAATCAAGAAGATATGGTATAGGATGAAAAGTACTAATTCTCATAAAGATATCAGTCCTCAATCCTTGGAGAAACTTTCAAATAATTCCTAGCAATAACAATATAATTTCAAATCAACCCCCCCCTCAGAAGCATCGGGGTTAAGCTGGTTTAAAAACGATTTTCTTAGATTTTCGATTTGTGGACATTTTCTGGACCTTTCTGTCTTGTTCTGGTTAAATTGTCATAATTAGATCAATTTTAAAGCTTTCTAAAGAAGATAAAAATGTACCAACATCTCTCAATACAGATATTCCTTCTTAATCTTTACATGGACAATTCACTGTGAGGAGAAACTATCCTGGAGTAGCGGTATATCCTTCCTATACCTGACTCCAGGGTTAGTTTTATACAGATCAACAGTGAACCCTGATCAAGGAGTAAATAGAGATAGGATGGAAGGTTTACATGAATTTGAAAGTAGGTCTGCAGAACAGGGTTGCTCCCTCTCTACAATAAGGTTCAGTTCATCCTCATACTAAAGGGAGAGTTAGCTAAAATTTTAACCGGGATTAAGAAGATGAACAATTATAAGATTTGAATTACATAAAATTCTACAAAATAACTGTTTATCTTGGCCTTAGCTTTAACGCTTTACTGATGGCTTGGTTTAACTAATAAAAACTTGCTGGGTCCGTTGAGGACATTTCAGAAATAAATTTCTCTTTTCAGAAATATAAACATCACTGGTTTGGTAAATATTTGATCTTAGCTCAGCCCGTACACCTTTCTTTTATCGATACATTTTATCATATATATTTTAAATAGAAAAACTAATCTTTTTTTCGAAAACTTTCCCGTTAATGATATAAAACTTATTCATGTACACCCACAGCGTAAAGATATTTGTGAAAATATCCCATTTTGCAGTACAATTTTATAGATTTATCAATACAGTGTACAGTGTACATGGTGCGTGCAAATTCAAACGCAAAGAAATTGAACTCTCAGCTCAAGCTTTAATTTTTTCTATTTATATCTTTGCAAATGGTGTAAAACTTTGAATATTCAATCTAAGAGAAACAATAGTTTAAATTGTCGATATATTCAGGTTGTAAAGATATGCGGATTGGAAAATTAGACTTTGAGGAGAGTTATCAGTTTCTTTAGCGTTTTTAACAACAAATCCAGGATTCCAAGTTCAATATTGATTCTGCAGTTAATATGTTTCCGGTTTCAATATGACCAAATAATAAATTTCCGCTTTTTATCTGTTATTATCCCTATTATCTGAATATTGAATATTTCAGCTATATTGGGTTTATCTGTTATTATCCCTATTATCTGAATATTGAATATTTCAGCTATATTGGGTTCATCTGTTATTATCCCTATTATCTGAATATTGAATATTTCAGCTATATTGGGTTTATGCTCATTTCTGTCAACACTGTCGTCAACCTCATTGCTAACATCAACGACAACAATAATAACAACAACAATAACAACAACAACAACAATAATAACAACGATAATAATAATAACAACAACAACGGAGGACGAGGTTTCTCCGAATCTGTTCTGAACCAGATGGTTGAAGAGGATCCGTTCTCCGACCAGGTTCTAGCTCATCTACTCCACACGGTTAGTACACCATACTATCCAGGAACTGAGGTTACTGAACTGGACAATGATGATTACTTGCCTCAAACTCCAAGTTTTCTAATCGGATTTTGGTTTTGCATAGACCTTTGATATTCCAAACTATAAAGTCTGATAGATGAAAGAGATAAAGTTTGAAATATCAAAAGTTTACATCATTAGGTTGCAAAGTTTAAAATATTAATCAGGTTGCAAAGATTTCAAAATTTGAGTTTGAGATGAGTAAACATATCTTAGGTTTGAGTAGAGCTGTGATCTCACTATGATCTCACCTACCAAAATATTTACCCTTGCTCCCATTAATTAGTAACGGATCTATGTTTATACCAGCAGTAGTGGAATATTTGCAATAAAGAGTTTAAAAAAAGATTCTATGATCAAGCCGTTTATTTGTAAAATTAAAATTTATAATTTTTCTCGTGTATAATATGCCGATTTTTGTTCTAAAGTTAAGAAAAAATTTAATATTACATTTTATGTTGGCGTTTAGACTACTCTTATTTTTATGCAGATATTTTTTTCATATATATTTAAAAACCCAACTTAATGTTTTGACAAAGATAAATAATTATTTAGAACATACAAAGACCAAGACCAATCTTGCTATAAAACATCATCATTGTAGCAAGGTATTCTTTGCCAGACAAAGAAGTTAGGTAAAAAAGCTTGTGAAAACATATCAAATTATTTATCTAAAGCTAATGACTACAACGCCCAGTAAATAAAAAATCTAAATTATTTATCTAAAGCTAGTGACTTAAAACACCCAGTAAACAACAAATCTAAATTATCTTCCTGAAATAGGAAGGAAGTGCTTCTACTGCTCTGCTATCCTGGATCAAATCCGTCCTGGAGATACGTCCTAGTTGTGCTCTATCTCTTTCAGCTCATACAGCTCATAGGTAATCCATATTCTGTATTGACGATAAAGAAAAAACCTACCCCCCCCCCTAATCCATATTCTGTATTGACGATAAAGAAAAAACCTACCCCCCCCCCTATTCCTCAATACAAATTACATTACATTTTTCCACTCTAACTCAAAAGCCATCAAAAACTGCATATACAACCTCACAAATCTTTAATTATCTATTCTACAAAGCAAATAAATAAAAAGCTTTTCAAGGGTAAAGAACCATTCAATGGGTGAACTTGGTCGCTAAAACAAGGGCTTACTAATTTTTAAACCATAAACCTCTTATTAAAAGACTGAATCTCTGGGCAGAGGGTCATAAAGCCAGGAGAACACTTTTATACCTGTAAATCTGTGAAAATATTAAGAATTTGTAAATCTTGAACCAAAGGGCTTTAAAAACGTGAACACAACTTCTTGTAGAATGGAACCAATAAAACTGTGAAGTACGAAGACGACTGATATATTCAAGTTGAGATATTGAATAGTTTAATGAACATAAATCACAGCAATGCACCGACCCATTTAACTTATATAAGTTGATTTTCTAACAAATTGAATCTATTTTTTTTGTAGCAACTAAGCAATTAAATGTCGTCTTTCTATTTCTTGATTTCATAGTTCTCATAGCCATTTTCCCTATATATTTTATATTTACAGCACATTTTGTCTTTGTTTTCTGTGACACACATGAATATCAATCTTCATAATTAGATTTTAAATCAAATTTCTTTTAATTTTGATCTTTGTATTACAGACTGCTCCCTGGAAATAATATCATACAAGATCTAAAAGAAACCCTGAAAAAAAGTTGCTGAATGAAATGAAACTAACACTTATTAAAAAATAGTATTTATTGTAAAATTTGTAAATATACCATTTTAAATTTAGAATTAACAGAGGCAATACAGAGAACAGTTTAAAAAGGAGTTTTCATTAAGGGGGTGAGGACGGGGAGGGGGTTAAATTCAGATAATTTATTTCTCAAGAGGGGGCAGGTATAGAAAGAACTGTTTAATACATAATAGCAAGAAAAATAGTTTTAAAGCGTATGGAACCATTTATTGATTATACATATATAAGAAAATATATCTGAAGCGGGACGATGAACTGTTACAGCTAGAATTAAGGCAGTTGAATTAGGACAAGTCTGTCCTTTTGAATTAGGACAAGTCCGTCCTTTTGAATTAGGACAAGTCTGTCCTTTATTTGTGTTTTTGTCAAATAAAAAGGACAATTTCTGGTCATTTGCTCATATTTTAGAAAAGCCTTTGATCTTAAAAATGTTAAAGTTTAAGTGTGTTTTTTTTCTGTATAAAAACCCCTAAACGCATTTAAGTAATGTACTGTATTTTAAACGTTTTAATCATAACGGAAAATTGCTTTAGCTTTCTTATTATTCTTTCATTGTCTCAAATATTTTAGGATTTTCAAGATTTGGCGAACAAGTTTGTGTTTTTAATGATTTTGAGTTTTGTACGAGGTTGTGTAAAGTACACGAATACATCAAGTACATGATTACAATAAGTTCTTAAGTAAAACACAAGTATTTGATTACAACATGTACTTGAGTACAAAAATTACAGGAGTACACAATATACTTGAGTAGAACAAATACATAAGTACAACAAGTACAGGAGTACAACAAGTAAACAAGTACATCAAGTACATAGTACATCAAGTAAATGAGTACATCAAGTAAATGAGTACAATAAGTAAATGAGTACAATAAGTACATGAGTACAACAATTACATGAGTACATCAAGTAAATGAGTACAACAAGTACATGAGTAAAACAAGTTGATAAGTCCAACAAGTACATGAGTACAAGTAATTAAGTCCAGCAAGTACATGAGTACATCAAGTAAATGATTAAAGTCCAGTTTTACATAATCTGAGATTCCAAGTCCAGCATATCCACGTTACCTCCCCTTGTATGCAGGTTGGGTTGCCTAATAAAACACAAATATTAAAGTGATTTAAATTCAATCTTATAAAGAATGTAATTCACCATGGAAATTCGAAGATAAGCAATTTTTAGATAAAATGAAAATATCTTTTTATCTTTAAATCTTTTTATCAAGGTTTAAAGGGTACTGCTGTGATTAAATAGTTTATTAATGGAGGATCATTAGAAATATAAAAAAGATATAAAGAAGAAAGTACCTTGGTCGAGAGTTTTGTTTCTCCTGTTCAGGATTTGGTTCAGGACCAAGTCCCCAAACCTAAGATTTTAAACAACTCAAAATAAAGATAATTTACGCAAATTGCAAACATGTTAGATTTGGGAAAAATGAATACATATTTAAAATACGTACAAATCATTTTTTAAAAAACTTAAAATTAAAATATTTGTCAAAAAGATGAGATTTTTTTTTTGGGGGGGGGGGAAGATGCATCTTTTTGTAACGGGGGGATGCCACAACCGGATGTACTGATCTCCAGATAAATTTCTTGTATTATCTATGTTACCTCAATATGCTGAATACTAAAAGATGGGTCCTCTGAGAGCTGAATAGTATGGAAGGTTTCAATATCTCCAGACGAGGTTCCACCAGATAGATCATTGTTCATCTCTAATCCATATAGTCCTGGAGATAAAAGAACATTATAATCTCTAATACGTTTACCCTTGGAGATACAAGAAAATTATTATCTCTAATCCGTATACTCCTGGAGATACAAGAACATTATAATATCTAATCCGTTTACTCTTGGAGATATAAGAACATTATTATCTCTAATCCGTAAACCCCTAAAGATACAAGAACATTATTATCTCTAATCCGTATACTCCTGAAGATAATAGAACATTATTATCTCTAATCCGTATACTCCTGGAGATACTAGAACATTATTATCTCTAACCCGTATACTCCTGGAGGTACAAGAACATTATTATCTCTAATCCATATACTCCTGGAGATACTAGAAAATTATTATCTCTAATCCGTATACTCCTGGAGATACAAGAACATTATTATCTCTAATCCGTATACTCCTGGAGATACTATAACATTATTATCTCTAATCCGTATACTCCTGGAGATACAAGAACATTATTATCTCTAATCCGTATACTCCTGGAGATACTAGAACATTATTATCTCTAACCCGTATACTCCTGGAGATACTAGAAAATTATTACTCTAATCCGTATACTCCTGGAGATACAAGAACATTATTATCTCTAATCCGTATACTCCTGGAGCTACAAGAACATTATTATCTCTAACCCGTATACTCCTGGAGATACTAGAACATTATTATATCTAATCCGTATACTCCTGGAGATACAAGAACATTATTATCTCTAATCCGTATACTCCTGGAGATACAAAAACATTATTATCTATAATCCGTGCACTCATGGAGATACTAGAACATTATTATCTCTAATCCGTATACTCCTGGAGATACAAGAACATTATTATCTCTAATCCGTATACTACTGGAGATACTAGAACATTATTATCTCTAATCCGTATACTCCTGGAGATACTAGAACATTATTATCTCTAATCCGCATACTCCTGGAGATATAAGAACATTATTATCTCTAATCCTTATTCTCCTGGAGATGCAAGAACATTATCATCTCTAATCCGTATACTCCTGGAGATATAAGAACATTATTATCTCTAATTCGTATACTCCTGGAGATACAAGAACATTATTAATCCGTATACTCCTGGAGATATAAGAACATTATTATCTCTAATCCGTATACTCCTGGAGATACAAGAACATTATTATCTATAATCCGTATACTCCTGGAGATACAAGAACATTATTATCTCTAATCCGTATACTCCTGGAGATACAAGAACATTATCATCTCTAATCCGTATACTCCTACAGATACAAGAACATCAAGGAAATATTCTCCGTACCTTTATTTGTAATAAAAATGTATTAAAAAAGATAATCCAGGTGGGTATAACTGACGATTCAAAAGAGCAATTTTTACCTAAAAATTGAAATGAAAAGATGGATTGCAGAGTGCGAAATGTATAAATCGAAATTTTGTGTTAAGGAAAAAATATTTGACTTGAATTGAGAAGGATTAACATGCAATGGTTCAGGTTTATGATTTCAGTTTTCCTTATTATCATGATGTAACAATACAGGGATAACATAGGAAGACGGCATTTAGAATACAGACATTTCACAAAACACATGATGAGATTTTATACATCTTATACAAAAGTCAGAGCAAATAAGTATGTAAGTATGTCAGGTAAATATAGCCGGCAAAGCAGTAAAAATAGAAGAATGTAACTTCAATAAAAACGCTGCATTTCCCCGCATAGGATGCTGGCTTATCCCTTTAGGCAGACAAGGTCGTCTTCTGTAGACTAAAACCTGAAGATTAATGGGCACGGGCAACGCCGGGTATTTCTACTTGATTAAAACAAAAATGCCGAAAAACTAAAAAACCATGGTCTAATTCTACCTTTAGAGCCACCCATGGCTAGAAGTTCTTGAGTTAGGAGTTGATAGTTCTCATCCTTGCCGGTAGAATGGAAAACAGCCATCTTAGGTTCAAGGGAGAACAGGAAACTCTCCCCTAGAATAAAAACTCTTTACCGGATGTTTCAGACAAAACTCTGTATGTAAGGTTTCAGGTGAAAAAAAGAGTCTTTCTAATGTAACAAAACTCTTCATTTCTTCATTCAAGGTTTAGAGAAGAAATTAAACTATCTAATTTAAGAAACCCCTTTATCTAAGGTTCAGGTGAGAAACTTTATCCTGTAACCGAACTATATATGTAAATAAAAAAAAATTTTTTGTTGGAACAAAACTCTTTATCAAAGATTTAAATGGAAAATTCTCTTTATTGTAAGAAAACTCTTCATCTAAGGTTTAAATGGAAAAAATGAACTCTCTAATGTAAGAAATCTCTTTATCTAAGGTTTAAATGAAAAAAACAAACTCTCTAATGTAAGAAATCTCTTTATCTAAGGTTTAAATGGAAAAATAAACTCTTTAATGTGAGAAATCTCTTTATCTAAGGTTTTAATGGAAAAATAAACTCTTTAATGTGAGAAATCTCTTTATCTAAGGTTTAAATGAAAAATGAACTCTCTAATGTAAGAAATCTCTTTATCTAAGGTTTAAATGGAAAAATAAACTCTTTAATGTAAGAAATCTCTTTATCTAAGGTCTTAATGGAAAAATAAACTCTTTAATGTGAGAAATCTCTTTATCTAAGGTTTAAATGGAAAATAAACTCTTTAATGTAAGAAATCTCTTTATCTAAGGTTCAGGTAAGAAAAAAAACTCTATTCTTTTACAAAACACAAAGGAAAGAAACTATATATCTCTTCTTTAAATAAACTCATCGTTTTAATTTCCAGAAAAAAAACACAGAAAATTTTCCCTTTCTTAAAAGCTCTTTCTTCAGATTTAAGGATAAATGATTCTTGATTAAACCTTTTATCTTAAGGTTAAGGGATTAAAAGAAATCAAATTATTTTAACTGACCGTTTCCAACCCAACCTCCCTCAGTATCACACCAGGACGAGGACGCATGAGCTCCAAACTTCCGTCCTGATCCGTCCTGAACCACTAGGATGGTTGGACCCTTGTAGCAGATCTAGAACCCGGAGAAAATATTTTTAAATCTGAATTTAGACAATCTTAAATCGATGGCGAAAAAATAATAATATCATGTATAATTGATTTTGAATTTAGCAACAAAAAAACGTGAAAAAAATACAGTTTCTTTAAAGTAAAGGAATACCCAGTACCCTCAGAGAATGGGACTTCAGACTTTTATTTTAAAACAATATTTTCAAGAGTCTATTCAACCATTCAGCCATACTGAAAGAGTTTCAGGTCGTGTTAAAGTCTTATTTGTGTGAGTAAACCTATAGTTTTGTATTCTTAAAAGAATATTTTCTTCCTTAGACATCAACTCATCAATACTCTGATCATGGGTATTGCTGGAGTACAGGAACCTCCAGTTTTTCCTTGGGATAAAATCATATATTTATATAATAAATATCACTAGCTCAAGTGCCCGGCGTTGCCGGTGGATTTTTCTTTAAATTTGAAAAAAAAAATATTTCGATTTTTTTAGCCTATGTTACCCCCAGGGTACCCATGGGTTCCCTCAAATAATTTTAGCCCATTCGGTCCATCCGTTTGGCCAGCTATTGCTAACATATATACAAATAAATAAAAATATATGAGCAAAGAGCTTTATTATATAGATTATTGTTATTATTATTATTGTTAGTTTTATCATTATTATAATTATTATTATTTTTTCAAATATTGCTATTATAACTATTAATAGCAATATTATTATAAATATGAATACGAGTGTTATCGTGTAAACATATTAAACATTTAATTTTTGATATTATTATTATTGTTATTGATATTGTTATTTTTAATTATTAAATATTACCTGTACTCTAGAAGGAGGTTTGTGTTAATAAAAAGAATAGATGCATTATCTAGACAACTGCAATTGTCCTAGAAAAAAATTATTCAATTCTAACAATTTAATTGATTTTTTAAAAGCACATTTTATAAACACGAAAAACTATGACGTTGATTTTATGATAATTAAATTATTTATAAAACAGATCATATTTCAAACTTTTCATTTCTCTACTGTACAGTGTACGGTCACTGTACTGCAAACACAAATATGAAGAGTACACTTTTGTACTGTGTAAACCATGTAATATCCACACTGTACACAACTGTACTTTTTACACCTCCGTACTGTGTATATGTGTATGTGAATTGTACATGATGTACATTGTACTGTAAACAGCGTACATTACTATGCACAGTACAGTGTACTCCACAGCACTGTGCACACAACTGTATAACAACGCACACCTTTCTACCTGGAAATCTGTAGGGGTTGGGATGAGCGGAGCTGGATCATCATCATCGTTATTATCATCATCCGTTGTATCGAAGATATCATCAAATATATCCTTCTGCATCTTTCCGATCTCAGGGTGACCGTCAAACCAACCCTGAAGGCAAAATTATTAAACATTGGTTCTACAGTCTGCAATTTATTTAGGAAGGGCCATTCGGAAATGGGAGGAGGAAGAGAGAGGGGGTGTCATAATTTTTTAACTAGAGGACCAAAACTTGGGGAACCACAAATAGATTCTAGTACAATAGATGGCAACGTAGAATTTGTACACTCTCAGTACAGCTGTATTCTGACGTCACAAGTGTCAGTTAAGTTCTTTCTTTATTTGCAAACATCTTCTATCACGCTAGGGGACCCTCACATCAAACTTTATTTTCAGATCAAAAATGTTTACAAAAAAGCAAATAAAGGTTGGAATTAAAATAAAGTTAAAATTGTGGTTTGTTGTTGTTGTTTTTTTTTACCTTGACATCATCGTCTTTCTTCTTTTTTCCAGTATCAATATCATCATCCTGCCTATCCTCGATCAATTCTTTTGGTTTCTTTCCAGGAAATATCAGATCCATTATCACACTAGAACATTATCATAATAATGATAATGATATTAATAATGATAATAATAATAATAATAATAACAGTAATAGTATTATTATTAATAATAATAATAATAATAATAATAATAATAATAATAATACTAATATTAATAATAATATTAATGCTAATACCTGAGCGCCCAACTGAGAAAATTCTTATCACTTTTATTATTCCCAGCTCCTGCTGCATCCCAGCTCTGCAATTATTCAAAATTGAGGTTAAATAAAAGGGAAGAAATAGAATATTTTAATTATCTATTGTTTAAGGATAAAAAACTTATTTAATCGTACTGTAGAATAAGAAGACGACTGTAACGCTGAATTCATTATTTTAAATAGTTCAATTAACATTAAACATAGTAATTTTGCAGTTTATACTTGATACAGACCCATTTCCTTAGATAAGTTGATTTTCGATCTTCTGGTAAAAAATATGTGTTTTATTTAAAAGATCAAGAGTGCTTCATTGTTGTTTTCTTATTCCACAGTTTCATATGTATATCCTCTAATTTCAGGAAATTTAGATCTTGAATTAAACATGGTTCATTGTACCTGGATAGCACTAGATGAACCACCCTTGACGTTGAAGTAGGATTTAGCTAGACCCTGAAGTATCTGGAGAAGGTTTCCCATACTAGACTCTACAATTAATCAAAATATTAGGGATTTTCAACTTTCGTCCATTCCGAATCTCTAAAAGTAAACTTCGTTTGACCAAAAATAAAAAATTCCGTACAAATTTTTCTGATAAGCTTCAATAAGCAAAAAAAATTTGATTTAATAATTTGTTAGTTGAACTCAAATGTGCAAACATTTTTGATTTGTTTTAGTTTTGGAAATTTTTAAAAATGTAATAAAAACTTATTTTACCTCCAGTTTTCCCATCCCCTCCACCCATCCCTCCGATCAGGTCCAGGAATCCATCTGCTCCTCCTCCACCGTTCATCCCACCCTTGGTAAGATGAGCAACTATTTTCATTAGCTTGGAGAGATCAAACCCTCCTCCTCCTCCTGAAGCTCCGTCTCCGGTATCCCCTCCTCCTCCTTTTAGTAGGTTCATCACACCATTGAGGAGAGCTGGATCCAACCCCTTCTGCTCTGCATGGGATCGGAGCTGTTCTCCTCCGCTACCTTGAACCATTCCCATTATTCCTTCCAGGCTCATCTGCTGCTTTCCTGAACCATAGATGATATAGATCTAAGATAATATAGAACGGAGATAAAAAAGATAAGAGATGACGTAGAAAGAGATAATATAGATCAGAGAAATTATAGATCAGAGATAATATAGATCAGAGATAATATAGATTAGAGATAATATAGATAAGAGATAAAATAGATCAAAGATAATATAGATCAGAGATAATATAGATCAGAGATAATATAGATAAGAGATAAAATAGATCAAAGATAATATAGATCAGAGATAATATAGATCAGAGATAATATAGATCAGAGATAATATAGATCAAAGATAATTTTTATCACGAATTGCAGTTATATTAAGTACCTGTAAAAGAGTTGACCAGAAAGCTAGTGAGCTCGGACTGGTTTCCAGTAGCAGAGGTTTGAGAGAACGCTCCCTCAACAAAATCTTTTCCCTACAAGCAGATTTTTTAATATTCATAAAAATTTGACTTTGAGTTTTTGCCCCAAACTAAAACGTATTACTTCTTTATCTTTGCAACCTGATGTTGGAAACCTTTGATATTTTAAACTAAGATTACATTAGATTTATAATTTCAAATATCTAAGTTCTACGACATTTTGCTGCAAAGATATAGAGATAAGAAAATCAAAGTTTGTGGCAAAGGCTCAATTCCTTTTTGTATTTTTGATCTAAAATGTAAATTGTTCTGCACCTTCTCCCCTCCATATTGTTCTGCCAGGTCTTCTGCAGCTTTCCTAGCGAACCCACTACAACACAAATCTCTGAAAGATATCTAGGTTTCAATGTACATGCTACACATAAAAAACTTGCCAAAAAAATCAAGATAACAAATTGACTGAGACAGAATTTGCAAACAATACAGCTGAATATGCAAAATACATATATGCATACTGCATGCATAGTGGAACATTAAAAACTAGCTTGGAAACCCAGCTTTGCCTGGAACTTAACTTTTGTTCAAAAGGCAATCCACTTAACTAAGAATTTCCGTGGTTCTACCGGGTTCCCTAATCAAAATTTTAAACAAATCGGTCCACGGGTTAACTAGATATGATGAGACATCCAAACGAACAAACAGATAGACCAGCAGAGATTACTATTATATAAATATTATAGACACAACATTTTTTTTAAATTGCAAAAATCGTGAGGCATCTGTTCAAAGAATGTGAGTTTACAAAAAAGTATTCTTTAACTTTTAAACGGCCTGCAAAAATCTTAAAAATAATTTTAAAATGTTTAAGACTTTATGTTTTTGTTTTATTGTGCAAACATTCAACTCGAAGAGACATGCAAATAACAACAGCAACACGACGGAAACAGAAAACGAATTCATCAAAAACTAATACAGCAACATAGAAAACAGAAAACGAAGATAGCAACACGGAACAGAAAACGAAGACAGCATCACGTTACAGAAAACGAATATAGCAACACGAAAAACAAAAAAAGAGTACACAGCAACGCGGAAACAGAAAATGAACACAGCAACACGAAAACAGAAAACGAACACAGCAACGTGGAAACTTAGAATGAAAACTACAACAACACGACAACAGGAAAAGAACACAGAAACACGAGAACAGAAAACGAATACAGCAGCACAGAAACAGAAAACAAATACAGCAACAAAGAAAACAGAAAATGAAAACTAAAACATGGAAACAGAAAAAGAAAACTGCAAAATGTAAACAGAAGAAAACAAATACAGCCGCAGTGAGTCAGAACGAAAAAAATCAAATCTGTAACATGGAAACAGAAAACAAATTCATCAACATAGAAATAGAAAACACAGACAGCAACACGAAAACAGAAAACGAATACTGCAACACGAAAACAGAAAACGAATACTGCAACACGAACACGAATTTTGAGAAGTTTTTGAGATATTCTTAAAAAGAAACCTAATTAAACATACACAGGCATAATCTGTTAATTACCCGGCCTTTATCGAAATAATGGAATTGAGTCTTTGCCATAAATTGATATTGTCTAATCCCTTTATCTTTGCAATCTTTGATAATTCAAACATTTGGGTTGCAAACATATATGATTAGAACATTAGAGTTTGTGCCAAAGACTAAATTCCTTTAGGAAAATTTGTTGACTTTTATTTGAAACCTATCAAACTTAACATCTCAAAACTTTTTGCAAACAAACGATAGAAAAAAAACAGATTTACATTGAGAGAAAATTTGTTAAGAAGTAAAATTTCAATGACTATTAAATCTCGACATTTGAATCACAGTGTATAAGGTTTACACACATGCATGCATGATATTTATATATATTTCCTGTAACTAGTCTTTCAGTTTACAAAGCAACAATCTGATTACGTTATGTTAGTAAACAAGTAAACAAGTAAACAAGATTAAACTTACCGAAGAAGATCCATGTTTGTGAATGAGTTCAACTCTGTGAGTAAATATTCGTGAGTAATATATTTTATATTTGTCAAGTTGAGAAAGTCTGTCTAGGCGTGGTCCTATGTTTAGTTTCACTTTACTTTTTTCAGACAATTGTCTCTGATACACAGGTTTAGATTAATAAGGATTGCTGCTCAGGGTACAGCTAGGAGTATTGAGTTAAATATTAGTTCTCTAGGCTCAAACAAACTCTGTTCATGGAGTAAACTAAACCCTGCATCCAAAAGATGGAAACCTGACTGCACCCAATCCGGCGGATCAGTCCGCGCTACTCCTTCCTCCACCAACCCTCTCTAGACTCCGGTCCTGTACGGAGAGATGATTTCATCCGACCCGTCCATACTAAAGGATTTGCCTGGTTGCACTAGACATAATTATTTTCATATTTTCATGCAAACATTTTAACAATTTTATACCTGGATTAATAAGAAATTAATATTATCATATTATATTACCTCCCTCCAATAAAACAAGGATTAAATAGTTTTCACAAACCAGAACCAGGTGCCAACGTTTCGTAGACAATGAGGATTGCTGAATATTAGAGAATTCCACGAATTTAAAGATTTTCTTGATATTGCCATGGTTGCACCCAACTCTAGTATAGGGCAACCTACTTTCCAACCTAGATCCTGGATACTTACATACATAGAACCTGGATACTCAACTTAGAACCTGTATACCCAACCTAGACCTTGGATACCCAACATAAAACCTGTAAATTTAACCTAGAACCTAGATGCTAAACCTGAAACCTGAATATTCAATCTAGAACCTGGATACTCAGCCTAGAACCTGGATACTTAACCTAGAACCTGAATACTTAACCTAGAAACTGGATACTCAACCTAGAACCTGGATGCTCAACCTAGACCCTGGATACTCAACCTAGAACCTGGATACTCAACCTAGAACCTGGATACTCAACTTATAACCTGGATATTCAACCTAGAACCTAATATTAATATATCTGTTGTCACGCAATAACATAATCCAGTTAAAAAACACATGATATGTCCTGGCATATTATATTATCTTACATTTTCCATTTCTGTAAAGCTAAAGATTTTGACTCTTCAAAATTTGTAAAAAATATACGTTTGTATCAAGTTTTATTGAAAAAGTCACTTTAGTTTTTGTTTGTGCTTGTTTTTACTTAGATACAGGGAATACAGTGGTTTCCTACGAAACATTACAGTGGAGATGCGGCTAGACGATCGTCTTTGATATTTAAAAAAATTTGCGGCATTCGTTCGTCAATTTACTTATAAATGAGTAAGATTTTAGAAACAATAATCAAAAAACCTAATTATCACATTTCCATGTGGTCGGCCTTTTTTAGCTTTTTAAATTACCAGATATGAAGGATTTCATTAAGAATTAGACAATTTTGGATTTATTTCAAAGTTATTATAAGTAGTGTATATTACTACAATTTGTACAACAACCAAAGTAATGTTTAAAATGTACTAAATTGAATGTGCCATTAATGTTCTTTATAGATACAGAATAAATCAAAACATTTTTAACAAAAAAAACTATAAAATAATGTTCCATATTTTAAATTCAAATGACAATTATAACCCTTCCTACGGAGTATAATTGAAAGCATTTTTAAAGATAAATTTTCAAAAAAAGTACTCTGGAATTCTTCATGTGTGTAGATTATTCCGAGTATACATAATTAAAATATTGTTTATTCTAATTCATGTTTCTTGTTCTACTTGAGAATGCTTTTGATTATTTTAACAGCCAGCAGCCGATAGAAGAACACACTCCTTGTTTTATTCAATTTAGTTTAAACAACCTGGGGTAGGAATTAATGAATAACGAGTTAAAAAGCTGAACTTTAATTTTGTATGACTTATGTTTTGGTTTTAGAAATAACGACCAACAGAGTTTTATTTCTTCTCTTTTTAGTCCTGCATCTGAAGATTTTAAAGCTGCAAAGCTCTTAAACTTTGGTTTAAGAAGTATAATTGCAAATTGGTAATTCCGAAATTATTAAGATTTGATCGCGTTTGTTACATATTTGGTCAAAGTAAGTAGGAGGTGTGAAAAATAAGGAAAATTTTATGAGAAAGCTCCTTAATTCAAATAATAACATTTTTTTCAAAAAATATCTCTATTTTTTTTTTAACTTTTTGTATTCTTGAAAATTGCACAAATTTTTATTCGCGGAGAAACGTAGAAACGTTTGGTTTACAATGTGAGCAAATATATTGTAATTATATGTTTCTTATCTTTTGAATAGACACCACGTACTTGCACGATTCTCAATAAAATGAATGAATTATTGCGATTTAGGTAAAAAGAGAGAAAATATTAAGGTTGAAAATAAAATAAAAATTTGGAATTACATTTTAACATGGGAAAAAACATAGTCTTTCAGATGGGGTCCATGAACTCGAACTCATGGTTTATAAATACTCCATGACCCCCCCCCCCTGAATACGCCTATACTAAATGTAACGTATATTGTTTGTTGTATATATTATACTATATCTTACTTATAGAGGAAAATAAATATGTTTAAATAATTATCAAATCATGCTGCATGATATTAATTTATAAAGATATTAATTGAATAGTTTGAAGTTAAGATAATTATTACTAAACTGAAACAGTTAGATATTTATATTTGAACTCTAAAAAATTTGCAAAGAACTTTGCATATTTCTCGGTAAGTTTTCAGTATTTCCAAAGATTAGTTAGATAGAAAGTTAGCAAACTTCTGCCTGACGTAGCCTAGGCTAGTCTACCTAGAATATTCCCCATGACGTCAATAACATCTGACCAATCAGGAACAAGGATACATCAGCAGCCAATAGAAAGCGAGATAGATGACATCAATTCCGAGAACGGACGCAGTGTCCAATGAGGAGTATATATAATACTGGGTGTATAGCTGGTGACTCATTGCCAGACCTGCAGATCAAGTTAAGGCCTGCTAGTGTAAAGAGTGAAGATTAGATGTATATTCTCTCTCCAGCAGGAGAAACTGTGTATATTATACCCGGAGTTAACATCATTAAATCAACAAAACTATCCAATAATATGGTAAGTTTATTACGTTTTTAAAAATTAAACATTTGAATTTTATGAAAATTTAGATCCTGAGCTTTCTAATACAGCTGTACAGGTGGCTAGGACATAAGTATGGCCTTGAATTGAAATCTTAAAATTATAAATAAAAATATTATTCTTTTCAGGAGAAGGGTATCTCCGGGAAAATGCAACCTCCGACCGGAGTCGGAAACCGGAAACGACAAAGTTTAACTCTTGATCTAAACTCTGCATCTTCAAAAAGAAACAAGTTCCAAAGTTTATTAACTTCTCCTGATGTTCAAATGTTAAAACTAACCTCTCCAGAGCTAGAGAAATTTCTAAGTCAAAATCCTAGTTTAGCAACTCCAACCCCCAACGGATATACATTCCCCAAATCGGTTACTGAGGAGCAGATGATGTACGCGAAGGGGTTCGAGGTCGCCCTGGAGCAGATGAAGCAGGCAGATTCAACAGTAGTTATCAGTGAGGCCTCGGTAGCTGCAGCAAATACCTTGGCTTGTCTTAATGTAGCAGTGACACATAACAACCCTCCTCCCTCTTCCTCTAAAGTTATTAAACAGGACAATCTCCCTCTCTCCCTCCCCCCTGCCCCTAGACCTGACTCTAGACCTAACTCAGGAGCATCAGGGTCCTTTGACTCCTCTGACAGTTATATTCACGTAAAGGACGAACCAGACGACCAGTCCCTCTCCGGAGGAGAATATTCAAACCTTATGTCTCCCAACTCCAACTCCGGAGTTAGTCCTATAGATATGGACGCCCAGGAGAGAATAAAACTAGAACGGAAACGAATGCGAAATCGTCTGGCCGCGTCTAAATGCCGAAAACGGAAGTTAGAACGAATATCCCAACTGGATGATAGAGTTAAGCAATTAAAGACTGAGAACTCTGATCTAGCCGCGGTGGTGAAGAAGATGAAGTCCAGCGTAGCTCTGCTTAAGCAGGAGGTTATAGAGCACGTGAGTAGTGGATGTGAGATCAAGATGATGTCTGAGACCTCCTCTTCCTTCTCATGAGAAATTTAGTACAAAGTTTGCTAGTGACAGTAAACCCGAGTGAAAACTTAAAATGCTTGTTTGCCAAACGTTCAAATGTAACTTGAATCAAGTAATATTTATGAAAATAGAGATTTATTTTGTTTATATTGGATTTCTTTTCAATAGAGAACACCAAATCTTATGATTTATCTAGTTTAGAAAAATAGTAAAGAGAAAAGGAGTGAAATAATATTAATTTTTTTAATTATTAAAAAGATAAATTGATATTCTGTAGATATAAAATATGAAAATCAAAGAATATACAATAATCAAATGTAAAAAAAAGAAAAACTTTACAAAAGAAATTGATAAATAGCGCGAGCCCCAAACTCCAATTATTTTATCCCAACTTATCTTACTTAGCATTCTGATAAACCCCTTTATTATTGACCTTTAATACTTCATGCTAATACACTTAAGACTATTATTATTGACCTTTAATACTTTTTCTCAAGATCTCGGACGCATCTAAAACATAAGGATTAGAAAATTTAAGTTTGGGGATAGTATTTAGATTCCTTTTTTCTTAACAGGTAGACTAAAAATCAACTAAACACTTAAACAATTCTTGTTTATATTAATAAAGGAATTTAATATTTGCAACAAAACCAATTCCTGTATCTTATCAACTTGATAGTGTTTTTGATATTTCCAACTAAGATTATTTGAATTCGTGGTTTGAAATATCTAGGGTCTTCGACATTGGATTGAAAAGATATAGGAATTAGAAAATCAGAGTTTGTGGCCAAAACTCAATTCCGTTCATAACAAATACTTCATTCATAAGCATGTTTTTTTGAGCAAAAGAATTAAGTCTGCTCTTATTTTTCTAAATGCCTATATATTTGCAACCCAATGTCGTAAACCTCATAGTTATTAAAAGCTATGAAATCTATAATCTACGATTGATATATTAAAGGTTTACACCCTCAAGTTGCAAAAATATATCCATTAGAAAATTTGAGTTTGTGGCAGACTCAATTCCCTTTGATATAAATATTTAATAATTCATTTACGTATAACCTAATAGCCAAAATTGATTTTGATTATAAAAGGAATTGAGTTTTTGCCACAAACTCAGATTTTCTAATTCCTATAACTTAGCAACCCGTTTTCCTAGACCTTTGATATTTCAAACTATTAATTCTGGTAGATCAAATAGTCTTAAGTTTGAAATATCAAAGGTTTACACCATTAGGTTGCAAAGCTATAGAGGTTAGAAAATATTAGTTTGTTGCAAAAAATCAATTCCTTTAAACAACCCGTACAAGATAGAAAGTCGTACAAGAAATATTGACCCTATTTATCTTGGCTAAATGGTAGTGAGATATATGTGTTGTCCATACAAAATATAAAAAGAAACAATAATTTATCTCGTAAAAGTTTTTCTTTGTTATTTCTTAAGCTACAGGAGACTTAAGATAGAAAACTAGATAAAATCATAGTTGCGAAATTAGTTCCTTAAAGAAAGGAAAGAGGATAAACTGATTTCTTTTGTGGCAAGCTTAAATATATATTTTAAGCTAAATAAAAATTTTTAATTAAGGAAGTAAATGTAGAACTTTATCCATAATTCAAAAATTAAAAATCTATAAATTTAAAATCAAAAGAATAAAAGTGTTTAGAAAATAAAGAGGATTTACAATAAACAAAGCAAAAAATATCTTTGAAGAAATTGAGTCTTTGCCTCGAACTCTGATTTTCTAATCCATATATCTTTGCAACTCAATGACGTAGACCTTAGATATTCGGTTAGATTAAATAATCTAAGTTTGAAGCTTTAAAGTTTTACACTATCAGGTTGCGAAGATATAGGGATTAGAAAAATTTGCGTTTGTAACACAGGCCACAGAAATGTTTATGAATATTGAATAAATATGAAATAGAAGAATACACGATATAAACAAACATTAAAAATACATATCCAGTATACATTCAGCTTTCAGAGAGAAGTAACACACTGGGTCTTGATAGGCGCTTCTTACAGTATTCGAGGATACAGGCAGGGGCGTACTAGGGGGGGGGGCTCGTATGCCCCTAATATGACTTTACTGACGACCTGAACAGTTTGAGTATAACGATCATAAATGGTTAAAATTGGTAAATCTGCCATAAACACTCTTGCAATTGTAAATTAAAGGATTTGAAACAGACAGAATTAAGTTTACAATTGCAGTTCGAGCCAGTAATGACAAAAGGAACATTTTCGTACTTTTCATTAGTTCAGAGACAGAATTTAAACTGCCTATCACCGGTTCAAATCCTTCTTTGATCAATAACTTTGCATTGCGTTGGTGGTTAAAATTTGAACCGGCCTCTTTATGTAATTTTAATAATATAATGTTCTTCCTTAATCTGTAAAACGTCATCTTATCAATTTAGAAAATACATTTTTTATTATTTTTCCCTGAGCACAGTGCAATATAACAAATATGATTTATCTACACTTTTCATACAAAATTGATAACGTCGGAAATAACCCAATTAGATTTTTAAACTTATTAAAAGTAAGCTTTTGAAGAGTAATTTTCTAATAATTCTAATTTTAGAGCATTTCACGTTAGACTAAAGTAACTTGCGCGCAGGGGCGGATACAAGAATTATTTCTGCTATTGAGAAGCTATTCTAAAATCTCAGAGGGGGCTACGCCCCCCCCCCCCCTGAATCTGTCAGGGGGTGGCGAAGGTCCTGCCGCCCCCCGTATCCTCCCCTGCTTATTTAGTTAATATTGTTCTAATGAATAACTTAATAAAGGGTTACACATACAATTTATCAAATTTTGCCCCTGAATCTGTCAGGGGGTGCGAAGGTCCTACCACCCCTGCTTGCGCGTAAGATTGACATCATTCTCATGTATCCTCAATCATAATTCTTTTTATTGAAGAGCTCTAGAGAAGAACGAAAAAATGTTTAAACACAAATAAATAAAATAAAACCTAAACTCTGTTTAGTTCACAGTGATCTAGTTCTTTAAAAAATTTAAACTTCAATTCACGGAATTATGCTACATTTATTTTGAGAAAATAGGTCCGAATTATGCAAATTCTCTCATAGTTCTATTAAGTTTTAACATCAGAATCTCGGTAAATCAAAAAGTTATTTCTTGGCAAATACAGAAATGAAATGACTATTGGATAGGAATGAATTTATTAACATTCAACTATAAAAATTGAACATTTTTGACACAATAAAATTCAAGGTTCATCATAATACATTTATTGATTAAATTCCAAATACTAAATTTTTAACATCGCTAAACTGGTTCTATTAATAATGAAAATGAATAATTTTCTGAGAAACTGAAAATTTATCTTATTGTGAAGCATGATGATTCACCAAACGACGGCGTGCAAAGACGACATCTTCGAATCAGCGTGTACATTACAGAGTAAACTGTGTATACTGTACAGTGTACATTTTGAATTTTCTAAAATCATTTAACAAAGAAAAACATTAACCTCAAGACTAGAAGAAAATCACAGCACAAAAATATTATTTAACAAACTCACTGAACTGAAATCTCTAAAATATTTAGAAATTCACAATATTTAATATTTTTAAGTCTAAATATTGTCATTTCGAGAATACAGAATCAAACAGAATCTAACTAAACATAGAAAATGTTATAAAAAAATACGTTCATGGAGCTACTAAAAGCTTAACAAAATAACACAAAAAGATTTCTTTCGAGACAGTGATGTCAGCTAATTACAAGGCTATTAAGAATGAAATGATCTTGATTTTCTCCATCTTGACATTATCAAGAAATTACTCTAGCAATGTTAATTTTAAAATGATTGCCCAGGACTTGTTATACTAATTTTGAAAGTATGGAACATAAATTTAAATGCACATTAATACATACTAATGGTTTCACGTTTAATTTTAAGATGGCCCAGAAGATAAGGAAAAAACGTCGGGCCTCGGTCTTAGGAGAAAAGAGGTTTCCCGCGTTTTCTTGCACTCCGCGCATTCTGGAACCAGATCTTTATAATCTTAGTTGGCAGCTGAAGCCGGTCAGATAGGCTGAAGTACATTTCCTTTGCGTCACACTTGGACATATAAATACTTTTGTGGAAACTGTCGAGAAGTACTTGTCTTTGGTGACCAGTGAACCTTGTTTTAACATGAGCTTTTCTATCCATATCCTCCTCATAGGAGTCAAACCTGTCGGAGCTAGAGGTTACAGGTTCAATATATTCAACTCTAGATCTAGGAAGAGAAAACTGATCTGTACTCATGGAATCCGTCGTATCTTCGTCGTAATAGTCAGACCTGAATGAATCTTGACGCTCTTTGTGTGCTTTAAGCATGTGACGCGCAAGACCTATCTTTGAGATAAAATCCATATTGCATCTTTCACATCTTCGTAAATTCCGCTCCTTCTTTTTTTCCGAACCCAGAACGTATTGGTTGGGATCGTACGGATTTTCCGGATGGAAATGTCGAAGGTGTTTGAAAAGATTTCCTTTAGTTGTAAACCCGACATGGCATCTTTTACATATGTTGGATTTTACAACGTTAGTTCTCCGGGAGGTCTTGACAGGATAGTGATTGGCAGAACCACGTTTCCGGGTTGGACTGAAACTGTAGTTCGGATGATCACGTTTGTGAATTTCTTTAAGTCGTCTAGATTCTTCAATGTAGGGCATCTTATCATACTCGGACATTGATTTCCAAAGTAAACTGAGATCTCTTATCAGATCTCCAGTAGATCTCGAGGTTCTATCCAACCCTCCTTCTTGAACCTTCTTCCTCTCCTCCTGCAACCAAACCATGAAGGGGTTCAGTGGTCTCTTCACGTGATCCTCCACAGTAGAGCTCTGCAGAGAATCATCCTTATCCAGGTCATCTTCAGGACTGTAATAGTTATCTTCCGAATCACTTCCATCATCAATGTCATCAAAGCATTCCACCTGACTCTCTTCAACCCCATCCTCTAGGGTTACATAAACCCCGTCATCAACTACTGGGCCTGCTTCTTTAAACTTCTGTGCTTCCTTCTCAAACTCAATAGCTTCGATCTTCTCGTGTTCTCGAAGTAAATGCTCTTCAGGGAAGGATTTCCCGCAGTAGGGACAAGAATACTTCTCTCCCAGGTCTATATATCCAGAGGAGGAGGGTTTGGAGTCAAAATTTATCCTGTCTAGGAGACGATTGAGTATCTCGGAGCAGATTCTTTCCGCTTCATTCTCACTTTGCTTACTGTTCCTTTCCTTAAACCACTCCAGTATCTTCTCTCTTGATGCGTTTACATGCTCACAAAGATAATCCAGGTCGTCTGAGTCAGGATCCGCTATATCCGCGTAGAATCCTTCAAGGAATACTTTCTGGAACTCTGTAAACCTATTCTTGCCGATGGAGTTGAATACTGAAACCTTATCAGACATTTTCTCAATGGTTGAACCTTCAGGACAATCCATCGACATGGAATCATCATCTAGATCAAAATATCCATCATCCAATTCTTCAATCTTCTCTTTGACTGGTCTTCCTCTTCCCCGTCCTGTTGGTATATATCTCCCTCTCATCCCTCCCCGGCCTCGACCCCGTCCTCGCGGTATTATTGGTAAATTCTTCTTCTTTCGTTCCCTGGCGTGCTGGAACCAGATCCTGATAACCTTCGGGGACAGCATCAGCTCGGCAGAAAGGTCGCTGATGTCGTCTTCGTCAACGTACTCCTTCTCCGAGAAGAAGCTTTGCAGATAATACCTCTGATGATCACTGAACTTGGTTTTCTTGTGTCCAGGATTGTATCTGGTTCTGGAGTCATCGTCATCATGTCTCCACCCGTCCTCTGTATAGTCCTCCAATCCATCCTGGTGTCCTGACAAATATAACTGTCCTGTAATCTTTTCCCTGTGCCTGTTGTTCTGGAACCAACTGTGCAAAATTTTATTGGAGATGTTGAGATCCGTCTCCAGCTTCTTGTATTCGTCCCGGTCCGGATACGGGTTCAGAGCAAAAGAGTTTCTCAATCCAACAATTTGTGTTTTTGTGAACTTAGTTCTTCCGCTCTCTTCGTTCCCGTTCCCTTCTATATTTTCATATTCATAACCTAATAATAATAATAATAATTGATAATTGATAATAACAATAATATTAATAATAATAATAAAAAATAATTAAATTAGTAATAATAATAATATCCTATCTTACCAAATTTAGAATGTGCTTCTATTCCATGTGTTTTAAGGTTCCACTGCGTATCAAAAGCTTTTCGACACTCCTTGCACTCGAGTATCTCTATATCTGAACCATGAACCCTCTTGTGATGAATCTTGAAATTGGTCCTTGATGAGAAGGTTTGAGAACAGGTTGAGCAAGAGATCAAGTCTAAATCAGTTTCATCCGGTTCCTCGTCCTCCTCCGAGTTCTGAATATTGTTTCGAGCAAAGAAACATTTGATTTTTCCCTCATCCGTCTTGCAGCGTTTATTCTGAAACCAGATCCGAACCTTCTTCGGTGGTATTCTCATAATCTCACTGATCTCCTGTCGTTGCTGTTCTGTAGGATACGGATTCTTGTCGAACCATTTCTCCAACATTTTCGTTTCCTCTTCTGAGAATCGGTTCCGTTCTCTTCCTTTGGTTTCGTTGTTAGTATCATCATCTGATCTATCCAGAGCTACAAGGAGAGGAGGAGGAGGTTGGGATAAACGTTTACTTATCAAAGCCTGGAACACATCATCGTCAAGTTCCTCATAGTTCTGTCTCTGTCTGAACCTGAGAGTTCTAGTTCCAGGAACTCCAGTTCCAACCTCAGCATCCTCCTCCTCGCGACCCTTGTTGTCGAACTCTATTTGCCGTTCCTTGAGTTCCTGCTTGATCTCCTCAATATTGTTCCTGAGTCCTTCATCTGAGTGAACACAGTTAATCGGTATTCTTACCGATGGTAGATCTGAACCCTCGTACTCTGATAAATCCATATTTTTTACTAAACTAAGTATTTTTGGCACGAATATTACCGGCTCTTTATTAAATGATTCCTGTGATAATTCCTCGTTGTTAATTACATCTCTGCGCATAGCTTTGATCCTGCTCGTGACAATCATCTGGTTGGAAACTAACCGTTGCCGTTTTGGAGAGGTTTCATTCTGCTCCAAGCTGGGTTTCTCAACCTCAGGGTCCGTTCCGTCCTTCCTCCTCCTCACGTGGTTCAAAACCTCCTTCCTGGTGGTAAACCGATGATTTTCCGGAGACAAGAACTCGTACTTTGATTCTCCAGAGGATTGAGATATCAACCGGACCTTCCAACCTGCTGGGAGAGAAGTTTCGTCCCAGCTCCAGGAGGAACTAGACCCTAAACAGGAATTAAACGTTCTATACTGACAATGTAAAATTCTAGACTCCGAACAACATGCAACCTGATGATGTAAACCTTTGATATTTCAAACTTTAATTATTTAGTTCTAGCAGAATTTCTAGTTTCAAATATTTTGAGGTCTACGACATTGGGTTGAAAGATTTAGGGATAGAAAATAGAGTTTTGAGAAAGAGTTTATTCCTTTGAACTGTTTGGTTTAATACGTGTTTAACAGGTTCATGTATTGAACTGATTACTAGCAATAAAATTTTATTTCCTAATTTCTAAATCTTTTCAACTTTATGTCAGAGACCTTTAATTTTTTTAACTTTTAATTCTGACTTCACCGAATATCCAATGTTTACATTATCAGGTTGCAAAGATATATGGAATAGAAAATTTGAGTGCCCGTAAAAAAATTAATTACTTCCATGTAACTAAATTTGGACATATTGCAATTAAAAAAAAAGGAAAACTAAACTAAACTGTTTCAGTGGCACAACTCTGATCAAAAAAGATGAATTTGAAGTTTTTCTCCCAGAGGTGTATATGTTGCACTTTGAACAACGAAAACATACAGAACCATTTTCCCAATGTCAATTTCCCCCGTTCAAACAAAAATATTGTGCTTTTTTGTTGATATTCACCGAATGTCGGTTACACCATCAAAGGCTTATGTTCTCAGAGAAACCAGAACTGAAAACTTTTAAATGAATGGAATGAGTTAAACTCGATTCTAATAAGCCCTCCCTTGAACCCGGGTAAGAGAGCTATAACTTCACTCCTAGCACTTTCTTAAAGCTGTCTTATTCTTAATTCTGATATTGAACGAAAGAAAGATCATGAATCTACAAATCCGACGAATAAGAGAACAGAAAGTTTTATCTAGTAAGTTTAACTTATAAGTTCAAATGTTGTAGTAAAGATAAAGAATAAAGAAATTAAGCTTAACTCCAACTCATTCAAAAGTTCCCAGCTAAGGAGGAAAAAAATATTTTTAAAATTCCGCCACTGCACTGGTTTTATAACTCCAACTAAACTTCACAAAACAAGAGAAAAAAGGACTTGCAAATTTAACAGGGTTAAAATTAAATTTTCTATTTCAAACTTTTAAAATTCATTATGTATTTAAATAATAAGCAAGTCCTACCTTGACGTTTAAAAACGAACTATGTACATAGAAATCTAAATATTAAATAAAAAAACATCGAGACAATAAAACAATAAGCTATACAATACATCGACTAACAGCTGGATGGGAAATGGTTAAAAATGTAAAGGAAAAAATTGTAACAACTTTCTTATTATTATTTAAAATCAATCTTTACCATAACTTTTGCGTGCGAAAATAAATAAAAAAGTTTCGAATGTGTGTGTGTGGGGGGGGGGAAATATAGTTAAATATAAAGCATGCAGGAACCATAGTGAAAAATTAAACACATGCAGATATTCAAAAATTTATTTTCCACATACATATAACGTTTTTAGAACAGTCAACGTAATTTTATCAACTAAATCAAAATTTAATCTATACAGTTACGCGCTCTTTAGATATTCAGTTTTCTTTCTACCTCGCAATCTTATCTTACCTTCAACCTCAACCTCATCAGATTCTCCTTCTTTCCTATATGCATCCGAACTATCCAGGTCAGTGATATCAAGATTGCTACCGCTTGTATCCATATCTATATCTGGAGATCTATCCCGACCTGATCCTGATCCCCGTCCTTTCCGTCCCCTCGGTCCCGTCTTTGCACTTCTACGAACCTTGGTCAGATCTTCTATAGAATATCCTCCGGTTTTTTCCATCTGCTGAAGCATTGCTTTTCTAGAGTGGAACACCTGTCCTTCAGGAGATAGGAATATAAAGTACAGTTGTCCTTCTTGTGTTGGTCTAGGCCTAGTTCTTAGTTTCCATCCAGTTGGCATAGAAGGATGGTTGGCAACCCAGTCATCCTTATCAATATGTCGGTTTGTAGAATGAAGTTTCTTCTTAACCTGAGGTTTGGATGGATTCTCGTAGGAGCAGAACTTGTGGTGAGACTTGAGTTCACTTTCCCACCTGAACCTTCTCTCACAGTACTGGCAGTAGATGGTTAGCTCACCAGTGTGTCCCTTCTCATGGAGCATCCTGTAGGTAGCTTTCTTAAACGTTTTCCCACAGAATCCACAGAATAGTCTCGTCAGTTCTCCGTCATATTCTTCGTGCTCCTGAGCGTGGCCTTTCTCATGGAAACTTCTTACGTGAGGAGCATTGAAGATCATTCCACAGAACTTACAGTCAATCCTGTTAGGATCATCAAACTGGAGAGGGGATTGAGATCTAGATTCTGCATCTTCATCAGGATTCATCAGTCCGGAGTAATCGTCGTAGGACTCCAAACCGGCAGTGTTTTCATCATGATCTAGAAGTAGTTTTTGTTGAGACTCTGGACAGGAGATGTTGGCCTCCGGCATGCTTGGCATACTGCTGGGTTCAAAGGATATCACGTCCTCGCTAACTTCTTCTTTAGTTTCTAATTTAACAGGTTCCACTGTTTCCTTTGGTTCAACTCTTTCTTCTAACGTTTCTTCATTCTTGCTCGAACTATCTGGGTTCAAAGACGGCTCTAATACAATATTTTGGTACTCCTCGCCGTCCACCTTCATATCCTGCACTTCCTCCACTTTCAACTCTTCTCCGTTCTTAGGCAGAGATAGGTCCAAAACCTCCCGACTAGGACTCATAGAGTTGACATGAAGAAGACTGGAGCAGGTTTGGGATTCATCTTTGGATTGAAGGTTTGTATAGATCTTATCCTCGTTAGGATCCGGAAACTCAGCCTCAGATCTCTTATGACAAACTTGAGAAAACTGTGGGACGGGAAGAGGAGGAGGAGGAGGGAAGAATCCATGTTGGGTGGTTGGATCCTCGTGTGCCGGAGGAGGGGTGGAGCTCCGGGTACCCTGGTATACAGAGCACACAGGATCCAAGCTGGTATACTGACTGGTATGGTTGTTGTACACAGGGTTGGTGGATAAAGGTTGAAAGGTTGTGGTAAGGTTTAGACTGGCAACATTATTACATACTGGGTTGTTTACGCTCTGGGTTGCATAGTTTACATAGTTGCTTGTTACAGAAAAGGAATTTAGGCTTTTTGTTTCAACCTTCAAGTTTGTTGGTACACGGTATTCATCTCCGAACTCTTCATCCGTCCTATCTATCTCCTGATCCAGGTTCGGAACCTGACTCTCAAACATTGACTGGTTTATCTTCATCTTATTGTCTGTCTCGAAATGCATGGCGTCCCTCTCGAACTCCTCCGCCTCTGTTTCCTCGTGTCTGTAGAGCTCCGCCTTATCAAAGAAAGTTTTCCCGCAGTATAGACAAGGACGCGTCCTAGTGAGCTGAGATATACAAGGATACTCGGATACTAAACCCCGGGTAGAGTATCCTCGACCACCCCTGGAGGATCCTCTCCTGGGGGAGAGACCCCGTGATGATCCTTTGTGTCCTGCACGTGAGGGCGGAGCTGAACCTCGTGATATACCGGAACCTCTGCTACCCCTGGACACACATTAATAATACATAATAAGTCTTTCATCTTGGACGTTGCTTGAAAATCTTGACATAAATATCGAATTCTCAATTGCACCCCCCCCCACCCACAAAAAAATAGAAGAACTGAAGATTCAAAAATTTATTACTTCCCTCAAATCTGATTTTCTAAATCTGATATCTTTGAAACTTAAATGTGTAATATTTCAAACAATTTGATCTATTAGAATCCTTAATGTCAAAGGCCCTCGACGTCAAGTTGCAAAGATATAAAGATTGGAAATGCAAAGATAGAAGACAGTCAACTGTTCCTTTTAAACAAAAACTTTTAATAAATCCAAGTTTAATAAATTTTATCCTCTTCCCTCACAAAATCTTTTAATGCATTTTTAACAAAATTTTTTAAGCGTCAATATTTTTTCTTTTTTTTCTACAATAAGACTCATAAAACTGTGGAATATGAAGATGACTCAAGTTTGAATTTTGAATAGTCCAATTAATATGAATTAACTAGTGTGAACTGTACAGAGACCTATGTTGACTTTCAAGACACTTGCTAACCTATTTGCTGAAATATCGTTTTCCTGTTTCACAGTTTTATGGGTCTCACTGTAGAGATCTGAACCGTTCTTATCGCATAATAATCTAAATATTTTCTCCTACCTGCCCCTGCCTCTGAAATGGGACTCAACATGGTTCTTGAGATCACTCTGGTATCTAAACCTCTTGTTACAGATCTCACATTGTATTATCAAACTACCCTTAGATCTCCCGTTCCTCGCCTTATACTTGATAATGTCGGACGCCTAGAAAACAAAATAGTTTAATTTAAAATGATTTATCAAATCTTTAAATTATATTCTTAAATAAATATTAAAATTTTATAAATCTTGATACTATTTAAATATAACATTTGTTATTGATTGATTTTCCATTAAAAATATGATCATTTCAAATAGAGACAAAAACTCTTGTGCATGTGTGACAATACCTCTTCCCTCCTATCAAATATGTGACAAACATGCAAACATATCCTTTGAATAAAGACAACCCTTTTTTAGTCACATTTTCTTTATAATAACACATGCAAAACGACCCCATTCAATAAAATCTTACCACCCAACAGTAGTCGTATATATCAATACAATGAAGACGACATTTGATTTAAATTTTGCGTTTAAACAGTAGGGATACACATAGACATGAAAACTAAGAGAAGCTGTCAATTAAAAGCTTTTCATGGTTTTAATTTAAAAAAGGTTGTTAGAAATTAAAACTTTTAAAAAGTCGTCTTCATTGTTTTGATTTTATCGCCGACCACAAAGAGTCCCCCCTCCCCAAAAGGCCCCCCCCCCCCCCCTATTTAGAATCTGTCATTGAAGGACATTCAACAACAAAACATTGGACATATCAAAAAGTTTAGTCTGGATCCGCACTGGAAAAAAAATGGATCCGGATCCAGGTCATTTCTTTAAAATTTAATGATTTTTTTAACAAAAAATAATTTTCAAATTTTTGTTTTATTTTTTTTTTGCTTATTTTTATCATTCCTAAAACTAGATGAACCATTCAGAAATGAGGAAATTTTTATAATCTCTCTTTTTTTTTATATGTTCATATTTGGGGTTTAGGAGTAAAAAGTTGTTTTTAGCAGTTTTTGGTTGATATTTTACCCCTTGGATCCGGATCCGTGGATCCGCATATTTTTGCGGATCCGGATCCAGGAAGCCAAAATCTTGCAGATCCAACGGATCCGGATCCAAAGCACTGGTTTAACTATAATTCAATCTTATTTTAAACCCCACATCTTCAATGTTAATACCCTGAGGAGCGTCCCATTTCATATTGAATTATTTCCAAAACTTGACGATAATATTCATATAAAGGTCTATGTATTACGATCTAATATGATATGGGACAACCTTAGACAAAAATCCATTAATAAAATTGGAAAATTTACGAATGTCGCTAGAAATTTAGAAATATTATCGTAATATTTAACAATATTAGAATAATATCCAAAAATATCGTTATATTATCTAACAATAGTAGAAATCTACAAATATTGTTGGAATATTCATGAGATGACAATAAATATTCAAACAAAGTGTTGTTTCAATGTTAATTTGATAAACTGTTTTGTAAAAACGCAATTTTTTTTTTGATAATTTAATAATATATAATAGCTAAAAAAATTGTCATCTTTACAGTGTTACAATTACATAAATTCAAATTATAAAAAAATTACATAATATATATAATACAATCAGCTCAACAGCACAGAAAAAAAGGATAAAAAACTATACTTTCTATTTAAAAATACTTATTAAAATGTTGAGCTGGTTGAATTTTTTTGACAGTTAGTTACAATCTGACATGTGAGGTTAAATCACCAAGCCCCGTGCTAGATAAGAAATAAAAGATATCTTCTCCTTTCTTATTAACACTTGAAGAGTTGATAGATAGATAGTGCTCCCAAACCCATGGACAGTGCTTTAAATGTAACATATCTGTATATAATGAATACCCTAGAAGTTGAACCCCGGGGTCGGCCACGACCCCTTCGCCCCCTTCCAAACAGATGCAGGTTCCCTATCTCAACCAATATCTAAAATGTTTAGAAAGCTGTTAGTATTGGTCATCTTTGATCTGGATAATTAGCTCACAGAAACTAGAGATCAAAACTAAAACCCTGTTTTCATTATGCACTCAGTCGACTCCCTCTGGTGATTTAATTTAAGTCAACAGAAAGAATTGCTGCACCTTTCTTATTAAAATTTGTTATCATTTCATTGGCGGATTTCCCGCACATTCCTCGGAAATCCTTTAAATTTTATGCTGTGATTACCTTAAATTTTTTGCTGTGAATACTCTAAATTTTATGCTATGAATACCTTAAATTTTATGCTGTGAATACCTTAAATTTTATGCTGTGAATACCTTAAATTTTATGCTGTGAATATCTAAAATTTTATGCTGTGAATATCAAGTACAGTCGATGCACGGGCAAAAGCTGACCCGATTTTACTACCTAGGTCGGTAGGTTAAAAAACCAAGAGATGGAAGTAGAGGATTAGAACCAAGAAAACTAGGATTGTCTGGAATGGAGCAAAGAGTGTATGCTTGACAAGATTGGAGCAAAATAACTAGAATTTTAATGGTTGAATCAATTAAACTGGAACTAAAATGGTTTGAATTTAATAAACTGGAGTTGAGATGGTTGAAGAGATTAAACTGGAACTAAATGGTTGTAGCAACTGGAGTTGTTATAATCGGAGCAAATAAACTAGAATTGAGATGTTTTGAGCAAATAATCTAGAATTGAAATGGTTTGAACAAGTAACCTATAATTGAGATGGTTTGAGCAAATAAACTAGAATTGAGATGGTTTGAGCAAATAAACTAGAATTGAGATGGTTTGAGCAAATAAACTAGAATTGTGATGGTTGGAGCAAATAAACTTTTTTTTGAGGTTGGAGCAAACAACTGGAGTTGTTTTAGTTAGAGCACAGAATATTTTTTTTATGGTTGAAACAAATAAAATGTAGTAGTTATGGTTGAGGCAATTAAAATTCTTAATAGTTGGAGCAAAAATCTGCAATTGTTAAGGTTGGAGCAAATTAACTAGAATTGGGATAGTTGGAGGTCATTAAATGAAGTTTCTGTAACAACTTTTTTGAACAATGAATACACCTTTTTTTTTAAATAAAACCGGCTTTAATCATGAAGTATCATAAGATCTATCTTCTGTATACGTGATATACACTTGAAAGGGAAATATTGATTATTTCAGAAGAAGCCAGCTCCATCCGAAAACTCTTCCTAAAATGTAAAAAACTGATCATATTCTGTACCTGCTCTGTATCTGGATGCTCCATAAGAACATGATCTTCCAAATTGTTTTTTCTAAGATACTTTTTTGGACAATAATCACAGACAAATGGTCTATCCAACCCTGCACTATCAGCTTCCATTCTTCACCCGGCCCTTAGCACACAACACAGACCACAGTGGCACAGTATTCACTTGCAGCTGATGTATGTATACCTACCTAGGCTGGATTTAATTTAGAGTCCGGCGGTAAAAAAAAATAATGTAAAAATATATTTTTAGCATTTGAATGGTTTTATTTGAAATTGTTTAATTTCTAATTTTTCTGATGAAAATTTTAATTTTAAAAAATAGTTTGCAACCTCGGGACTCTCAGGAGCAGCATTTGCCATTCTGCCGACCGTGAGACATCTATTGGTAAAATAAGAAAACATTATTGACTTTCTGATAATTATGCCGAAATAAAGGCATTTAAAGGATTTAAAAAAGCAAAATATAATTGATATTTGATGTAAAATTAAACCGAAATAAATGTGTTAACACACACAGCTATTAAATTAATAAATGTTGTTAGCGGTCCACGAACAAGAAGTTATGACGGCCCGCGCGAATTACCAACAGACAGCGTATCCTGAATAAACTTGTCAGGCACACAATACAGTAAAAATGCATATTTCTTATTTTTTGAGCCCCACCCGAACTTTTCAACAATCCCACCTCCTCCCTTGGAACTCCCCCGCCCAGAATTGAGGCTTTGCTTTGGGCGGAAATAAAACCAGTTTACGACGTGTTGGGACATTTTTCTTGCTTGATCAGGCGGACCGAATAACCGGTTAAGGCGTGTTGGGTCGACAAACTGCCTGTGACTTGTCTCTGTGTGCACTGAGTGGACTTTGTGTACTCTTGGATCTTAGTAGATTTACTCCGTGATTGTTTGGTGGATTTTCTCGTGAAAATATTTATATTTTTCTTCAGCTAATTCTTTGTACGTACAACACTTTATGTGATAATATTGCACATTCATCCAGCTTTATACACTAAAAGGTGAGATTGAGATATATTTGAAAAAGAAAATTACATTTAAGGAATGAACTACATATACATTACAGTTGAAGATTTTCGGGTAATTTCCTAGTATATGATTTTTGGACCCCCCACTAAGCCAATTTCAACCTCAACATTATTTTATAAATATTCATAAATATTTACTTCATGGGTAGCGCGAGGGGGGGAGTCCAGAGTTCCGTAACAAGTAATCAACGCCACCCAAATGTGTTTTGCGGCAAGCGCGCTCCTCAATTGGTAATCTCCACCACCTTAATT